TAAATAAAACGTCTACCTAGCTACTATTTCTAGGCTTTTAGGTAGTTCTTAACTAGCTAGTAGCTTATACGCCTTAGAAACTCCTCTATAAGGCTATAGATTAGAGTTATAACTATCTACTATAGGTATATAATTCTTATAAGAGTAGTAATAGCTAGACTAAGAGTAAAGGTAAAGCTAAGGCTAAGAGTAATAACACTAGTATAGGTAGCAGCCTAGATATAGATAGTAATATAGATAGTAATATATCTACTACTACTAGATATAAAAGAACCTATAATAGTAAGAAGAAAATAATATATTAGGCTAATAAGGTACTACTAAAGAAGTTTAATACTAAGCTTATATAGATAGTTATAAGCTTATAGAAGTAGGCTATTATAAAGTATAGTCTTATTACTATATCTATAGAAGAGTAATACTATTATAACTTTATACTAAAGATACTAGGCGCTAGTATAGATATAACTACTACTATAATTTCTAAGAGTATAGCTATTAGTTAGACTAAGGCTATTAAAAACTAGTATACTATCTTAGCTATATAGAGGCTTTAGAATAATACTAGTAATAAGCTCTTTACTAAGCTAATACTTACTTTCTTCTCTAATAACTAGTTTAATAACTTAGAGAGTAAGAATATATCTAGTATATATAAGGCTATTATCTTCTATATTAGCTCTAGCTAGCCTAGTATATCTAATACTCTAGGCCTAAGTAGCTTTAAGTAGGCTAGCTTTTATAACCTATTCTATACTATATATATAGTTAAGGCTATTAGTATTATAGATAATATAAGGTACTACTAAGTAATAATACTACTATATATAAAGTATATCTAGCTTAAGTAACTAATTAAATAGTAATATAAGCTCTCTATATAAGGTATTAGTAGAGTAATATAGGCTAAGAAGTATCTATTTACTATTACTTTTACTAATATAGGTAATTTCTCTACTATTAATTACTACTCTAACCTAGCTAACTAGAAGCTTTTTAGCTATTATCTTAACTAGAGTAAGAAATAGTATATACTAAAGAAGGTATTTAGCTAGAGTATATTTAGCTTACTTTTTAAAGCTATTATCTCTAATAGTTTTATAGAGTAGATACTAATATAGAAATAGCTTAGCTAGTAGGTTAAAATACTCTCTAAGTATAATACTAATATTACTACTATATCTATTACTATAAAGTTTCTTTTTCTTAAGTATATTAATAGAGAGGCTCCTCCTATACATATAATATAGAAAAATATAAATAATAATAAAATAAATAGGTAGGACCTAGTTAACCTCTTAGAGAAGGTACTACCTCTAGGTTCTACTATATAGTAGACTAAGGTATAAGATTTAGGTTTAGATTCTAGAAGAGAGAGTAACCTATAGATAGGTAAAAAGAGTAGTAGTAATAACAGTAGCAGTATTAATAATAGAAATAGAAATAGTAAGGATAAAAATAAAGTATAGAATAGTAGAGATAGGGAGAGATATCTAGGGTATATAATAGGGCTTATATATTAATACTACATCCTTATTTTCTTATTATACAGTAATTATACTAGAATAGATACCTATTATTTATATTAAATTAATCTTTATACTACTTATTCTATACTATATATTATCTATCTACCTTCTATTCTAATAGCTCTAATTATCTATTTTATATCTAAAGCTTTTTAGCCTATTTCTTTATTCTTACCTTAATAGTTACCTCTTATAAGTACTTATACTATTAATCTACTAGCTTTATACTTAGTAGTTATTTACTATACTCTTTATATATAGAGGGTATTAGCTATCTATATTTTCTTAGAGCTATTACCTCTCTTCTTACCTCTATATATACTTCTATATAGTATAGGCACTATAACTAATACTTCTCTACCTTAATACTTAGTTATAGCTTATTATAGCTCTTATATGTAGAGTATTAGTAATTAAGTATAGGTTTATAATTAGAAGTAGTAAGATTATTAGAAAGGTTATAGAGAATATTTATTATAAAAAGCTAGTAGTTATCTAAACCTCTATATTTAATAAAGATAGTTTACTTCTCTAGAGCGCTAAAATAAATAGCTATAATATATTTATTAGTTATAATTTTTCTCTAATTTATATATAGAAATTATATACTATAACCTTTACTCTTATTAACTTTAGAATTTATACGTAGTTACTGCTAAAACTAAGTACTCTACTCTTATTAAAATATTTAATATATTACTTAGTTCTACTATAGTAGCCTATACTATATTAGCTATTATAGTTTCTTATCTTCTAGTTATACTATAGTAAGTAGTTCTTCTATACTATATTACTAGGTATATCTAGGTTAGATACTACTGTAACCTGTCTATATAGTAGAAAAGAAAGCTCTCTTTACTTTAGTTATTTATAGGCTACTCCTTATATAATAAAACTAGTAGTAGGTATTATTAGAGGGCTTATAGTAAAGAGTATATTAGTAAAGTTATAGTTAAGGTTATACGTAAAGGTGTATTATTAGATAAAGGACTAATATTAGAAAAGTAAAGAATATAGTATACAGTTAATAGGTTAGAGTTAGAGGTAAAAGGTAAGGTTAGAAATTAAGATCTCTACCTTTACCTAATAGTATAGCTTTACTATAGCTATATATTACTGTTTATAGTTTTTCTAAAAGTTAGAAGCTTAAAAGTAGTATTATAAGTTTATATAATAATAAATAGTAATACCTTTTACTTTTTAACTCTTACTATTAGCTTACTCTACTTAGCCTATAATTCTCTTCTAGTCTTACTTAGTATTAATATTATTCTTCTTCTTATTCTAATTATTATACTTTTCTTTATCTAGCTATTACTCTCTTTATTTATAGTTAGTATAGGTATCTAGATATATTTTATATTATTTATAAAGTAATTTATATAATTCTTTCTACTAAAAAGAAACTCTTCCTTTATTAAGTCTAGCACTTATTAATAATACTTAAATATACTACCTTTATTCTAGTAGTAATAATACTAATCCTCCTATATAGTCCTATACTTAGCTTCTTATATATACTAGAATATAACTCCTAGTAGCTACTAAAATAGGATTATAAAGAGCTAGTATAATATTATACTTATATTTAGCTATATAGAATTACTAAATAGTTTTCTAGTTATAGGTAAGACTTTACTATACTATTTTACTAGCTATATAATATAGCTATATTTACTAGGCCTACTTATAACGCCTATTTCTATAGCTTTAATAATAAAGCGTAAGGTATCTCTATATAATAAGATAGTTAACTTAGAAGTATAGTGTTATAATTCTTTTAACTTTACTAGGTATACTAGGTTAATTACTAGTAAGAGTATAACTAACTTCTAGATATTTTAAATATCTTAGATTAAATTAATATAATTAAATTAAACTTTATCTACTAATACGTATTAGTATTTAGGCTTAAAGCTATAAGGTCTTTCTAATATATATATATTTTTAAACTCTATAAGGCCTTTCTTCTATCTTACTATACTATCTACTCCTTCTTAAGTATAATCTATATTATTCTATAATACTAGAAAGAGTAGGTAGGTATCTATATTATTTATTAGAATTAATTTACTATTTTTATTTTAGTATATATTTTTATAAGGCCTATTAAGGTAATTATAGATTATATTTTTAGCTATCTTTATAGATATTATCCTGCTAAGTATACTATAAGTACTATTCTAGTTTATATATACGTTAATTTAGTAATTACTATTACTACTTTTAATTACCTTATTATCTATATTACTCTCTTTAAATAATATAGAGCTACCTAGTATAAGTATAATACTATTTAGATATATATATATTATATAGATAGATAGGTATACTCTATAGAAATAGCTTACTATATCTAATATAGTAATAGAAAAGGGCTAAGAGTATATAAGGTAGAGTTAAGTAGCTAATATTTAAGCTTAAAAGTAGTAGCTAAGTTAAGTTCTTTATATAAGTAAATATATTTATTAGTATATTATCTTAAGAGACTACGTATATAAAAGTCTTAGATATAAGCTAAAGTTATTATATTATCTATTACTTCTACTTTAAGAGTATATCTAGCTAAAGGTACTATATATTTAATTACTTATATACTATCTATTAATAGTAGTAGAGAGGTAGAAATAGTAAGTTAGCCTAAATAACTACTTATTAAGTAGTTATATTTAAATACCTCTTATAAGATAAAATAGAAAAAAAATTTAGAATATTATATATTCTTATTAAGTATTATAAATACTAAATAAATAAGGTATTATATAGGTTAAAGCATTAATTAAACTTAAAAATTATAAGATTCTATATACTTTTTTCTTAAACTTCTTTATAATAATAGTACTTTAATACTTTAATTTAAGAGTTTCTAAAGTAGTAGAGTTATCTATATATTAACTTTTAAATATTATTAAGTAGATATTTAAATCCTAACTTTATACCTAGTTATAAAGAGACTTTTATATTCTACCTTTTAAATTTTACTTAGTTAAAAGTAGACTTTTATATCTTACTTTTTAAGTTTTACTAGATTAAAAGTGTACTTTTATATCTTAACTTTTAAATATTACTAGGTTAAGAGTAGGCTATTATATCTTAACTTCTAAATCTTACTAGGTTAGAAGTAGACTTTTATATCTTAACTTTTACCTTTTAACTTATATATTTTACTAGGTTAGAAGGAGACTTCTATATTTTACCTTTTAAATTTTACCTAGTTTAAAGTAGACTTTTATATCTTACCTTTTAAATTTTACTAAGTTAGAGGTAGACTTTTATATCTTAACTTTTAAATTTTACTAAGTTAGAAGTAGACTTTTACATCTTAACTTTTAAATTTTACCTAGTTAAAAGTAGACTTTTATATTTTAACTTTTAAATTTTGTACTAGTAATATGTATTGTGTATATACCTATTCTACAAGGATTTCAAACCAAAATCCCTAATCCTAATATATATAGGAAGGGCATTAGGATGCACGACGCATCTACCCATCTCTCAAGCAGTGGGCCGAGAGCCGGGATTCTCGTCAAGCACTTTGGCACGCAGGTCAAGTCTTACGAGAAGCCACGACATTTGCTCCAGCCACGCTACAGGACTTCTACGCCATCTCCCTTTACCACGCTGGTTTGACCCTCTGGGCCTACGGTCTTCTCAACAAAGGCCTTCATCGCAAGCAGATGTTAACCTCACATCCTGGCCGGAATCACAGGGCATCGATTGCTGAGGGGCACGGCGTCTTTTTCCTCGACGGAATCGAATCAGCAGAGACACAGAAGTTCGTTGCTCTCAACCGAGCGATTCCAGTCATCAGCAAACGACAAATGCCACCCACTAACGAAGGCGTGGTGGAAATGGTGCCACTGGATGATCCAAAGGCTGTCATGGAAACTGTTATTAGCGTGCTTCAACTGAACCACCGTGTGCACGCTATACCGCCTCTCGCGGAGAATCTAACACATCTCATGCACGATCTAAGTAGAGTAGCAACTATGATTACGAGGAAACGTCAATAGACCATTACTGTGTCGCGCTAGTCGCTTGATCAAATCGTAGCCATCAATCTTTCGCGTTGTTGTTGACAAGCATATGCTGTCGAGACCATACTACATCTAACTTGTGAATATCCTGTTGGATGACATGGAGTGCCGACTATAGCGTCGATCAAGAGCCCGAAAAACTTAAAGCGTAACACAATCGTTAAGTTAAATGGAGAACGAATCTCAAGAAATATATCTAGATTTGGAACAAAAAGTCTACGTCGTGTCTGTTCAATAAGAACACATATTCTACATCAACTTGTAACATCTGTATGTCTTTGATTAGGCTAGTCTGTTTGACTCAACTGACCCAAACCTTCATACGCCCACTTCTAAAAGACGATGTCGTGTCTTTTGCTTCCTCGACCCCAACTGGCTTTGTTGGGTCGTAGTTGACCATGGAAGGGTACTCATAGAGATCCATGCAGCTGAAAGTGTCCTCCCAGGTGTTGTATGGGTCAGGAGGAACTGGCTGGTAAGCTGGAGCGCGCGATGGATAGTATGGCTCGTTGAAGCTGACTCCGCGGTCGGCAGCGCCAATACTTTCCATGGGTTCTCCTTCCCCAGGTAGATGTTCGGGACGATTCATTGCGACATCGAACCAGTCCTGGTTGAAGTGATTCGAAAGGTAGTCAGAACATGGAGATGCCAGATCTTCCATTGCCCGCTCTCCTTGCAGAACTCAACCGCATAGCGTCCCCAACTCCACTGGGTCTTGAATTCACCCTCGTCTGTTGGGAAGGTCTCGTGGCCAGGAGATATCCAAACACCCTTTGCGGTCTGTCCATCCTCGGCGATATCGATGACTGGAGTGGTGACGGTGTGTTCGATTATCAGTCCCTTGGTGCCCTTGACATATAATTTCTTGATTGATGAAAGCTTGGCCCAGGCGCACTACTCTCCGGGCTTGAACACAACATTTTCTTGCTGCGACCAAAAATCTTGGATCTCACAGTCGTGTCGCCCAGCTGAGTGAAGGTATGCACGGCGACCCAAAATTTGGTTGATTTCATGGATGTCTTCAAGATGCTGGATGCGCTTGAGAAGGGACAGTTCGATTATGCAGTTGCAATTGTTGTAGTTGTTCCCTTTTGAGTTGTCTGTTCGGATGAAATTGGTGTTCGAATTGCTGCGATTGTGACTTCACGAGTGGCCATCGTCATCTCTATCTATCGTTTCCAGATCTCTACGATATCTGCCTCAGAGCCCATTTGTGCGTAGTATCTCATACGCAGGAGACGTACGTGCGCATGAGAGTGGTAAGTGGGTGCACTCGACTTGGTGATATTCATAGCACAGCGTGCGGGCGGGTAGGCGATTGGTCTATGGGCCAGGCTCCGATAGGACGAAGGCTTAGGCGAGCCAGGCATAGTGCGGGTAGCGCAAGCGGAGTAAGACTCTGATGCGGTCTTGGGCGTGTACGAGAAGATACTAGCTGGCCGGAAGTACCTTTCTGTCGACCCGTTCCATTTGCTCAATGGAGCGGCTGTAAAGGCTGGTGAATGGAATGACATACTCCCAAAGTACCCGAACGTCGACAGCTGGTTCAAAGAACCACAAGCAAGGGAATCCCGAGTGGAATTTTGTGCAGAGACAGGCACGAGACCAGAAGGTATCAATCGTACATATGTACCATAGGAAGTGTGAGCTATCCAAATCAACTTCAGCTAGCACAAACATGTCTTCTGAGGATGTGCTAAATCTCGGATCCTGCCGGCATCCGGTTGCACGTCAGTAAGCGTCAGTTCTTTGGAAGATTAGCAGAGAACGGTTTCTACACTATAGTGATAGTGCGAATGTGGTCAAGGCATGGCGCGAATAAAGCCGAATCGTGAGAGATAATAAATTGTCAACCAAAATAACCGCCGAATTGAAATCAAACCTATATGCCAACAGACCCTGCAAGAAGCCCCGTGCAGTGCCTCCAAATACAACGCTAATTTGTCGTCACCACCATCCAAGTAAACGAACGCCTCCTCCAGCGCACCGCGTAGCAAATGTACATGTCGCGGCATTGGCATCTCCAGGTGATCTGCGCCAGGGGCTAGGTTTGATGTATGTTCATTATATCTGTTCCAGCCATCGAGACTAAGGTTCGCGGCCATCTTGTGAGGCCGGCCTCAGGCAATGGCGCCTTTCACCGGATCTTCTATAAACCCAGGAATAGCCTCTGTGGGAACATCAGAAGTAGCCAAGAACTCCGTGGGCGCCGTGTCAGTAGAGCATTACTCAATGCGCTCTAGACATTCCCGTCCATTTCGTCGGTAGGTCGGCGTTGTACCCTGCGCCGGAATGTACTTGAACATAGAGTTTCAATTTTGGTGTTCTTGATCGAGCGCTACACAATCCCATTGGCCGTAAGCTGCCCGGTTCTTGTGGCCGTCCAAAATATATCATCACTAGTCATAGACGGGTCAAGACGGCTCGAGGAGCGGGCCGCGCTGACTTTAGCACGAGTAGAGATTAGTCGTAGAAGGCCTGACGCTCGTGCACATACCGTAAAATTTCTGTTTTATGCATTATCTTGAGCAGGAAAAAGTGTAAGCTGAAGTCAATAAATGCTCAATTGAGATGCTGAATTGTTCCTTATCTGCGCCAAAACAATAGAACAATCTCAGTTTTATACCTTTGTTTGGACTTAGTACCTGTGTGGAGCCTCACCTGCCCCATAACGATGATCCAATTAGCAGGAGATGTACGGTGTGCTAGCGCGAAGAACATACAGAAGACTTGACGCAAGAAAATAAAGAAGTAATACAACGTTCCCGATAGGCAACAAAGAGGCTGCTCCAACGTAGGCGCATCTTGTTGTCCATGTAGTGGATTGAATAAGCAAAAAGCTCCGCTATTTATGCCAGCAAAAAACTTTAGTCGATGGGGCAGCCCACTTAGCTAACATCGACCCAGTTCTTCTAATTTCGTAACGCTTTACTGACTCGAAATAGAGAAATACAACGCTTATCTCAGTACTAGAGCACAGATCCGACAGTAGTTGAAACACGTTCCCACCAAAACACGGTCTGAACTGTACGCTAATGCAGTATGATGTTGCAACGGACAGCGAAAGAAGAAACAAATCAACGCTAGTGCTAGGCTTTACGGATTTCGTTTGCTACAAGACTAGATCGTCAACCACCTTGGACGCCTTATATACGAAAATTGACTGACAATTCTCGCAAGATTACTACAAACATGGACTAGTCATAGTAAGGGAGATGCTTTGAATGGTGGAAGATATCGGGAGTAAGGGGGGGTTTCTTGCAACGGCAACGTGGAATAGTAGAATGACAGCACTCGACATACTCTTGCCGATCCTGCCGGCTAGGTATAAAGAGGCCATTGATTCCTCTGTTTTGTTCAGTACACAATCGAAATCTCAAGCATACACTTTATCAGTTCATCTGACAATTACACAAATCAACGCCTGAACGTTCATTATCATGCAATTCTTCAGCATCCTTACCACCCTTTTCTTCGCCAGCACCGCTATGGCGGCCTGCGCTGCTGGTCCGTACAAAACACAATCAGCCTGCAAGAGCGGCTGCGATCAGGTTAAACGATGTGGCGACGATAACTGGGTAGTAAGTTCGCCAAGGATTTCCTATGTCATGCTCTTTCCAGCCATTCTGGCTTCGAGCGCTACCGGTTGAGATGTACCAGTCACGAATGTTCGGTATGCTAATCTACGTAACATAGATTCTGTGCAACGGTGGTTACTGGCAACAGGCCCAGAAGTGCAACCACTGCAAGGGCGGCGCGTGCGCTTCTTAAGCCAACACGTGGGTCTGGGTTTAACATTTGATACGGGATAGGGATTAAGTCAAGTGTTACCGGCATAGCAGTAGTTAGGAAGGAGCATTCAACATGCAAACTCAATAACTCTCTAGAGGAATAAACATTCGTTACAGCAAATTCTATTGAAGTCTACTTATGCGAAAAGACGTGTGAAGTAAATCCCTATAATCCAAGAACATTAACATTGTTGCTATGCGTCTTGAAGAAGGAGACAATTCTATCATTATTAGTGTAGTATTAATTAGGTCTGTGATCATGTTATAACACACCTCGCAAGACCTTCTACCAGAGTATCTCTGTCGACTGAGAAGATAAAACGGAAGCTTCCAGGCATTCTGTCGTGATATGCCTGCCCAGTTGACATTTCCACACCATGATCGTAGAGTCTCATCTTTAGGTCCTCCTCCGCCTGCCATGACGGGTCTTGCAGGCATGCTGATAAGTCGATCCAGAGAAAGAATCCGGCGTTTCTGCAAGCTCACTATATAAGTCGCGAGTTCTTAGCTTGATTACATGACACGGGTGTACTCACGAGTTACGAGCATATGGAATGTTAGCATCGTCAAGTGCCTCCGCCGCAATTGCTCGATGGTCGCCCAAGACACGCTGACTTTCTTGAAGGAACTCTGTGCAAAAGTCTTCATCCTCAAGGACCGTTGTGGCAATGGCATCTGTTAGCGGCGATGCGCAATGAAATCGGCTGGCGAACAAATCAGCGAGATCAGAGGTCACAGTGTTATCAAGACCTACGCTAGAGATCGCACAGCTTGTGTCAGCTGTGCACTCTTCGAAATCAGACATCCCAATCTAAGACCGGCGGCGGCGAAATCCTAAGCAATTAGATAGGCTACAATGTATATGTATCAATCAAATAGGCTTGCCTTGGATAGTCCGTAAAGAACGTGGACCAAATGGCTGTCAACGATATTTCTGATATCTATCGAAAGTATAGAAGTAAACCCAGGACGCGATGGTCCTGTACAATACACCGATAGAGCGTAGATCTCGTCGCTGATGAGGTGTATATTGTACTTACCGCAGAACCGCAATATGGCTTCAAGCGTTTCTTGAGGATAACATTGACCTGTAGGAGTTAGTTGCGACGCCCAACGATTAGCAGAATTGACTTGTCTCTACCAAGGGGATTGTGAGGATTGGTGAGAACGAGCGCTCGCACTTTGATCCCTTCGCGTTCAGCATCTTGGAGAGCACGCTCATAGTGGTCAACTGCCTGCACACTAAATTGATCTTGATCTTCGAACGACGTATACACTAATCTGCAACTGCACTTTGTCAGTGAAGACAATAGTTCCTTCTTCAAAAAGGCCTTACTTGGACTTGGTTTGCAGGTCTGGAGCAAAAGATCCGTAGATCGGCATACCGAGAAGGAAGCCCTCATTTTCTTCAGTCGTGCATAATGACAGAATTTCGTTTAGTGCTGTCACGCCACTGACGAAGGTTATCTCATCATTGGTCACCGGCACGAACGGTGCGAACCGAGCGTTAATGAAGTTGGCCATGGCGTGCCTCAAGCGCCTGGAACCGAAAGGTCCATCGTGATATGTCAACGTACTAAGCTCGAGTTTTGGAAGACACTACAAAGATGATTGAGTGGAGGATTTCAAGATAAAGTGGACTCGACGCTAACCTCTGTCTTTACGAAGTTGAGCGCTCGCTCCTGCATGAGGAACTGTTTAGTGTATAAGCACGTGCGTTCGAAAGCTAACAAGCAAAGAGATCGCAGACACACATTCTCCGCAGTTGTCAATGATACAAGACCGTCGGGGTGCTCGAGTTTATTATAAAGAGGTCCCCGTTTCTTCATGTATCCCGCCGCCAGGTTCAAATCCGCATATTTGCGGCCGCGGGTGGAGAGCATGGCTCTGCTAATGCGATAAATTATTCAAAGATATTATTATTGCATGATCTAGAGTTGTTGGGCGGGGCAGGTCAACCTTTTGATGAGAAAAGTTGTGGGGGTGCGGCGCAGCTAGTTGATCCCGCTTGACTAGATCTGTAGAGAACACCTTATCTTAAATCTGTCATAAGCAATTGCAGATAACTCCATTGTTCACAAGACTGTTGCCTTTTTGACTATTTGTCAGCTTTCTTAATCAGGAGCGTCAGATTGGACAAAGGGTTTTCGATCAGCCATGCAGATGAAGGACTACGAGAAACATGTGATGGTATTGTATGCATATAGCATGAAACCGACCGAGTAGCTTATCTAACTTGCGATATCACCAGCCTCGTAGGCCTTGATATTCAATTTTCTCAATACCCAAGGGTTGGATGCTCGTATCCCGAATTGCCCACCTGTCGTATAAACACATAATCTACCCACTTCACCAATTTCTCAAAGGTGTTCGGGTCTTTACACTCAATATTCTCTGCTAAGATAGAGGGTGGAAAAGGCGAGCCTCTTTTGTGTACACTAGTCAGATCATCGACAAAAGCCTTACTCGTCATGCCTGGAAGACCGGAAGTACCCACCTCTGGCGTCTTCACATCTCGTTGCGTGCTCGTAATAGTATCGCCGGGACTACTCGACGAGCTTGAACAGATTTCCAATGTTCACAGTCAGGACATCTTGAAGGCCGATGTGAAAAGCTTCTCGCTGTAATATACTGCCAACCGCTAGTACCTTTAGATTGAAGAGATAGATCGTTCCTAGTCTGCCTGGTTCAATCCATGCTCAGTCTCGCTAAAAAATACCCGGACAGTTCTATAAGGACCCACATGCGGGACAAGCCTTTGAGGACGTCCATGAAAGAGATGATAGCCATTGGTGGCATCTTTTCAGGCGGCAACAAAACATAGTTGTAAGTGCTCCCCCGTTCGGTATCCCAATGAGTACAACATACCGACAGTGGTAGATTGGCTCGTTAGATGCATTGATTGGGCTCGCTGTGGAACCAGGGCACTGTTTACAAGAACCGCGGACCAAGGATAACTACGAGTAGTCGATACTCAATGCAAAACCCCAGTTGACCAATACTTCGGCGTGGATTGGAATACCCGACACAGGGAAAGTGCACGGCGAAGAGCAAAACGTTCTTTTGGTTACCATAGATCCAATCTCAAACATCGCCAACGCTTGTATGATGCGCCCTAGTAAGAGCTGTTCTGTTTAAGCAGATCTGAAGATCTTGGTTGTATCCCATAAGCGTTTTCGATCTATTCTTGAGTCTTGCAGGATCAACTAAAAGTTCACTACGTTGCGTCGTGGATCCTTTATTGTTGAACGACTTGAGTGCTCAGCCTCAAAGTGGCAGTGCAGCTCAAAGTCATACTTATAGCACTCAGTTCATGACTTTGGTTTGTCTCTGAAATTTCTTAAACTGCACGGATACACACCATCGCCTGCACCTCTCGGATTTAACATGAACACTCAGTCTTTCCGCTTCCTCGATCTTCCGAAGGACATCCGACTCATGGTTTATGAACGCCTGCCAAGACAGATTAAACAACATAACTTCAGTCTGCCCTTCGGTTCAGTCGAACAATCTATGTTGGTTTTCACCTTTTCAGCTCGTGGCTTACCGGTCAACATCCTCGCAACCTGCCGGACGGTCTTGAATGAAGCAAATGTCATCGTCCAGAGGCTATCGCAGCGTTTCATCATGCAGCCAGATGCGCCGATGCGGATTATGTATCAGAGCCCTAATGATATCGAAACTACAGCTGTATTCCATCAAGAAGTAGTCTTTCGTCTCATCGGGTGCATCGCAGGGATATGTGACCGCATACGTGACTGCGCCTCTCAGCCAGCCACCGCTATGATCGCGCACTCAAGTCAACTGGCATGTAGTTCCCCTGCACTACAGACAAATGTACCTGGGAGTTATACTTCCAAGACCTGCACAGAACCTCTGCTGTGGCATACGACCGACGCAAGATCTCTAAGCGCCTTCTTCGCGCATTACGTCATCGATCGTGTTGCGAGTAAGATCCTACGGCCACTACAACACACCAACTCAAACTGCACGAGAGCTGTGATAGAGATCTTGGTGCGCACTCCACATTCTCAATTTCAAAGTAAAAAAGCCCACTCGGAGTCTTCTGAAAAAGTACAATTCTTTGCTCTCACCTACTATTGGTCAGATGCGCGCCTCGATATATGCACGAGCGATGAGCTGGATGAAGATGGATGGGATTTGTTCACCGCATGTACCTGGCTGGATGGCAGATGGTCGTCTAGGGAGACTCTCCAACTTGATCCGGTAAAGTGCACGGACAGGTCTTGGATTAGGGAATGGCTAGAGGGAAGCTGATTATGTGAGAAATAAATAAAATGACTGGGAAACCATAGCGAACGTCTGAGAATAGACAAATTAACATAAAGGTGAAGAATAATAATGTAAAAAAGCACAATTGCTCCATGCCAGTAATAAATACACATGTTCCAGATTAACGCAGCTTCTGAACTTGATCTAGGCTAATGGTTGGTAGTCGATGTACTCTCGTTAGTGCATTACCCCACGTGGGACGGGTAGCGGCAAAATGCTGCACAGCCTCTCGAACGATTTCCGTCGTTCTTCAACCTCATCTCCAACACCCAAAATGTCTGTTGCCCAACTACCCATACACAGTCTAGGCATTTCAACGGCTTTTGAGAGCCTTTCTTTGAAAGAGAAGCACTATGCCCATCATATGGCACGGTATGTGCCCGCCAGACGAACTAGATAGTGGGGCTGAGCTAACTGTTCGGTGGATGCAAGGGCAGCATGGTATGGAGCTAGGATAATTCTACGCCAGGTGTCGCCGGAGTCTATCGGCATCTTCGAGTTTATCCTCGAGCTCTACAGGAGTTGTTCAGGGGATTGGAATGTACTCGTTACGGAAGGATGCATCAGTCAAGAAGATTGCAGTGCATTCCTGGACTATGCGGCAACATTCATGTCGAACGTAGGGAATTATTACGTTCGTCTTATCCTGTTCTTGTAATCTCTGTCATCTAAAACTCCGCATAGGGTTCCGGTGATCAAAAGTTTGTGCCGTCAGTCTCTCCCGCTGCGTTGGCGAAACTATCAACGAAGTCTCCCAAGCTCGAAAACCTTTACGGCCAGATCTCTAATGCGATCACGACCTTACCACCGTATGGGTTGGGATACCCAGGCGACAAAACTCAGAGCGCATACTACCCGGGAGATTCTTCAATTACCGAGAGTGAGATAGCAGCAGTATCTCGCTTGTTAGAGGAAAACTCGATCTTTCCCGAGAACACTAGGATCCAAAAAGTGTCCAGCCGTGAAGCACACACCTTCGAGGTCTTGCAAGCATCTGTCGAACAAGATGCCGATTCAGTTGTATTCGAGTTACCTGCCTTTGACGCCACTATAAAGGTCAAGCGCGGTGACCATTTTGAAGAGCTGGCAAAGATCTGCTCGTCTTTGTCCCAAGCAAAGAAATATGCAGCCAATGAGAAACAAGACCTTTTCTTGTCTGAGTACATCGACAGCTTCATAACAGGCGATCTGGGTGCATATCGCAGTTCACAGCGCACCTGGATCACGGACAAGAGCCCTCGCGTCGAGAATATATTTGGGTTTGTAGAACCATACCGAGATCCGTACGGTAGCCGCGCAGAGTTTGAAGGCTTAGTGGCAATAACTGATCCTGAAGAGACCAACATGCTGGGGAAGCTGGTTCAGAATTCGAGTATCTTCATCAAGAGACTCCCCTGGGCTGGAGGCGAGGAGAACAATGGCAAGGGGCCGTTCGAAAAGGCTCTTTTTGAACCACCTGATTTTACAAGCATCCATTGTGAGTCAAGATTGATAGCACGTTGGCTCTATTAACAAAGGTACAGCCCTCGCATACTGCTCTAGTATCATATTCCCAGGCATCAATCTGCCGAACGTGGGTATATGGGGTCTACTGGTTTGTCAACTGCTAAACAGATATATAGTACAATGACATCCGCGACGAGTGCGGCTTCAAAAACGTTATCATAGCGAATAGGATGAGTGCCGAAGGTAACAAAGCGTATCGAAGCCCCTTTGTCGACCCTACCGAGCTCGAGGATTTCCACAAAGCGAAGTATCCCGCCTATTACTGGTGGGTTGTTCTCCACGAACTCCTCGGCCATGGCACTGGAAGAATGATGGTGGAAGATTCTCAGGGCAAGTTCAATTTCGACATTGACAACCCACCAATAAACCCGTTATCTGGAAAACCCATCACTACTTGGTACAGACCAGGACAGACATGGACGGGGCAATTTGGCGATCTTGCCACCACAGTGGACGAGTGTAGAGCGGAACTTGTGGGTGCTTATCTAATGGATGATATTGATTTGCTTCAGTTGTTGGGGCATGATGAGTTCTCAGAGATCACGGCAGCGGAACGTAAGTAAATATGATCTCACAAACCAACTTGCTAACATTCGATAGTGACGTACAACACATACATGCAGCTCGGAACAGACGGACTTCGTGGACTGGCCAATTTCAACGCCGAGCATGGGGTATGATATCTGACACATCTTGGAGCGATACCCACCAATGTACTAACGTCTATACCAGAAATGGGGTCAGGCCCATAGTCGAGTAAAGCCCACCCTTACCATTGCTTCCTGGACCCTAGTAACAATGATAGGCTCACTTCGCGATTTTGAAGTGCCTTCTGACTGACAGTGATGGTTGCGTCACCGTAGACCATGATGCACAGAGCAAGAACCTCATTGTACGTGTCGATCGATCAAAGATCGTCTCCCATGGCAAGCCCGCACTTGGTCGCATGTTGTTACGCTTGCACACGTACCGTTGTACTGCAGATGTTCAGTCATGCCGTGAGTACTACGAAGACCTTTCACGAGTGCACGCGCAATACCTGGTGTGGCGGGAGATTGTTCTGGCGAAACAGGAGCCCAAATGGGTGTTTGTCCAGGCAAACACCTTTCTTCATAACGAGGAAGTGATCCTGAAGGAGTATCCGACGACGGCTGAAGGCGTGGTACAAAGTTGGGCTGAGCGACAAGTTTGAGCAGAAGTCAAGGCGTCTTCATTTGGAGACTGATTTGCACAATCTGGAGAATGACTTGCATAAAGGCAAGGATAATGCCCATTCCTCCGATGATCAAGACAGCCCAGAATGTGAACCAAGATGCTGAATCTCTTTTATCATTCCAAAGTTCTCTCCAGGTCCTTGGACGTTTGTTGGAAAGGTGGTGCGCAAGTACCGCCAATTTACTTCGCAAGATAGGAAAGTCTTTACTCAGGACGTAGAATTCAGACTCTGGCAACCAATCCACGAAGCAGTTCTGTTTTCTACTGCATAATTCCGTTAGATTTCGGTCATTGCATCCTCCAGGCAAGTCTTCAAACGGGCTCAATGAGCGAAAGAGACGCCGAGACGCTTTGTTCTGTCCGAAAAGTAGGCGATAAGAAAGTAAGGTCTCTCGGAGCAAGTCGTTGACGTCTTCGTGAGTTGCCCAGTACAACGCAGCCATAGATGGGGCTGCGCAAGAATGGAGTGTCGGTTTAATGTGGCCTTTGTCCTGGCTGAGCAAGTTGATTGCGCAAAATGTGGGAAATCGGAAAAGGAAAAGCGTACTTGAGTTGGCGTCAAACTCGAGGTGACATGCCAGACTATCGGTCCATCTGATCTGGATACCACCCAAACCGGTAAGAAGATGAACGTTGAAAGAGTCTGGCGATAGAGTTTTTGGTTTTATCGACGCTTGCTTATTATCTTCCGAGGCTAATGCACCGATGTTGTAACATGGTAGCAGTACGCCAAATCCCATGAGAAACTCGTACAAAGCTCTTCTCGACGCACCTTGGTCTTGACGCAATTCCGCGTAGGCATAACCACGGTGTCCATCAGTCTCGTCAACAATTACCAGCTGATCTGGGCGACAAGACCCCATATCTGGCTTATACAACATTGTTTGCCACCCAATGATGGCGAAAACAAGGTTCCTCGCGTTGCTTAAAGCGTTGGCTTCGTTTCCTAACCACATCAACTTCTCACTGACCATATGAGTTACAATGCTGTCGATGCTGGAGTCGATCATTGAAGCCTGAGCCCATACTTCTTTCCATACGGTGGTAAAGGTTAACATTGGGATGTCGGTTATGTTTGCTGCAGGTTCTTGAAGGACAGAGTAGAGCTCTCGGGGCTGCAATTCCATCTGGTAACGGACCCAGCAATCGTACCAACGCGCATCATATTGACAGCTTTCAGAAGTATCGCCGAGTAGAGCGGTTAGAGTGATGACGAAATCGTTTGGAACTTTGAGCTTTGAAGCTAAAGAAAGCGTTAGCACAGATGGTTAGATCTATTGCATGGCTCACCTGTCGAGGCATTTTTCCGGAGATGGTGCATTTTCCATAAGCTGCCAAGAGTAGATGTGCGCCTTACAGTTACACTAACGTCGTTTTGTTGTTTCTTTTCTTTTGGTTCGTCCATCTTCAGCGTCAGTTCTGGGGGTGTTGCTTTACTTTGTAAATTATCGGCTGTCTTATCTTATACCTGCGATCCCTCAGCCTGGTCCGACCCGGAGGGTGGCGATGAGGCCTTAGATCAACAGAAAAGCGACCCAAGTTTACAATCTAATTGCAGGCCACAGAGGCTGCATGCTTTGATACCAGCGGATGCGTAGCATCTTGTCCCGCGCTTCCCGCTACCTACCTATTCGCGTGCCGCTGCGGGTGCTAAGCGAGGGTGGGGTCACCCGCCAGTAATCGTTCTCCCGCACTGACAACAACACGCTGCATGACGAACTTGATACGCGCCAAGGGGGCGCAGACAATTGAACCGCATCCTCCTCATGCCGAACAAAAGTCTGCCTTGTTTCTTCTTCCTGTCATTGTTTTGGTTATTTCACGTCAAGCTTCGCCATGAGCGCTAAGACCAGCAAGTATGAACCGCTCGAGGCGCCACGTAAGCGCTCAGTGCTAATCATAGGACAGCGAGGAACCTTTGACAAGCCCTTTGTGGCATCGTGCACTGCAGCGATACCGAAAAGAGCTTGACCAAAATGATGATTACCAGTCTGTCACGGAAATCGCGTCGCTCACTGATCTCCTGAATCACACCAAGACGATTGAAAATAGGCTTCCCCGAGATCGAGTTGCCATTGGCTCATTACAGCGACTTGGGCCGACGCTAAAATTTGTGGATGACTTTTCGGCTGTAATTGCAGTTTGTTTTGGGGCTGATGCCAAACTCACAGCCTTTGTATGGGGCAGTATACGCTTGATGTTGACTTTGGCGTCTGCTGCAGGTGACACTCTCAAGGATGTCATCGATATGCTCGAAGAGCTAAGCCTTACGTTGCCAAGACTAAGAACTTACGAAACCAGTTTCGAAATGGAACGAGGGCTTGAAGCTGCTTTAGTCGACGTTTATACCGAAGTCATATGCTTCTACGCACGTTGTATTCACTTTTTCCGATCACACCCATCCGTGCTACTACGACGTGGCGCTTGGGAAGACTTTCGTGACGACTTCGCTCGCACGCTTCGACGCGTCCGACGGCTCTCTGCGACGGTGGAGAGCGAAGCGGACTTTGCTCGCATGGAGCGTGACCGGGGAAAGTACGACGAGGTTCTAGGACTAATGGAAAAACTCAAGGAGACAAAACTTCAGGAGCATGAGCAAAAGCGATATCACTATATCCCTTCTACGCTCAGTCCTAGGTTCTGGGGTCGGGAAGACGCTCTGGACGCTGTTGAAGAGTCGCTATCGCCCAAGCAGAAGTCTCATCAGCTCAAAACATTCGCACTCTACGGCATGGGAGGCGTTGGAAAAACTCAGATCGCTTTGCAGTATGCCAAACGTCATCGGGAATCATTCAGTATCATCCTTTGGGTCGCAGCTGATAATGTCATTAACATGGGACAAAGCTTCCGCGAGATTGCGAAGTTGCTCGGTTTGTCCCACACTGAGCAGGAGTTGCAGGACACGCAAGGTTGCATGCTGAAAGTGAAGAGCTGGCTCACTGAAGCCTGTAAGTGCCACTCGTACCATTCTTACTACAACTCGAACTGTGACCCCAACGAGACAGCACTCGGGAGACACGAATAACGTTACTTATCATGAACTAGCTGATCCCTGGATACTCATCTTCAACAACGCGGATAATCTTGAAGTACTACGACACGCTTGGCCCACCAATGGGGAAGGATCGGTACTCATAACCACACGAGATGCGAACGCTGTTCACAGTCCGGCTACGAAGGGTTTCCATGTACAACCTTTCGATGCTACTGATGGATCCGATCTGTTGCTCAACCTCCTGGGCCTTGATCATACCTCGCTGTTGAACCGCGAGAAATCAGTCGAGATCACCAAAGCCCTCGGAGGCCTGCCTTTGGCTCTGACTCAGATCGGGGGCTTCATAGTGCAGCGCAAGCTGGCTCTTCGTGACTTCCTGCCGTTATACGAGCGCAACGCTTCCAAAATCGACGCTCGTCAGACTAGCATAACTGGTTACGAGCATACATTGAGCACGGTATGGGAGATGTCTATGAGCAGGCTCGAGGGAGATACTCAAACACTGTTCAACATGCTACCGTATTTTCAACCGGATGGCGTTGATGAAACGATCCTATCCCAGGGCTCGGTATCTCTTGATGATCCTGCATATGGATTTCTTCACGATGAAATGGAGTAAGTTAGAGCAGTTTCTCCGACATTATTTGGTTTTACTGACTGATCCATCTAGTTTGGGAGATGCGGAAGAGGTCCTTTTACGGACCGGTCTCGTGGACAAGAATGCGGAAGACGCAGTTTTGTCGATTCATCGTCTCATACAAGCTGCCATTCTTCGTAATCAGTCTCCAGAGATTCGTAAGAACATATTTCACATTGTTGTTTGCATCTTGAGTTGGGCATTTCCCGATACGTGGAGCGAGGACGTCGGTCATCAGTTTCAATCGTGGGCAAATTGCGAAAAGTGTCTTCCACATGTCAACCATTTGGTCGCCCAACGAGAGAAACACAAAATAGGCCTTACCTCTCCTCAGAGTTACGGCGAATTGCTCCTGCGGTGCAGTTGGTAGGCATGAGAAAATTCTTGACTGCATCGTTCATCACGCTAATCTACTAAGGTACCTCTACGAACGGGAATGTTATGATATCGCTAAGACCCTGATTATCGCAGCCCTGGAGACCTTCGAAGAGAAAAGCACTCTATCTTATGCCAGTGCTATTGACCTTTCTGGGCTCTTGGACCTGGACATGAACAACGCAAAAGGAGCCCTGCGGCCGTTTGAGGAGGCGTTTGCAATCCGTAAGCAACTACTAGGACCAACAGACGGCATGATTGCGTCAAGTCTCAACAACATAGCTCTCGCGTATACCGAGATGGACGAACTTGACAAAGCTTATTCCGCACACAAGGAGGCCATTGGTATTCGACTTAGCACGAACAGTGATAGGATCGGAAACTCTTACAGCAATATGTCGAGTCTGCTTTTGAAGATGAAGAGGCCTGAGGAAGCAGAGGAAATGCTCAAGCGATGCCCATCGCTCAAAGACTTCACAGACGAAACATTCATCAAGACTGGCAATCCGCGATTCTCAGGGGATATGGTCCTCCTCTCACGTATACGAATCCAGCAAGGTAGACTCGACGAGGCTCTTCGTCTTGCGTCGAAGGCTCTGGTCTTTCGGCAGACGTTGTTGGGAAACCGTTTGAAGACGTGCGATTCATTGTACGACGTGGCTTCTCTGTTGCACATGCATGGTAACACAGCATCCGCTATGTAAGAGGTTGACCTTACAACTATGGTACCCGTCCCTTGCTGATATTTTCGTGTGATAGTGAGCTTCTAGATCAGTTGACGAATACTGCTGGCTCCATACCCGAAGGCAAAGGTCAGCTTGCCCGAGCTTACTTCAAGCTTGCCGTTCTACAAGAAGAAAGGGGAAGACTTGGAGAAAGTCATACTTATAAGGAGATGGCAGAAGGTCTGAGGGCTGAGTTGAACCCAGAATCTGCAGAGGCACCGTTCATCGAGGAAGAGTTCATGAAACTCTGTGTATGGATGTTATGGTAGTACAACCGACAACGATACTTTGGCCCTCTTAGAACACAGTCGACTGCGGTTCCATCCTTCTGAAATAACAATGGCACTCGATATATGCGACGAGAAGAAGAAATGCATGAGGTTTCTAGCTGTAGGTGCAACCTCCTGTGTGATCATGTCCCTAGCTATCTCCACACTTGAATTCCATCTGACTCGCCTTTCCTACTTGTTCACACTGACGTACATACAATGCCGAGTCCCGGCTACGACTCAATAGTTGGACATGTTTTCAGACGAGTACGACTATTAATCTCGATCCACAGTTTCGTTACGTGTGTGCCCTGTGGAGTCGATGTTGGAGCTGGATGGCATCATTATCTTCGTGTAGACAGTACCTGTACGGAGAAGTGTGGAATGTAACGTAGGGAATCGTGACTAAAGAACTGACGCTGAAGTATCCCTCCACTCAGCCCAACATCCTCAACGATGTCTTTCGAGAATAGCCAGTCAGACTGTTCGAACCATGGCACATACCGAGGCGGCCAGGTATACGAACCCTGAAAGACCATTTAGTATCATACTATTGATGAGCTCTATATTGCCCTACCACCATCTCTTGCCGCACTTATTGCATGCACATCCTTGCCACAACGAGCACCCAGTTAGATACGTACCGAGGTGTTATACCTTCTCACCCCACCACAAAGACCCCAAATACGTCACTTGAGACTACTATCGCTGCCAGTCGGCTGTATTGGGATGTGTGAAGTGATCTACATGATTGCCTCACTACTACCGGGTACTTAACCATTGACGAGGCACTAGCGGCGGAGCCCAGTGACCCCTGACATATGTCTAACAACCCAACTCACCGTCTGAGGCTCTACAGCGATGGAATACGCATATCGTAAAGAGCACAGTGTGCTGACAATAACAGGTGGTGCAGTGTAGACATAAGAAACTCGAAGTTTCTTGACAAATGGGTGACGCCTAGACAGCGCATACCAAGACGACCATTCCAAGCTCGATGCATGAGAAGAATAAGGTTCAACCCTGCCCGTAGTCCCGATCGAATTACCTCGCTACACACGCTACTTGCCCCTGTATCCCGTTATCCCGCAGCCTCAACCATGAACGGTATTCGGCGGTACGCTAGGGCAATGGCCGAACGCTCGTATTCCTTGCATGGCATTGGGTCTTCACACTGCTTCCGGAGACGTGTTTCCAGATACGGAAGTACCGGCACTGGACGCCTACATTGGCCGGTTGGATTGGTTCCGAAAGGAGATGGCTCACCCGAGGCCGAAACTTTATTTTGACAGCCGATGACAGGCTAGGGCTTATGTCGGAGGTGGGTGGGTGGATAGTCGAGCATTCCGCAGTGAGGGCAAGGTCGATGGTGTGGGAAGTGCTGGAGGGGTACTTATATGGGATGGTCGTCTCCTACGAATTGGCTCGATACTTTCACTTTGATCAGCTCAACTAGATCACTTCGCTCACTCTTCAGCGCCTTTTCAAATATTAACTTTCGTTCCAACAACCCCTGTTCAAGATGAAGCTCTTCGCACTATCCGTCCTCGCCACGCTGGTTTCAGCCTCCCCCATCGCTGTGCCGGAAGCAAACGGTGTGGAAGCCCGACAGTTTGGTTCTGGCACCAGCAACGAGCTCGAGCAAGGGAGCAGTTCCAGCTGCCCGAAGGCGATCTTCATCTTCGCCCGTGCTAGCACCGAGCCAGGAAACATGGTAAGTTGAGAACCATCCGTTTTCACGGGTGTGTGATTCATATTGGCTAACATCCGCGGTAGGGGATTTCGACAGGTCCCGAGGTTGCCCTCGCCTTGAAGCAGAAATATGGCACGAGCAGCGTCTGGGTCCAGGGCGTCGGCGGGCCGTACGCCGCTGGTCTGGTTGAGAACACACTACCAGGTGGCACCACTCAAGCTTCGATGAACGAGGCAGCGCGGTTGTTCATCGAGGCCAACACAAAGTGCCCCAACACGCCGATCGTAGCGGGCGGATACAGGTACGTCTTTCAGCCTCTCTCGAATCTCATCATCGTTTCCGCGCTCCAACTCTTTCCATCCACCCATTTCCCTCCTCCCCCGCCACCAGACTGACACATCCTAGCCAGGGAACCGCCGTAATCGCCGGCGCAATCCAGAAGCTCAGCGCCACAGTGCAAGACCAAGTCAAGGGCGTCGTGCTCTTCGGATACACGCAGAACGCGCAGAACAACGGCGGCATCCCGGGGTACCCAGCCGATAACGTCAAAGTCTACTGCGATGTGGGCGATCTGGTGTGCTATGGCACTTTGACCATTACTGCGGCGCATTTCTCGTACGCTGATGAGGCGGCGGGGCCGGCGCCGCAGTTTTTGGAGGGCAAGATTGGGGCTTAGATGGTGGTTGGAGGTGGTTGGGTTTCTCGTGCTGAGATGCAGTGCTCTTGGGGCTACTCTATTATGGAATTTGACGAAATTGGGATTTTGCGTCCATGAGGGAATGTATATATTTTTGACACAACTTGTGAAATCACATTCTTCTTCTCGAGTTCCCCTGAGTTGAAATCGCGTAACCTTCCTCCTCATCCCCGAAGTATAGAAACCTCCGGGAACTCATCGCTCGGACCCTTGAGTATACCATCTTCTGGCACCTTTCCCAGCGCAAACAAAAAGTAGCTCGAGAGATACCGCCCCAACGTTTCCCACACACGACTTCCAGGCAAAGGACCGATAAGCCACTGCGCCGTCTCGCTCAACTCCTCCCGGATGCCCGCCACATCCACCAAGACATTGAGATCCCAATAACTCCCATGCGCACTATCCGTGATGGTAAACTCCTTCCTATACCCCGCCGACATAGAAGAACCCAGCGCCGACCAAAACAACCCCCAAGACTCATCAGTCGACGAATCATGCCCATCGCTCCCCCACAGCACAAATGGCCACGGAAGTGACGCATTCCCAAGCCCCAGCTGCAGAACAGGCCCGAACATAATCCCATCGAGATTGACACCCGCGCTTATGCGGCGATCCCGCAACATGCTCGTGGCCACGGCCGCGCCGCCGAAACTATGCCCAAACATGACCACGTCGTCGCCGAGCTTGCTGCCCAGCGTGTCCAGCACAAAGGATACGTCACGCGCGCGCACTTCCAGCGCGTGTTCGACCGACGCGCTGGAATTCGCGGTTGGTTTGTCGACGCGCCCGCCGTAGATGACGGTCCCGTCGGGGAACTCGACTACGTCGACATCGTACGGGTGGTCGATTGTGATTACTACGAAGCCGTGTGATGCGATTTCCTGCGCGAGTGATGAGTAGAAGAGGCGTGTTGTGTTGAGTCCGGGACTGAACAGTGCGATGGGAATGTGGTGTTAGGGTGCGGATTGCAGTCCCGCTGCTGCTCGTCTACTTTGCAGACCTCGAGATTGAAGTCATCGAAGATGGGGGGGTAGTCGTATTCTGCCAGGATTTGGTTCTCCTCTGCTGCGGTTGCGGGCGAGAAGTATGGGGTTGTGATGAGCGAGCATTGTTCTGCTAGGATGGGGTCGAAGCGCGATATCATGAGTCGGCGCAGGTGTGTGGCATTGAAGGGGTCGAGACGGGAGGTATCGGTTAGTTCGTAAATAGTCAAGCTGGAGTGGTAAGGCCCGGAGCCTTGTGGGAGGGTGAACGTTGCGGAGACTACCAGGCCCAACAGGGGGGTGGTATAGCACAGCATACGCATCTTGGATGGAACCATTGTCTGTTCTGCGGTTCTGCGTAGTGTTATGGGGGATTCTGTAGGACAGTGAGTGAATTTGTCACCCTCAAGACAAGCTTGAGAGGGGGAAGAGTTGAGGCGAAGATCTCGTAACTTTGCATTGGCATTGTGATGGTACCTGCCAATCTGGGGATAGCACGCTGAATGCCTTAAATACATGTCTTGGCTTCGTTTTTTGACTTGTTGGCGTAAACCACCACATCTTCGAATCTATATACAGACGACGAAAAGAAACTCATAGAATGCGACACAAGAAAAGCCGAGGACCGACGTCTCAGTGTCGGACCGCCCAAGTCCGCAAACTTGGAGGTATGAGACATCATAAGGCTGCCAGAGTCGAGTGTAGTACCTCTGAACACTCAATATTCACCCCCGTGATACAAGGCGTACTTTGCAAGTTGCACCCGATACATAACCATCGAAACACCGTCATCTACAAATCAATCATCGCTCCTCCTCTTCCACGTCCTCCAATCCAACCCCCTCTCCTCCCCTCCCAACACAGCAAACCAAACACCCAGCAACGAGGAAAAACCCCGCTGCAACCACATACGGCAGTCCCCTCCACGCCCCACCAAACGACAACCCGAGTGCAAACGCAGTTGCAAGAAGCGGGCCCGAGACCATCATCCCAGCACTCTGCACCAGCGCAATAAACGTACTCATGACACCCCCATGATCTGGCTCAACCAGCGCCATAGCCAGACTGCGAAGCGCAGAATAGAAACCCCAGCCGCAAGCGAGGAAGCTGATGCCGAATCCAAATACGACTGGGCTGGTAGCGAGTGCCATGATTGCCGCGCCCACGGTCAGCGACCATGCACTCCCTTGAACGATGTAGCGGTCTTTTTTGAAGGCGGGCATGCGATGGCTTAGGATGATGGAGAGGCGTGGTAGTACGATGAGCAAGGTGATGAGTGTGACTATTCCTTTCAAAGTTACGAAGAAGCTGGCGCTGGATATACTCCAATTGAAGCGGACTGAAGCATACTGCACAACGAGCTGGAGTGCCTGTTTGCCGATGCTGGCGAAGAAGAATGAGGATATGATGAGCACGACGTTGGTGTTGAGTGGCATTCGACTCTTGATCCTGGACCACTCGTTCCCGAGTTTCTCAAGCCAGCTGTCTGTCTTGCCATGGGCAGTTGAGGGTGGCTGAGATGTTTCAACGCTGACTTGATCATCCTGAAGTGACTTTGGCTGTTGCGACAATGTCTCAGGCAAGACACAAGCCGCGCAGAAGCCGACGAACTGAATCCCAAGACCAAGTAAGGAAGGCACCCAGGGACTATATTTCCACATCAGCACAGCGCTTACAGGCGTAGCAAGTATCTCGCCAAGCAAAATAACAGCAGCCATGACGAAGAAGATAGAGGATCTGGTGCAGTAATTAGTCCTGTCCTGAAACTGAACGACAAATACAGCATACCGCTCTTCAGGATCAAAAACATCCGTGATCATGGCATACGCCATCGAAGTTGCAATCTGCGAGCCACCGCCCAGCACCTGGAACAACGGAGTGGCCCAGACAGCTCGCAAAGGAACGAAAGGCGCCCACCAGCAAACCAGGCGATTGACCACTTCTTCCAACAAAAGCCCGACAAGACAGAGGAGCACGATGGGCCTTCGACCGATACGATCAGCCGCAAGCCCATAAGGCAGGGCGAGGACGATTCCAGGAAGCTGGTGAATAGTGTCTTTTATTCCGATGAAGAGCGCTAGTTGCCCCTGTACTGCGGGTGATTTGCATGGTGATGTTGTCGCATTGCTAGGAGGTGATGGATCTGTGTTGTGAAGTTCGTTGCAGATGACGGATTCGTAGATTGCGATGCCGGGGGGGTAGGCGAGAGCGTCGCCGAAATCCATGGCAACGATGGTTATGCACACCCACAGCAGGACCCACCGCTTGAGGGAGATAGGCTCGTTTTTGATGGCGTCGGGCAATGGGGACGCCGGAGAAGGGCCAGGTAGGAGAGGCGTTCTCTCGACCAGAGATTGAGGGTGATTTGGCCCGCTGCTCGACATGCTGGCAATCAAGAACAGAGTAGGAGACAGGTTCCGCACTTGGTTTGGGACAAAGGCTGGAGGACATCTAACAAGGACGCCCGATGCAAACAATACAATGGCTGTATCTGAAGATGATAGTGTGTTTACGTGTCACGAGACATGAAGTAGATAGGCAGCAAGATCAGAATGAGGCGTCCGACCCACCTACGTGCTTACTTTTCGTTTCCAAGCGTTCGGGAACGCCAAGAGCAACATACAGTGGGTTCTGCGTCATAACGATGCCTGCTGTGTAACAATTTCCTGTATTGTAATAATTAAGTATTGCGCCCTAGGCGTTTTTTTGCGTACGTAATAATAGCAGCTGGTTAATATTATAATTAGCTAATATTATTATAAGGCTACTGTCCTAAAGGAGTTTAGATACCTAGCTAGAGCCTCTAGTAGCTAAAATTTACTTTTAGCTGTTACTTAACTACCTATTTTAAAGCTGTTACATAGAGCGTAATTATAGGCTAAAAAGGTAGCATTTATCCTATATAATTACTAACTATTTACTAATAATTTATTAGCCTATGCCTCCTAATACTAAGCTTAATTATTACTATTAATACACCCTTAATAATAAGTAATACTTAGTAATTTAGCAATATACTAAAAAGTACCTTAGAGCTAAATAGTTAATAATAGCTAACTAGGCTTTATATTAGTTTAGCTATATTATTTAATAATTAATAATTAGTAAGGTGCTGTTAAGCTGTTTTACATATATTAAGAATATAAGATAAAGAGTAAAGAATAAGTAGTTTAAAAAAAAGACTTATACTATATAGCCTAACTTTAATAACGCCTTATTTAAATAGTATATAAGGCTTAAAGCTGTGTATATTCTTATTACTAGTACGTTACTTAAGTAGGCAGTAATTAAGCTATAAGTAAAGCTACTATACTATATAGATTAACTAATACTATTATTCTATAAGGACTTTATTAATAGCTTTAAGAAGCGCTATAATATAAAGCTTATTAAATAATATAGTAAAGCTATATTAGCTAACCTATTAGTAAGCTTAAAGTTAGTAATAATAGAGGTACGCAGCGTCTATTCTAAGTACACTGCCTATAACACTTATAATATAGATAAAATAGAGCTTTTCTAGCGTTAGGTACTAGAGTAGATATTAGTAATAGAACCCTAATTTAGTATAAAAAAGTATAAGAAGTAGGTTATAATTAGACTTACTTATAACGCTAATAGTAGCTATAAGCTTCCTCTTATTATTATTAGTAAATTAAGACACCCTTAAGCACTTAGTAGTAAGAGTAACCCCCTTATATAAGGCCTCTGTTATACCTATTATAGCAATAAAAAAGCCTAAATAACTAGGAAGCTAATAGTAAAGTTTTTATAGGATTTTAATACTAGAATAGCTAGAAGAAAGGTACTATTAATCCTAGATAGCTTCTTAGTATATATAAGTATAGAGAAGAAAATGCGTAAGCAATTACACTATATAAGGTATATATAAGTAAGCTATTAGTATTATAGATAGGCTAAATTTAAGCTTAAGATTTACCTAAGTCTATAAATACACTACGCGTTAGCATTTTAATAAACTTCTACTAATATCTATAGACTATCTTAATTAGGTAAGATATAGACCTAATTAAGTAAGGCTTAGGTTACTTAATAAATCTATAGCCTCTAGTTAGCCTAAATATTTAGGGTCTAAGAATATTAAAAATTACCTACCCTATAATACTAATAGATTACTCCTCTATTTCTATACTTAACTCTAAGTTTTTACACTAACTTATAACCTATAGAGTTATTTTTCTACTACTAAATATTACCTTATACTATTAACTATATAATTAAAGCATTATTTAGAACTTTAAGTATAAATAAAGGGCTCTCTAGCTTAAATTCTTTATATAGAAGAGCCTAGATAGGTATAATACTATTAAAGTAATAAACCTACTCTATACTATTTAATAGATAGTAATAGTATAGGAAGGTATCCTGCCTTAAACTATTACTAATTACTAGTATAGTAGTACTTACTATAATATATATTATAGTCCTTAGTTCTCTTCTTCTTATAATTATAAGAATATTAAGAAGCTTCTTATAGAGCTTATATACTAATAAAATATACGCTTTGCTATAAGCCTTAATTACCTTATAAATAAGTTTATTAACCTAGCAGATAAGCACTATATTAATATTAAGCTAGCTAAAATTATTAATTACGTAGTAGAGCTATACCTACTAAAGGATAATAAAGATAAGGAGGATACCTTTCTAGCACGTCTATTTATATATAAACAGGGTTATAAGCTTATTAAGTAGCTCCTATAGTATAAGGGCAGTAATAAAGATATATAGGATGCTTATATAAGCGTACTCTAGGCGCTAAGAGGCTGTATTAGGCAGAGGTTAATAGTAGAACGTACTGCTATATAGGAATAGTAAGGCATTTGTAATTACTTTAGATAATTTATAAATATACTGTTTTTACTAGCTATATACTGTTTTTTTAGAACTATGTAACGTACTAAGGAATTCTGCTCTGTAACGATATAGGTGCGGTAACGATATTTATCTTGTCCTGATAGGTATCGTTATGACGCAGAACCCACTGTATCCAACGTATGACAATAGGAGGACGATGAGCTGAACGTTTTAACCTTGGGATTTCCAGAATTGCCACCGTCATTACAGAGCACATCGTCGGTATATGGCGATTCGTCAGCGTCGTCAATACCCGTATTCTTCTCTTTTTCCATCTCAGGGGTAGATCGCAGGACCGGCTTGCGCTACTGGATCAGATATCATTCAAAGGAGCAACGGCTTGTGAGCAAGAAGAACAGGTAAAGAAAATCGTCTAGCCAGCTTGTAGAGTGTCTATCCATCAACCAAGACTAAGCACATGCCCCCGCCAACACATTACAACCACCCCCTATGATGTAATAATCGCATGTGGCACAACCAGACATACTGGACTCGGAAAGAGTCTTTCGACTGTGCCTCGACTATACATGATGCACGTCGGCAAATCCAGCCGCGCTAGCTATGTACCGTAAGGAGCGCTTTTAATAGCACAATCCTCTGCGATCCCGTATCTTCTGAATGCGAATCCACGACAAGCATGTTAGATGATAAACGCTTCGATTCGATTTGATTCGATCTAATTCCTGCATACGACCGACCGACCAACCAACCGACCAGTACCCAGGCGACAAGAAACAACTTCTCAAACGCGCCGCTTCCAGATTCAAAAAGCCGTTATCCACAAAATCTCGCCGTAGCTGAACAAACGATCCCCTCTTCCACCCAGGAACCCACTCTTTTACGCAGGTCAGAGGTTGGCTGGGAGAAACACCGCACTGCACATTGACCCCAGAACAGCGATGAAGTATTTCAAGGTAGACGCTAGAATGTCGAGACTGCTGATTAGGGGTACTAACACAAAGCCCATAAACCTCTGCGCATCAACACACCGGAGAAAAAGGGGCGTCAAGCCATACAGCTTGGAACTATGCGTATGATTCTCCACCAACACAACTACCCCATTTCGCAGCACAAAACCCTAAACTGGATTGCGCATGTACTTGTAAACACAACCCCCTCCCCCCAACCCGTTTTCAAACCACCCCCCCAAGAATAGCGCGCACCCCCGCTCTCTCCTCCCAATCAAGCACCCACTCCATCCCCCCCTCCCCCCTCAAACTCTCCTCCCACTCCTCCCCCTCCATATTAAGAATAACACACATCTGCGTAACCCTCGTAAACGCATCTCTAAGGCCATACTTCCCGCCCTCGACCGCCTTCGCCACAACACCCGCTACATCCCTCTCCAGCCTAACAGCGCCGAGTTCATTGACGCGGCCGTAGTAGCTTTTGATTCTTTTTTCGAGGGCGGAGGCCAGATAGGGGATGGTGGCTGTGAGGAGGCGGTCGAAGTTTGCGGGGGTGAGGATGCGTTTTATGGGGCGGATGACGATGTGCCAGTGGCGGTCGAAGCGGGATTTTACGAGGTCGGCGTCATCGGCGTCGTCTGGTTCGTCGTCAAGAGCGTCGTCTGGCGGGGCGTAATCGATATCGCGGAAGGCTTCTGCGAGGATGGGGCGGATGCGGGGTTTGAGGACGTTAGCAACCAGCACGGTGATGCCGTCGTTGAGGAGCTCTGAGCTTTTTGCGGCGAAGGAGGATTCGAGGGTTTGTAGCGCAGTGTGGACGAAAGTGCTGTCGTGGCCGAAGGGGAAGAGGTCTTGGAGGGGGGAGTGTTGGGTTGAGGGGTTGGGAGCGAGTTGCTGGTCGACGATGCGTTTTATGTAGTCGTTTGCTATGTCGAGGTTGTTGATGAGGACGAGGAAGGCGATGACTTTGTCTTCGGGGGGGAGGCCGCCTTGGATGACGGGTTTGGGGTAGCTTTCGTCGCGCATTTTGCGCTGCATCATGCCGATGAAGTCGCTGCCTAGGACGCGGCTTACGGTTGGGACGACGCTGGCGACGACGTTGCGCTGGGAGGTGGCTAGCGTGCGCTGCAGGACTTGGTTGACGATGTACATTACGTCGTCGACGGCGGAGGTGATGAATGGCGGGTTGGAGCCGAGGGGCTTGGTGGGGTTGAGCGTGAGGTCTGCGGGTGATTCGTCGAGCTGGAAGGCCTTTTCTACGGAGCGGCGGAAGAAGAAGGTCGTCATGATGTTGAAGGGGTCGATGAGGTGGGACGTGACTTTCTTTTGGAGGTTGCTGGTTGCAAGGAAGGGCGGCATAACGAGACCGTGGTCGATGAGGTCTGGGGGAGTGGAAGGCTACAATCATGAGTAAAAGTATAGTAAAGAGATTGATTTACTTACTGCACACTTGTCCGAGATGAATCGCGAGTACAGGGCCCAACGACCAAGCATCAGCGCACTCTCCCCCAGCAGCCCGTCGACTTCCTTCATATTCACCCCCTCATCCTCACTCGTCCGTACAGCATTGGCTGGCGAGTTGGACCGGGGGGCTCCAGGGGCAGGTTTCTGGGCGGGCAGAAAGCTCTGGACAAGAAATGAAAATGCATACGACTTGATGTCCGTCAGGGTGCGGTGGATGTTGCGCTCATCCTGCCATGTGTCGAGGATAATTCCCCCCTGAACGTCAGCTTCAATCTGCAGACGCTCGACCACCTTCGCCATCATGCCTAGGCCGTAGTGCTGCTCGACAAGCGGCGCATGGCCGTCGACAATCTGTGCAATGTGCTCGAACAGTTTCGTGACGGTGTTGGCGTAGAAGAAGGGCTCGCTTCGCTGTGCTGGTGCAGCCGAGTTGAAGTTGGTGCGGGCCCTCGCTGCCACGCCCTGGCAGACATAGCGCCCGTAGGCATCCAAGCCTACATCCGCCCGCCCAATGAGGGGGAAGAGCTTGAAGAAGCGGGTGATCTTGGAGCCGTCGCCATCCTTTGCAGCCTTGTCGAACTCGCGCAGGAACAGGCCACACAGGGACTCGGCAGCGGCGTCCAGTGTCACACGAGGCGGGTCGGGGACCTCTGCAGTGGGCACAATCTCCTCGGCGAAGCTGCCATTGACGACGTCGTGGGGGATCTTGGATGCGCGGCTCAGGTAGGCAGCGGCTGTCTCCCAGTCCTGCGGCGCGCCCATGGACCCGTGCACGCCCAGCACACACGCCTTGAGCTCAGCGACCTGCTCGACCACGTCCAGCGTCGCCTTCACATTGGACTGCTCCTGGTCCAGGCGCTTCACGGCGCTCGAGATGCGATTGGCCGTCGAGGCAGCGTCGGAGAGCATGCCATTGCTGATTGCGCGCGTGTTGACGACCTGGCCGCCGAGATGGGCGCGCAGCAGGTCCAGGCGGCCAAGCTCGCGGGAGAGGTCTTTTTGCGATGCGACGAGGGCATTCAGGCGGTGGGTGACGGCAGCCTCCTGCTCCTGCAGGTGGGCGAGGGCGAGGTGGATGTCGGCGACCGACGTGGCGGCGGAGATGTCGAGGGCGCCATGCTCGTTCATGCTGGGGGGCGGTGGTGATGGTCGTGGTGGGGTGGTTGGCGTTGCATCACCTCCGCGCGTCGATCCCGTCACGTCGCGCAAGAGGCCAGTCTGCACGTCTTCACGTGTCCGTCTCCAACACCGGTCTGGGCAGGAGAATACTGCCAGGACATGTTCAAGCCTCGATTATAGCAACAACACGACATGGTCACCACTTCACGGTCGTTGGACTGCATAGGCGACATGGATGGCGGGCTTGGCTGACGCCTCCGCTCGTTGCCCCGTTGAACGAGGTGCAAGGATGGCAGGCGGGAAAGTGGACGACAGCGAAACAATCTCCCGCCTCCAGCGCAACTGACACTGACCCCGAAACACGACTCACACTCTGCGCATCCATACACTGTTGCTGTGCACGCGACGGCCGCTGCTCCTCCACAGACCAAAATAGAACGGCGTCTCAACAAGCCCGTCGCAAGCTACGCACGCCATTACGCATAACCCAGCCGCACTGCACTGCGCCCGCCTCGGCCCTCCACCACGTCCTGCTCGTCCTGCTCGACCCTCCACCCCGCCCACTTCGCCGTGTGTCGACTTCCACGCCCGCTGCGACTGCCAAAACACTCGCGCCTGCCCAGACGCACTTCCCGGCCCGTCTCGTCGGTCAGCACACCTCGCCTGCGGGCCGTCCCAGCTGAAGACGACCCCAAACACTCGCCCATGCTTGCACCACGCGCGAGCCTGCACTAGATACCCCCTCGACGTTGATTTCCCACGGAACCCCTCCCCCATATCCCCAGATGGACTCGACAGCGCACCTCCTCCATGCCGCACACGACGTATACGCGCGCAGCGGGGGCATTGGAGGCGACGCCGCGGGCCGTCCAGGCTCCTACAAGATCGTTGGCATCGTCCTCGCCATAACGTCCGGCCTGTTCATCGGCGTGTCGTTCGTCATCAAGAAGCACGGCCTGCTGCAGGCAAACTCCAAATACCAGGAAGAGGCCGGCGAGGGCTATGGCTACCTCAAGAACGCCTGGTGGTGGGCTGGCATGTCGCTCATGATTGTCGGCGAGATCTGCAACTTTGTCGCCTACGCCTTCACCGACGCCATCCTCGTCACCCCCATGGGAGCCCTGACCGTCGTCGTCTGCGCCATCCTGTCCGCCATCTTCCTCAAAGAGAGGCTGAGTTTTGTGGGGAAAGTCGGCTGTTTCAACTGCATCGTGGGATCCATCATCATCGCCGTCAGCGCCCCTTCGCAGTCGTCCGTCGCCAGCATCCAGGAAATGCAGAAATACGTCATTGCGCCTGGCTTCCTCAGCTACGCCGGCGTCATCATCATCACGTGCGCCGTCATGGCCTTTTACTTTGGCCCCAAGTACGGCAAGAAGTCGATGATGGTCTACATCTCTATTTGTAGCTTGATTGGCGGCCTCAGTGTGGTTGCGACGCAGGGTCTGGGCGCTGCGATCGTGTCGCAGATATCTGGCTCTCACGGCGGGCAGTTCAAGCAGTGGTTTCTCTACGTTCTCCTCGTATTCGTCGTCATCACGCTGCTTGTCGAAATCATCTTTTTGAATGTGAGTTCCCCCTCGTTGATAACCCGACAACACTGACATCCGCCTAGAAAGCCCTCAACCTCTTCAACGCGGCCTTGGTCACGCCTACATACTACGTCTTCTTCACCTCCTCCACCATGGTCACCTCTGCAGTTTTGTTCCAGGGCTTCAAGGGAACAGCAATCCAGATCCTGCAGGTCATCATGGGCTTCCTGCAAATCTGCTCGGGTGTCGTACTACTACAGCTCTCCCAATCAGCAAAGGATGTCCCCGACGCCGCCGTTTTCAAGGGTGATCTCGACCAAGTGCGCACCGTCGCCGAAATGGAGGAGTCCGAGTTTGCGCCCCGCGCCGACACAATCCGCGGTGGTGCAGCCATCCTCCGCACCCTCTCCAAGGCCCGCTCCATCAAGGAGTTCAACGAAGCTCGCAAAATCAAAGAAGAGCACATGGCCCCGATTGGCGAAGGCGAAGCAGTAGAATTCGACGGTCTGCGCCGCAGAAGAACAGTCCTCGACCCCAGCCGCCCACCAACCCGCAGCGCGACTGTCGTGAGAACGAAAACCCTCCACCCCCCACTCGGCATGACGCACTTCCCCGACGAAGAATCCGAGGACGACGACAGCAGCAGCTTCCACCCAGGCTTCTTCCAGCGCCTCCGATCGCGCGGGAAATCAACAAGCAGTCGCGGCAGCGCACGTGCAACCAGCAGCAGCGGCGTCGGCATGTCGAACCTCTCCGCCATCCCATCCCTGTCCGTCGACGGCGCGTCAGACGAGTACGACCCCTACAAATACGCCATGAGCCAGGACACAAGCTACAAAGCGACCGTAACAGCAGCAGACTCCCCTCACAAACCCGGCAGCGACTCACCAGCGCACATCCAGTTCGCAAACCTCCCCGATCCGCACAGTATAGAAGACGACGAGGAGATATTACAGCCCCCCAAACTCCCCCAACACATTGCAAAACGCCAGTTCAGCTTCACTAACGTGTTCTCGCGCAACCGCTCCGAGAGCGCAGGGGAAAGTAGTAAGAGGCCCGTCAGCAGGCATTCTCGCCGCGAAAGCCGCGAGGGGAAAGCAGTCGCGACGGAGGAAGAGAGACTGGGCCTTGTTAAAGGTGACTCGTCGCATCTGCTTCCTATCCAGAGTGTGGGGAGTTTGGAGCGCATTCAGCCGGGTTATCAGAATGTGGAGATCGAGGACGAGTGGCGGATGGAGGAGAGTCCTGATCGGGGGGAGGAGCGCGGGTTTGGGGGTGGGAGGGGGGGGGAGAAGGGGAGGGGGCCGTATTTGTAGGGTTTTTTTGGCCGTAAATTGGTGTGGTTATTCTTTAGTCGGTGCTTTTTTTGTGTGTGCGATGTGATTCGGGTTTTTTTGTACGTTGAGCGTGTTACGAGTGTAATGAGCTTGGGTTTTGTATATAGTGTGGTGGTTGGTTGGTAGGATGGATAGATGGGGTTTCCTCAAAGGCCAGGGTAGGTAGGGTTCTGGATCATGATTCATTCGTATGATCCCCAAGGGAATATATATTGCGACGTCTATGCAACGTTTAGTCTGGGTCCCCTGCGCTCACAACTTGACCAATAGACTGACTCAAAGTGCGCGTTCTATCGTCGGTACGTTTCTCTACTTATGTCAGCCGTATGCACCCTACGGTAGACAACCAAACAAAGACGACTGATGTCAAAAAAGGAGTCTGTTTAAGGACACAGTTTATTAGTCTGTAGAGATACCTTAGCTGTCTGTAGACAAGCCCAGACAGGTAATTGCTACCTGCTAAAGCTATTAGCATAGACAGATAAACTTTAAGTAGAATATATTGTAAATAAATCAAACTTTTTTATATATCTATAGTATATAATTATATAACTCTTATAAAATTTATTTTAAATACATTTTAGAGATTCTTAAGGAGTTTTATTTTAGATCCTTTTTAGTATTATAATCTAATTAAACTTAGGTTATAGTTCGAGTTTGTTAAGGTTAAATTTCAGAAGATTTTTAATTCTATGTCTTTTATATAATTTAAAATTTACTATAAACATATTTAGAAGTACTTTAATTAGTATATTTGTTAAGTTATTGCTAGCTACTTTAAGTGCTTAGCATAGACAGCTGAGGTATTTCCATAGACCGATGAACTGTGTCCTCGGTCTGTTCCGTGGCGGAGCTGAGAAAGGGCGCTAGTGAGCCGATCGGGGTGCTATGGAAAGCTTGGCCTGTACGACACGAAGTTGGGTATAATCCAATCCTTGTTCAATTCCTCGATTTCTATTTCTTTGCGTCTCCAGTCTTTCCTATACCTTTTATCAGTCATGCGTTTCTAAACATCCACAACCCCTCCACGGACAAACCACCCACCTACAATGCACACTTTCACAACGACCCTCTTAACCCTCGCCGCTCTCCTCCCCCCCACCCTCTCCCAATGCCCCCTCTACACAACCTACGCCTCCTCCCGGCACCCCCCCTACACAGAAACCCGCCACAACCTCTCCTACGCCCGCCCCATCCCCTCCTGCCGCACCTTCCCAAGCCAAGACGTCGAAGCCACCATCGCGCGCCTCCGCCACGTGATCACCGACCCGGACCTCTTCCGCCTGTTCGAAAACAGCTGGCCCAGCACGCTCGACACGACGATCGCATGGCGCGGGTGGTCCAATGCGTCGCGTGGGGAGCCCGAGGAACTGACGTTTGTGATTACCGGGGATATCGAGGCGATGTGGTTAAGGGATAGCGCGAATCAGCTACAAGCGTATCTGAGCGTGTTGAAGCCGAGTGGGGAGTGGGATAGTTTGGCGAGTGTGTTTAGGGGCGCGGTGAATCTCCAGGCGAGGTATGTGCTGGAGGCGCCGTTTTGCAATGCGTTTCAGGCGCCGGAGGAGAGCGGGAGGGAGCGCAGGAGCTCGATGAATAGCGATCGGATTACGCCTGCTTTCGACTACATGAGTGTGTTTAGCTGCCAGTGGGAGCTGGATTCGCTGGCGAGTTTCTTGCAGCTTAGTGCTGATTACGCGGGGGCGACGGGGGACTGGGCGTTCTTTGGCCGGGGGAACTGGACGAGGGCTGTGGAAACGGTGCTTCAGACGGCGGAGAGCATGATGATTGATTCGTACGATGAGGAGGGGAACTGGCAGCACACGCCGTATACGTATTGTGCGCCGTATGGCGGGACCCCGATTAACGACTGCAACGGCTCGCCGCATAGAGGCAATATCGGGCTGGTGCGCAGCTTCCATCGCCCTAGCGACGACGCGTGTTTATTCCAGTACTTGATACCGAGCAACATGATGTTCAGCACCGCGTTGAACGCCTCCGCTGACATCGTCGCGCGACTGCCCAACCAAGCCCCCCTCGCAGCGCGCATGCGCGCCCTCAGCGCGGGGATACGCACTGGAATCACCACCCACGGCATCGTCAACGATCCCAAATACGGACCCATCTTCGCCTACGAAATCGACGGCTACGGCTCCGCAAACATAATGGACGACCCGAACATCCCGTCCCTCCTCTCCGCGCCGTGGATAAACTACACGCACGTCACAGACCCCATCTACGCCGCTACCCGCCGCAAGATCCTATCCCGCGACAATCCGTATTACACATGGGGCCCCGTGCTCAGCGGCGTGGGCAGCATGCACACTTTGCCCGGGCGCGCGTGGCCGATGGCGAATGTGATGAGTGTGTTGACTAGTGGGGAGGATGAGGAGGTGCTGAGGGAGTTGGGGGCGTTGGTGGGGAGTACGGATGGGTTTGGGGTGCTGCATGAGAGTGTTGATAGTCATAGGGAGGGGGTGTGGAGTCGGCAGTGGTTTTCGTGGGCGAATGGACTGTTTGGGCAGGCGGTACTGGAGCTGGAGAGGGGGAGGCCGTGGGTCTTGGGGGGGTCGTTTCAGTAGGGGGGTGGGGGAGGGATGGGGAGAGCGGTGTGTGGGGGGGAGGTTATGGCTTGGTTTGGCTTGGCATGTTATGAGATGAGATGGGATTTGGCTATAAAAGTTCATCTTTCCTGAACTCTAGGGGCTTTCTATACATGTCTTTTCTCATTCGCATTCGCTAAAAGTGATAAGTGACGCATTCATGTCTTTCTTGCTTCCCTCTCCTCTCAAACCCAATCTTTTCTTCAACCCATGGGCTAGAAACAACCGGCAAGAGTCTCCATGTCTCCGCTCTCTTTCGAAAACCAACACCCCTATGGCGTTTATATTCCAAAATCAACCGGTTCGTAAACCCATGTGTCTCCGCTCTCTTCTGAAACCCACCATTATCGATGCTTTATGTTCGAGACTCACCGATACCATGGCGTTATGTTTTAAAAAGAGCAGTGGAGCAACGAATGTGTTTGCCTCCTCCTCGCAAAACAACAACAATAACTTCCTCATGTTTTGAGTATTTTTCTTTTCTGGACTATGTGTGTGTCTGCTATCTTAAAAAAAAAGCTATCCTGGGGGTTTATGTTCCAAAAAGATAGATTCGGTCATGTCATGTGTCCGCTCCCTCCTTCAAAAGATCGATTCGGGGGCGGGATGTTCCAAAAACAACAATAGACCAACCTATGTGTCTGTTCCTCCTCCCAAAACAACAATCATGACGTTTGTATGTTTTGGAGAGTTTTTCTTTTCTTTCCTGGATTATGTGTCTGCTCTCTCTTCCAAAAAGCCTTTCCATGAATGCCCATGTTCTAAAAGGAGAGGTTATATGGATTATGTGTCTGCTCCTTCTCTCTCTCTCTCTCTCTCTCTCTCTCTCTGTCCTCTCAAAACAGCTACTCTGGGATTTCATGTTTCAAACCGAAGAGTTGTCTGACTATGTCGCTCTCTCTCCATCAGTTTCCATCCTGGACATTAATTCGATAGTTTACCATCAAACGGTCATGAATCCGAGGCATGTCTTCTTCTTTGCTCCTCCACTCCCAACAACCCTTCTGCTTGTGCTGTTCCAGAGACAAACTTTGACGGTGCCAATGCCTCTGTCGCTCTCCTCAAAAACATGGATTTACTGGCGTCTTGTTCCAAAAGATAAAAACAAAACGTACCAGACTATGCCTGGCTGTCTGGTTTAGTTCCGCACTTGGCGGGTATATTGGCTGTGGTTGAAAATGCGAGGGTTCCAGGACAAAAATAAAGGGAGACAAGGGCATTTGCTTGCTTGCTCGTTCGCTCCCTAAAATCTACTCATGAACGCCTGTTTTAAAAAGCAGCTATTACCACGGAATGAATTTGCCTTCTGCTCCCCTAGAAATCTTCATCGCATGTTGTGTACGCGAGACTTCAAAAGTCCCTCACGATGCCGCTATGTGCCTCTCGCTATTTCTCCCTTGCACAATTATAAGCCCTTGTTCTAAAAAAGTCAAAAAACTGAGCCATGGTCTTGCGTTCTCTGTGTTCAGAAGTGAGTTTTCCGCATTGTAGGCGCCACAATTTAAAAACCCTCAGTGATGGGGACAGGGACATGAATCTGCGCGCCGCTTCTCTCAGATGGGGGGTTTGAAAGTGCTGGTTTCGGAAGAATGCAAACGTTCAGATCATGGTTCTGCTCTCCCCCTACCTCTTTAAACCTATCTTGTCTGTGATATAGGCGCGGGAATACCTAAAAACAGCACGCTTTTGGACCATGTGTTTTTGCTGTTTTCCTCCTAAAAAGAATTATCGGCCACTGTTCAAGATGCTGCAATTATGAGCCAGATAGTTCTGCTTCCTGTCTTCTTTCCTGGTAATACCCTCGTCTCGCGTTATAGGCGCAGGATTCTGAAAACCCTCTGAGATGGCTACATGTGTCTGCTCGTCTTCTCTCTCCATGAGGATTTTGGAAATGCTGGCTTTGAAAAACCGCATACGATCAGGTCATGAGTGTGGGAACTTCCAAGACATAACATAAAACAAGTTGTGTATCTAGCCCCTCTCTTTGGAGAGTCGAGATCGTTGTTTGATTCAAACACTCTAGCCGCCGACTCATGGTTTGGCTCTTCTCCTCCCTCTCTAGAAAGCCTTGGTCTGCAGCACAGCGACATGAACTTTCAAAAATCGACAGCATCCTTGTGTATGTATTTGCCACCTCCGTATGGATGAGAACTATTAGAGCCTATTGTAAATAAAGCAGTCACCAAGCTATGATTCTACTCCTTCAACATTTGTCTATGGAATTATTTCTTTGGGTTATGGGTGCAGATTCTTCTAAAACCCCCTTGTCAACGATCATATGTCTTTGATGTCCTTTTCAAATCACTTCGTTCATGATCTCTTGTCCTAAATACAGCGCGCAACTCCCCAATAGTTCTGTACTCTCCCTCTCCAGAGGGACCCTCCTCGGATCGTAATGGAAAGTAGATTTAAAAGGACTTCAAGACCGCACTATGTGTCTTCTCGCCTTCTCTGCGCATTACACAGTGATTCTACTCGTACGCGCAAGACTCTCAAAAGTATCACGTGACTGAACATGTCATCGTTACTTCTCTAATGAGTGATCTGTTCATTAGTGCCCGTTCGAAAAACTGGTGAAAGGTTACTACATGGTTTTGCCCTCTCTTTCTGCTCAACATATCTTGTCTGCATTACAGCGGCGAGACAATTGAAATTTGGAGAGGATAGAAACATGTCTGCGTCTGTTCGCCGGAGGAACATTCTCTTGTGTCTAAAAGGTCCGGTGTAGTTATTTCGATGTCTCCGCTGCTTCTATTTTAAGAGCGTGTTGATTAACATCTGCTCAAAAGTCCACAGACGGATATTGCATGCTTGCCCTCTATGTCACTCTTGTAACGAAACACCTTTTCTTCGCATCACAGACGGCAAATCCCCTAAAACACCCCGAGAGTACCGCATATGTCTGTTCGCTCTCCTTTTACCTTACTCAACCAGTCTCCTCTCACAGAAATCGGTTTACTAGGACTGTTTTGCAAACCTCGATCCAGCGTATCTCATGTCTGCGCTCGCGCTGACCTCGACAACCTATTCTTATCAACCCCAGAGCGGGAGTTGGAAAAAGAACGTACACACGCACTATGTGTCCGCTAGCTTTCTCTGCGCCTCACTCTATGGTGTTTTCTGTGTGCGCAGAGACGACAGAAAAAGATATAACCTACAACTTAACTCTATTTACTCTCTCCTGGGATATCCGCTGGTTAACACCATCTTTTAAAAATTGTCCACGAGTCCCCTATAGTCTGGCTCCCTCTTTTTCCTGACAATCTCTTCACCCTACCATCGAGGTAGGTCTTCTAAACCCGACACATTCCTACTGATGTTTGCGCCTGTGTTCCCTGTTTCCATGTCTTACCAAAAGTCCCAATTCAAAAGAACCCGACGGTCAGAGCGATGCTGTCTTTCTCAAAATTCCTTACTGCATAATAGATGCCGGCAAAAGAAAGATCTGTACTCAAAGACAACCACTCGAAATACATGTGAAGAAACCATAACTGTCAACAAATGGCTCAATGTCTCTCTAAAACACAATGCGTTAGCTAGCCATGGCGCGCTGAGAGACTGTATATAAAGGTCGCTTGCTCGGTCCAATGCTCTTCCTCATTCTTCTTACCGCTGCCTCCTCAAAAGCCAAGACGCAACTGTGTATGTTCTTTGTTCCAAAAGGTGCCTACGAGATCTTCATGTTGGGAGGCGGGCTTGCAGTTTTCAAGTGAGCAGCTGGCTGAAAATTCAAAATATTCAGACGTTGTCTGGGCCAAAAACTACTGCTATGTTACGCCATGTCCCCTGTCGGCGCTGTGGTGCAGACTACCAGGCCAAAAATCGATTTCTTCAAGTCAATGTGGAGGTTGTCTGTCCTGGAATTGTTGTTCGGTGACAAAATGATGTACGAAAAGTTCATGGATTGGCCTTTTTGCACTCTCTACACACTGTCAAGCTCTTGTCTGCGCACCCATTCTATTGCTTCTTTCTCTAAAATCGGCATTAGCAGAACTCATGCTCTTCTTCAAAAGCTAGAACGCGAAAGTTCTATGGCCGTGCGTCCGAAATCATGTTTTGCAACATTGAACCACGGCTCCGAGAAACATGTCTCAATCAGCTGTCTAGACCGATCTACTGCAATTAAATCAGTGTTAGCCTTGGCTTTGAGAAGTTACAACTCAGGATAAGTCTTCGAATGTACGCTCGCAACCGCTTCTTTCGCCTCCTTTTTCTCTTCCCCTTGCTCTCCTTTTTCTTCTTCTTTTTCTCCCTCCCTTTCCTCTTCTCCTTCTTCACCCTCACCCCAATTCCAACCCCACTCCTCATCATCCCAACCCTCAGCAAGTGCCATAAACTGTTGGCTCAAGTACCAGGACAAAGGTCCTGTATCAACAGAAGGCTCAAGGTTCAGCTCCGGCTTAAGGTTCAGCTCAGCCTCTAAGGCAGGGATAGTACGAAGCTTGGTATAGTATGCTACACTAATTTTCGGCTTAACATCGTATAGGCGGTTTTCAAAGCCAGACTGCAGATTGTGAAGCTTTGCGAATTCGTCTAGACCGCCTTGTGCTACCCAGTCCTTGTACTCTAGCAGCTTCTTGACTCGTTCATCGGGAGAGTGTATAAACCCGATTTTGTTTGTAGCGTGCAGAGAAGGGGAAGACATTGTGCGTGTTTGTATGTGTAGTGTGTAGTGTGTAGATAACAACGCAAGAGACGTTAACTCTAGGCTACAATGTGCAAATTTTCAGTCGTCGTTCGCGGAGTCGAGCGGGTTAGGAGCGGGGTAGGAACGCTTTCCATGGTACAATTCCTAATGTGACCAAGACTGGACCGGGACTGGACTGAGACTGAACCATGACTATTGGACGGGTAGACCCGATCTTTTTAGTGACATCTGATTTGCTGTATCAAGGACTCTCTGCTCTGGAATTTCATCTCTTTGTGTATCTGCTGAGCCCCCGATGGGCACTTCTTATGCAAGCGGCGCAGTCTGATGGCTGTTCCCACTCTCAACGCGACGCGGCGCGATGTGACATAAGACAAAAACCATACGAGTAATGTATAACACAATAAAATGCGTCCCTATATCCATAAGCACCACCGAGACTCCTTTCGGTGCCGATATTCCACGTATTATACCGGAACGCCAATCAAGCCCTATACTATACACGCTTGCCCATGCGAAGACACGCCCATCAATCCTCCTCATCCTCATCATCCGCCTTGATAACAACATCCTCCTCTTCTTCATCCTCTTCTGCTGGCTCCTCTTTGTTCGTTTGCACACTCTTCTCCGCTCCCTCATACTCCGGTCGCACAACCTCTACACCCTTCTTCGCGAGTACAGACTCAATCAGCGGCGCAGCAGCGAGCAGCGCATTGTAGTTTTCGATCGAGAGAGAGATACCCTGCCATCGTCAATATCGACTGACCCCACACCACCATCTCCAAACTGAACAACACGACGATGAACAGTATACAGTGGATAGAGAGGAACCTACCTTCTTTCCCGGCTTCGACTCCCCGGCATCCGTCACATAGTACTCCCGAATATTCACATACACATTGGCCTTGAATTCGCTCACTGTTGCGCGTCGCTTGCCACTTGTGTTCAACTGGGACGAGCATTAGCTTAATCCATACTCCAGTTTCCACTTCCTCAGAAAACTCACAGCAACATACTGATTCCCCTCCTCATCTTTCTCTAGTTTCGGGACTAGAGTCCCCACTTCCTCGTCTTCGTCGTCCGCCTTGGCTTTCTTGCTCGCGCGCGCCGGTCTGTCTTCGTCGTCGGACGGCTCGACACGTTTTTTGCTGAGGAATGTCTTTTTGGGAGCACCGCCGCGAGCACCGCCGCGTTTGAATCCTGCCATTGTAGATTGGAAGTTGTGAGGAGATGCGACAGGGGATTGTGTGATTATGTTTGGGGTTTAGGATGGGAGACGCGTCGCTTGCTATGACGCAGGGCAAACGCGCTAGGGACGCGGTCACGTGTGGACTTCCAGTACGTTGATTGAGCGCTACGCATAATGTTATGAGCTCAGGATGATAGGAGCGGTTGGGTCTATACGGTGGAGGAAAGAAGTCGTATCTTTTGTGTCTTTCTTAGTTGATCTACGAAGCTGAACCGTCGTTGACTTTGACTATCTTCCCCAGAGTTTACTCAGTTTGTTGAGCGCCAGGATACCCTTGCTTGCGCGCGTAAACCTTTATTCAATCACGGCCTTCATCTCATTCCACACTCTTTCCTCACTACTTCGTTCCATCCCATCCTCAATACGCAGTAGTCTGTCGGTCATCTGTTCGCAGTCAGCTCTCCGTCCTCATCCCTAACTGTACATCCACAACAACACTACAGAAAATGCAAAACTCACAATTCGCACCCATAGCCTTCCTCAGCTTCATCGTCACAGCTTCGGCCTCCAACTCCTTCTTATCGCTCGTCTGGATCTCGACGGCATAAGTGCGGATGACCTGCTTGACCTGGCCAGATTGAAAGGACATCTTCGCTTTGCGCATTATCTTTGTGTTGGGTCCTAGACCCGGATTAGCAATTTGTTCCCAATCCTACTTTTTGAAAACGCCTCTCGTCGATTCCGCTTTTCTTCAGCGTCAGAGTTGAAACCTCTTTCCTTCCAGATTCCCGTCTTTTCACCGACACCCACGCAACCAGCTCCCCCCTCCTTTTATCTCCCTCTTGGCCCCTCTTCTTCTCAATTCACTACGTAAAGACGAATAGAGTTTTACTCACCAGCCCACACCACAAACGCAAACTTGACGCGTTCCGAGTACTCATCGTTCCCAAGCTTCATTCTAACATACGCATACGCCGCCTCGTCATCACCCAGCGACTCCGTCATCTCCTCGATATCCCCTGTGCCTGTTTGCGCCAGCTTGAGGTTATCCGAGGAAGCGGATGCGTACTGCGGTGATAGTTGGTTAGTATGTGAACTGGCGGTCAAGCGAAGATGTATGGGAATACAAAACAACAACAAGATCAAGAAACTTCCGAGGACGTGATGAGACGAAAGCCTTCACTGATTTCAGAGGAAGGAAACAGAACAGAATGTTACATATCGAACATGCATACCTTCAGCACCAGCCACGTAGTCTCACTCTTATCACTCCTTACATCCTCGTACGCCTTGGCAATGTCCGGGTCGTTGAGAAGATCGAGTGGGGAAGGCATTGTATTGAGATGACAATCCAGAGGAATGTTTTATGTAGAGTGAAGTAAAAGTAAAAGCGGAAGTTGAAGTGAGGAAGTTCGGATACGGTAGCCGCTTGCATGCGTGGCCAGGTCTAGACTAGTGCGGGGCTCGAGCTGAGCTGGGCTGGGCGATGCATGGCGGGGTGGCGGTCAGTGCAACACGAAGTAGGCTGCGCGTTGGGAGACTGGAGGCGGGGAGATTGGTGTCACGAAGACGATGCAAAAGCAAAACGTGAACATGCAATCATAGTATTCATAATCGGGATTTTTCACCATCCTGGTCTGCTCCAAACTTGCTTGCTCGTATCGCAAGAAGCAGACATCACTCGCTAGCACTATCCTAATAACTTTCGCAATCCTCCAATCGCTTACTGTGCGCCCATCTTCTCGTTGGTGGCCATCAGACTGCCAATAAAGGTCGTGATAAGCCTGCTCTGCACCGCAACGATGTCCTCGGGCACCAGCCAGATGGTCGCACCCATCTTTCGCGCAATGCTAATGGCCAACTTGGCGTTTTGGTAGTTCTCGTCGTCGGTGCGGCCCGGAGCCACGAGATCGTAGTCGACGTACGCTGGCTTCATGCCGGCCAGAACGTCGAGCAGGAAGATGGCGTTGCTGAGCGACGAGTCCTTGAAAGAGCGGATCTGGGTGCCCTTTTCGCCCTTGCGCGCCTGATCGTTGGCCCACTTGATCATGTCCGAATCGGAGATTTCGCGCTTGCCGAGGCGTTGTGCGAGACCGTTCAGGGTGGCAACGATGTCCTTGCGCATCAATTGCCAGACCAGTCCAAGGGTGAGTGTGCGCTGGCCGTCGGTGATATCGGCACCCTGAATACCAGGCAGGGAGAACTGGACTTGCTTGCCGAGCTCGACTGCGTAGTTCGTGTTCTCGAGGGCCTTGAAGCGCATCAGCTCCTGGCCTTCTCGGGGCTTGTTGACGTGACGCCAGTTGACGCTGTCTGGAATGACCTTGTCGTAGGCCTGGAGGAGGACGGTTCCGTCTTTGAGGTCCTCGAAGAACGACTGCACGACCGGCTTGACATCGAGGGAGTTGAGCCAGAGTGTGAACACACGGGCTTCGCGCTCGCCTTCGGCATCAAAGTCCTCAATCTCAGCCTTCTCCTCTTCTGTGATGGGGTCCAAGCAGGGATGTGTGTTGAACAAGTTGGCAACGAACGCAAAGTTGAGTTTGGGGTTTCCGGCGACGAGAGACGTTGGCGTCAGGAACTTGCGGCATTCGAGGGCTTCGGCGTTCTGCAGGACCATCTCGGCACGCTGTAGGAGATCTCTCTCTTGGAGCGCGTCACGCGAGCAGATCTCGGGTTTGAGCTGGTTGAGCAAGACGGTATAATTCTCGCCATCCTTGACATCGGTCGAGAAGTTGGTGACGCTGTTCAAGTTAGTATTCCTCTAGCTATTCAGATCCTCAGAACGTCACTTACGTCCTGTCCCACTTGGCGTTCTTCAAGTGGTAGTTGAACCAACGCAACAGAATCTGCTCCGGGGGAAGTCGCAGAAACTGCTCCAGAGTCTCGTCTTCGTACAGCAGCCTGTACAATTCCGGGTGCAGCTTGATGTCGATCTTGCCCAAAAGACCTCTCCGAATGATCTGCCAGATCAAGCCCAGGATCAGATGCTCTCGCACCTCGATGATATCCCCGCTGCCAATGTTGACGACCGAGCATCCAATACCCTTGGCCGACTCGATGACAATGTTGTTGTTCTCGGTGAAGTGGAAGTTGTTGAGCGTCTTGATCTTGCGGCCCGGCTTGTTCAGTACACGTTCGTCGATGGTGTCCGGGACGCTGTCGTTGATCAGCTTGGACAGCACCAGACCATCCTTGCACTGGTCGAACATCTCGAAGGTGTCGAGGGGGAATGGCAGGCGGTCGCCGATGTCTGGGTCGCCAGCGAGGACGGCATTGATATGGCGCGTGAACTCGGTTCGCTCATCTTCGTTGATGGTGTGAGTGACGTTCGAAGAGGAGCCCTGGACTTGGATTCTGCCACCGCCACCGACACTAGGTTTGGCAGAGTGCCCCGGGTTTGAGGGTGCGGTGCCTGTGCTGCCGGTACCTGCTCGCGGACGTGTCGGACCTGTGGACATGCGCTTCTGGGCGGGCGACGACTCGCGCAATTTGGAGATAAGCTGGGCGTGTTAGTAAGCCAGTTCGAGGGTTGTACAGGCACGTGCCCAACATACATCAACATAGTCGTCCAGCTCCACTCGCCGCGAACTGTCGAGCTCGACCTCTTTCAGGGCCTGGCGCACGACATCGTACGGCTGGTGCTCTGTCTGCTGTGTTGCCTTGATGACCGTCGCCTCGTCAAGGTAGCCCTTGTCTTCGACGTCGAGCTTGCGGAAGGCGTCCTGCAGCCCAAAGATCTCACCCTGCTCGAATTGAGGGTACTTTCTACACGCAATGCCATGTTAGCTGATGTGCAAACTGGCGGACATGGCGGGGAATTGCGGGATGCGCCGTACCTTTGCAGCTTGATGATATTCATGGCGGGCTGTGAGGGACAAGACTGTCGCGGGGGGTACGGGTGTTATACGGCCGGCCAAAAGTCACTGCCTAGCTCAGCCTCCTTCTGCGTTGCGTGTTGTTCAACGTCAAAGCTCGGATGACGTTGGCGGGGTGCCAAGCCCTTGTCATGGAAGCCCAGATTACGTACGCACCCGTCTTGTCACATTCGCCGCTCCGGCTCCCATTCTTCGTCCGTACCAAGTCGCAGCAACACTGCCTCTGTTCTAACCAGCAGATCAACTCATGTTCGTTGCCACTGTTCTCATGCTCAATCGCCATGTTGCCTCACATCCCGCCACCCAGACACGTCTATGGGACCCCTACAATTGCCCCATCCAGCGCGACTGCCACATCACACCGACATCCAGTCGGTCAACACTATTTGCAGCCTCAACAACGCGAGAGCTGCTTCGGCCCAACCTGCCCCACATGGTACCTTCAGCTTCTCCCATTCCCCGAGATTGACATGTGCTCAAATTGTGGATGAAACATGGCGATCTGATGGTGTCCAAACTTTGAAGATGCAGTTTCAACGCTAGAAGATTCGAAAACACGTGGAATGAGCCTAAAATGTAGTGTGGGTTTAGTGCACTCGCAGCAAAACGACGATACTCCTTTGTGAAGAATTGTCCTTTTGTAATCGAATTGTCGTATCGTTTCACCGAGGCAAACAAAAAAGCCCCATCAACGCCCTGGAATGCCAGATTGTCACAGTCGCCGCCAGTCCCATATCCTGCAACTGTTGCTCGAGAAGTCCATCTTATGCATCAAGACCAGTCAGAGGTATTTGCTATGTCCTTGCTGGTTGCGCCTCGAGTCTACATCGGAAGGAACTGATCACTCAACTTTCGTACGAACAGAAATTGCAGCTGCCTACCACGCAGATAATTTCACGTGACTGTGAGGGCTCGTGTCGATGACTACAGTAGAACGATCAAAGTCTCGATTGATCGCGCATCGGCACACTCGACCAGGCCCCGCTTCGAACCCAATCCGGCGAGCCTGCTTCAACACTGTCAATGGCCATGTTACCGAGCTTCCTCCACATATCGCCTTTGATGATGAAGCCTTCTTTGTCCTCGTACTTCTTGCAAACTTCCTCGCCGTTTGCGAGGGCGCGTATAAGCTTACAGGCATGTCCGTCGTCGTGGTAGATCTTGACGCGCTTGAATATGTTCCCCCACGACGAATTTTGCTTTGACTTGTAATTGTTGATTTCATCAAGCAGGAGCTTGGGAGGGCGTGGTGATGCATACATAGCCAAGTCGACGCGAATCTTCCATTCGAGCAGGCGGACCTTGTTGGCGCTTGAGAGCCATGGCTGTTGGAGAAAGGAACAGAAGAAGATGCTAAGATTCACGGCGTGTATGTTGAAGAAGTCGAACTTTACTTGGTAGGGCGGGTTTTGCGCGGCACCTGTGAAGTATACTGGTGGAGGTTAATCACGTACTAGTTGCAACTCTTCAACTTAAAGGCTCACCAGCTGCATTGATCATCTCGGCAGTTTTTTCTTCGAGGTTGGCTTCCGTGACATGAACTCGACTAGCATACTTGGTTTTGCCACCCGCTGACTGCTTCGAGTCTGCAAAGATTTCGCCTAAGAGCTGGATAATAGTCGTGTCCGATGGGCGGTCTGAATCATGAGTCTCCCTGGCTGCTTTCTCACTCTCGATCAAGTGCGACGCTTCACGATTGCTGTGAACCGCAGCCTGTGCCAAAGCCTCTGCGATGATTGCAGGCTGCTCAAACTCAACGCCGAAACCTAAGTGGATGATCGGGTGAAGGACACCACCAAACATGCGAACAAGCATATCATCAGCTCGCTGATCTCCTCCGAATATGTACTCGTTCAACACCTCCTGCCAACCCTTCTGGGCAATCTCCTCTTTGAAGAATACGAGGAAGTCATGGTAGTACTTTTCTCTGCCCAAGTACGTTTTATACTTTTCTGGGTCATGCATGTCCGTGACTATGGACTGCTTGAGCGGCACTGGCGGTCGTTGGTAGGACACATTGTCATCCCAACCCTGCCTCAGCTCGGCAGGTGTAGCATTGAGGGCAAAGAGGGTGAGCAGGTGATGAGCGATATGATTCTACTGCAAAATTAGCAAAGGTGTGTGGTGTCATGCTCAAGATGGCGTACATGGAATCCGGCGTAATTGAAAAATATATGATGCTTGTCGTGGTTCTCCTGCAGTAGCTTGTTGGCCGCGTCAGCAGTCTCAAGGTTGATCCCTGGTACGTAGAACACAAGCTGTTGCGACGGCGATAGGTGGATTTTCGAAAAGGTCGCCATTGTTCGAGTGGCTTGCGTTGTATGAGCTTGCCAAAGTCTCTGTATTGGGCTGATCTTCAAAGGCGCATTCCTGCAGCCAGATGCGCTGAGCGTCTGCTTCGCGTGCGCCACTCTAGCAAACATTAAACCCTATTGTTGCCTACCAGCATACCGCAATGAAGACAATTAAATGCGCAAGTTCAATGCACGAAGCATGCTTTGAGACCGCGCTCTGGAAGTGGAGCGATTGTTCGCTTATGGTATGACGTTGCACAAGGATCACGCCTGCCACCCGGATCCGGGAGGCCCGACGTTACTCAAGGCGGAGCCATCCGGAGAATAAACATGAATCGCAGTACACCGGAAAATAACCACCTTACCCAAAGGCCATTCTGGAAAGTCATGCCCAGGTTGAAAAGATGCGTTGTCCAATCTAGGTTCTGGGTAGGTTTGACATCGTACCGAACTTGGGCGCTTGTACGGGCGCTAGCATCTCTCCCTTTTCGGCGTCCCTGAACGAGCCTGACACCACGTGGGTGCCAAAGAAAGGCCGCGCTCGAAACTTTCCATCAGTCTAACAGAACTTTACTGAGTCAGGTAGAAACAACGAGGTTTGTCAGTCATCACGTAAGGCTTTCAAGTATCATCAACTTGTTCTAGCGCTGTGGAGTAGGTGAGCTTCTAGTGTTCTTTGTGGTCTGGTGTCCGGCGTGTTCACGGCACGCGCGTGCCTGACTAGAAAAAGACTAATCGTGTTGATTAGACTATCCCTTCAATATGTTTACAAGCCACCATCCGCCGTTGGAAACAAGTCCTGCTGCTTGACTCGTCATCTATCGTGGTACCGTTTCAAGACCGGAAGGGGTACGCGTTTGCCTTACCCGGGCAATAGGGCCGAGGTTCATAGGGGCAGTTGTTCGTCGTCGATACAACCCCAGAACACCAACACCAACACCACCCCGCACCACATACTCTATGGTCATTACGCTGTCAGCGAGGTCTCGCCGTTGCGACGATGTTATTCGTGGCCAAATGTTAGACCGTCAACGGAGCACGTGGACAACCTTAGCCCTTACCCTTCAAGACGAAGATGTACAGCTGACCGTCCGTTCTCCTTAGGCTCTAGCCTGCGACCATGCGTCTTAGTAGCAAGATGATTGCGTCGGCTAGAGTACGTCCTATAAAGAAACTTTACGGAATAGGCCTTGCGCCGTATTATTGTAAACCTCACACAGAGCGGGGCTGAATGCTTCCACGTACCAGGGCCCAGACAAACAAGTGCCCGCCTTTGGAAACGCCGATCTGCAAGGCTTGACTTCCTAGTAGGACGGAAATTAAGCAATATTCTCCGTTCAAGCAATCTAGGAACCCATGTTCGGCCGGCAGTTGCCCGCGACTGATTGGTCTGAGGCTAACTGTTTCACATCATGTACTATACCACGGCAGCCACACGAGTAGTACCATGGTTGACCGTTATGGGAAGGTAACTGGGATACTGCGTGGCTATAAGGGAGCCGGTACGTCTCCTTCCAGATCATTATTTTCTCCACCTCTCACATTCACTACAGTCTTTCTTCAGTCAAGTATACTTTCTCAGCTGCTGCCTTAGCATTCTTTCGATACAAACATCAACACCATTATCATCCTCAGTATGAAGATCTCTGCCCTTGCCCTCGGAAGCGCTTTTGCTACCGCCAATGCTGCGGCTGTTGGCGACCGCTCGCAGTTCGCTGAGCGCGCTACCTATGCTGTCGTTGGCAAGGCGGAAGGCTTCGCAGCTAGCACCACTGGAGGTGGAAGTGCTGCCTGCGCAATCCCAGCCAGCGTTACAGAGTTGAAGACTTGGCTCACTGATAGCACTGCTCGTTGCATTGTGCTCGACAAGGAGTGAGTACTCCTATCCGACACTGCGTACTGTTGTGAAAAAGCACTAACCATCGATCTTCAGGTACAACTTCAAGGGCACCGAAGGTACCACTACTGAAACCGGCTGCCGGCCAGCGTCCAACACGTGCCCGGGCAATGGTGGCCAAGACGCCATCAACAAGGCCTCGTGGTGCACAAACGGCAACGCAGGTACTGGTGCCACGTCCATCAGCGTCACCTACGACACTGCCGGTGTTGCTGGTATCAACGTTGCCTCCAACAAGTCTTTGATCGGTGTTGGATCCAAGGGTGTCATCCGTGGAAAGGGTCTGCGTATGGCCAACGGCGCCAAGAACGTCATCATCCAAAACATCCACATCACTGAGCTCAACCCCCAGTACATCTGGGGTGGAGACGCCATTACCGTGGATGGCTCTGATCTCATCTGGGTTGGTATGTCGAGTCCCCTCTCACCTCTCCTTCCATGTCTTTCAAAGCTAACTTCGATAGATCACGTCAAGGTCTCCCTCATCGGTCGCCAGATGTTTGTTGCCGGCACTGGTGCCTCGAACCGCGTGACCATCTCCAACACCGAGTTCGACGGCGCGACCAGCTGGTCCGCCACTTGCGACGGCCACCACTACTGGGCCATCTACCTGACAGGCTCCAGCGACCTCATCACTATGAAGAACAACTACATCCACCACACATCTGGCCGCAGCCCCAAGATCGGCGGAAACTCGCTTGTCCACGCTGTCAACAACTACTGGTACGCCAACTCTGGCCATGCCTTCGACATCGCTTCTGGTGGCCAGGTTGTCGCTGAGGGCAACGTCTTCCAGAACGTCGTCACTCCTCTTCTCGGCAACAGTGGAAAGCTCTTCGGTGCCCCCACTACCAGTGCCAACACTGCGTGCAGCACTTACCTTGGCCACACCTGCCAGTTGAACGCTTTCGGTAGCTCTGGTACTCTTGGCGGAACTGACACTAGCTTCTTCAGCAACTTCAGCGGCAAGACTGTTGCTACTGCTTCAGCGGCGAGCACAGCTCCTGCTACAAGTGCTGGTGTTGGTAAGATCTAAACGGTCTGTTTGGTTGATTGGGCTGTTCGAGGCTGGTCTTTGTCTTCCTTGTGATTGATGTCACTAGCAGTATGACCTCGTTATGTATATATCCTTCCATTCTCAATGAATATCTTTGGCTCTCAAACTTCAGTCCCAGCCCTATTTGTGCTAGCTCAGTGTGACATTACCTCGTTTCTCCAGCCAATGCACTGCACAGGACAGTTTATTCCTGTCACGTCTATCTCCAGGATGCATCGAAAGTAGCGCAAGCAGTGCCATTTACAGACTCTTGCATCTGTCCATAATGGCACAGTCTAGCACTACTGCTTGTGATTCGTGGAATTGGAAACATCTTGCGTCCCTTTACCATGGTTGCAGGTACTTCATTTCGTACTTAATGTTAACCTATTCAGGAGGGTGGTCAATACCAGAGGTTAACCAAGTCCGAGGCGTACCGATATCTCAAATGTCGAAAATATATCTGCTGCCCGTTCCCCACCTGCAGATCAAACCCAATATGATCTTTTTAGCCTGTTACACATGGAAAGTACAACAAAAAAGAGGAATGCTCATTATGAACCTTGGAACTGAGTTCTGTGTTCTTAGTCATGCTATACACAGGATTGCTGAGAAGCGACAGCTCAACGAATCACTAAATCCTTCACTTCCCCACCTTTTTGCCAAACTCAGAAAACATACACGTGATTTGAAAGCGATTGTTGCATACACACCCAGCAAGTATCAGGTGGGCACACTGTAATGGCGTAGGACGTTGACTTTGTCTTCATACGCTCAGAAGCGACCAGGGTGGCTGCAAGTCTTGCAACCCAGTTGTCACCAGTCCTAATTACAAATATACCGTCGGGTTTGTCGAGTAGCTCGTCCCAGCTGTCGACAGCTGTTATATCTGTGTTTGGTTGCGATCCTTTCTCGTGGGAGCATGGGAGCTGAGGCGGAAGCTTCCGAATTTCATGGCCATACCCTCTATCAATAACAGGCAGCGGATCTACATCAGCAACCCATTGTCCGTTGTCTCGCACAGAGATAACAGATTCCAAAAATGACATCTGGTTGTCGTGCGCCCCGCGTGAACCATCGTACATTTGGACGTGATATTCGGTAAAAGATAGATGGACGGAAGTGCCTTCAAACGAGCGTACGAATTTTCCATCAAAGGGAAGGTGTGAGTCCAACCTCCAACTAGTAGGATCAAACTCACGCGTCATTGGATCCTGCGGTGGAAGCAAGAAAGTGAGTCCAGGTTTGCCCACGTTTCCAAGTATCTTGCGTACACTGAATGGGTTCAAAATGGATTCGTATGGATCTTGGACTATCTGTTGGAATGTTAGCAACACTTTTACGATGGAGATGAAACTACTCACGGGACCAGATACAAACAACGAGTTCGTGGATGAAATGGCGATAACACCGTCTAACTGGTCCGGAGCCACATCGTGTATTCCAGACTCAAAGTATGAGATTACAGAAAACGCGAGTGCTGCCTCCGATTTCATAGCAGGTACCCTGAGGTCAAATCTACCGACCAGGTCTTTTGCCCATCGTGTTCTAAGCAACGGACGATTGAGGATTCCAATGTCAATTGTTGCATCAGGCATGTCCTCGTAGATAGCTGCAACACCCGACAAGACGTAGAGAACTCGCCTCAGCGCACCGCCCCCGCCATACGGATATACCAGCTTCTGAAGCAGCATGGAGGGGTCAATCATCTTGTGTTCGATGCACCACTGCAAATGATGTAGTTTGACAGTGTAATCGAGTGAATATGGTGCTCCTGGCTTTCGGCGCACATACAGTGCCACTTTATCTGGGTCTCCAAAGACTACGTGATACGTGTACGTCTCTGGCTCCTTCGCCGCGACAATTTGCACACAATCATCCCATGAGCTAAAGATCTCGTCCGCGGTGAAAGTCACTGTTTCTCCCTCTGGCGGAATGCCATCACGAAATTGATACGGCAGCCATCTTGAATGAACTAGCGTCTCGTCTAGAGCTTTACAAGGGATTGCTGTGGCAAACGAGTAGACGTGAACTGTGTTGGTGGAAGGTGGTCGCTTGTTTCCATTGTGTCTTTCCTCTTTGTCGTATTCCTCCTCTTCGCTATATTCTTCATCTTCGCTATATTCTTCATCTTCACTATATCCTTCCTCGTCCCACACTTCTCCTCCATTATATTCTTCCTTGTTGTATCCTTTCTCTTCTGTTTCACTGTCTTCTTCTTTTGCATTTTCGCCTCTACCAGATATCTCACCCCTCTTGTCGCCAGTGTTACAGCTTTCAATATCATCTGTCAATTCCTCAACTGCTGACTCATAGACGTCACTATCTTCATCTCCTGCGCTGCTGTTCGTGGGTGACTGCGCGAGATTTTGAAGCTGGCGATCGTCGCTAACACCTCTATCTTCCTGCTTGGAATGGTAGGCAGCCCCGGGTGGCGTTTGCCGTTGTTGCGATGAGCGAGTGGACGACCGGCTGGAGGGTTCATTGAGCTGAGACGTTTCTGAGCGAGAACTGCGGCCACAGTCGTGGTTATCAAGAGACGGTTGAGATGTGTTGTTTGAAACCTGGATCTGATGTGCACAACGTATGATAAAGTCATCTGGAAGAGTTGAGCTGGTGCTCATCTCGCTTGCCATATGGCGTAAGTAAGCTACTCGAGCGTCGTCGTCTTTCAAAACTCGCATAAATACGAGCTGATCCAGAATGTTGAAGAAGTAATTAGAATGATCAGCTGTCACAGGGTCTTCAGGCTCATAGTCTTCGAAGAATCGTTCGGCTCTTCTACGACCAAGCCTTATCAACTTGATGTTCAAGTCAATATCATGTGTCGCACGATTCAGGTACGCACAAGCGCTATCTCGAAGCCACCTTAGCAGTTGACGGTCTGCCACGCTACCATGTTTACTACCAATGATGTAGTCTACCATGGAAACCACAGTTTCTGCATTAAGATCTCCTTGCGCTTCGGAACAACCCCACATCGAAAGTAGTGCCGAGAAAGTGACAAGCTGAAGTTGCTTGATAGATATTTGTGACGAGTTTCCCAAGGCTCGTTCGCTCTTCACTGGCCGTCCATAATGTCGGAGTTGCGCTAGAGAAAGAGACCAGTACACACCATGATCATCGTCAGCGATTCGAGGCGTAGCTGAAAGACCTAGCGATAGAACACCGCCTACAGCAACAAGCGGATCGTCCATCTTGACAGTCACGAGCTTAGGACTGAAGATGGTCATATCGGGATAAATATGCCAAGCAGACAAGCCTAAGAGCGTTGCGCCATTTTGCACTGCTTGTGGCATACCCGATAGCAGTTTCTCCATAGTTTCGACAGCCAGAGACCAGGCATTGATGACGCTTGGGAAAACGCTGAGATCTTGGTTCACGGGTAGTTTGATATTCTTGAGTATTAACTCCAGTTGCTTCTGATTGCGGCCTTGTACAGTATCAGCGGTACTAAGCCAGGCCCTTGCGCTTGTGTCCCAGGCTGCCAACTGGGCACGCGTGATGTCTTGTCCAGTGGCCGCTGCCAGTGAAAATCTGACTGGCTCGCCGCGTTCCATTTCGTTAGCGATGTGCTTTTTTCGCTCGGCTATCAATTCTACCCAAATGGCAATGGCTTCGGGGGCAGTCCACATCCGTGCAAGCATACATGCCAGCAGATGCACGTGAAGAGCGGATTTTGATGAAGTTGCTGCAGCCCAGATGGACGTTCCATCTATACCCGTATATTCACCAAAAAGTGTATCAATGTACGGTTCAGATATACTCTTTGCCGCTTTCGCGATCTCTGATGCACGGGTACCGTATGATTCCAAGAGGTTGGGTGTGTCAGAGCAGACGCCCTCGAATAGTGCACCTAACCGTCTCGCTAGAATATGAGTCGAGCCGTGTTCTGCATTGTCTTTTCGTTTCGTTGACAATATGTTTCCAAGCGGCTGATACTCTTGCGGGGCCTCGAACTTCACTAAAGTGAAGTCAAAGTTGAGGTTGGCGGCTGCGATCGTTACTTCGTTCGTCGCGGCTGCCAGTGCAGCTTGAAGTTTGCCCACTGTAGTCATCTGGACAATAAAAGATCGGTTTAGGTGAATGTAGAAGTCAACGAGGTAGGAGCGAGAAATAACCAGGCTGTGATATTGTCCATCTTACAGTGGTTGCCGAAATACCGTGTCATAACGTGACTTAGTGGTAGCTAGTAATCCAATCAATCACTAGCAGTATATTAGCAGTATTTTAGCGCCGGCGGCTTGTCAGAGGCTAAAGATTATCGCTAAGACCTCTATTAATCTGTAAAAAGAGGCAAAAATAGAGATATCTGTACAACAAAGAAGAAGCATTTATCCAAAGTTTACTAACTTACTTTTACCTAGAATAAGTATTGCTCTGTATAACTTTTAGGACTTCTATTAAGCTTTAATTAATATCTTAATACTTTTTCCTAGGTCACGTTATGACATGGTATTTCGGAAACGACCCATAATGCCGACTACCCCGCTGTCAGCCAACTCTGATCTCTTAGCATGCTCCTCTGGGCGCTTATCGACATAGTGATATCCAATACATTTGAGACAGTTAATCTCCTTCTTGTTACTGTGATTAGGTACTCTTACTGATAATTACTGTGTATAAAGGGACTGGGTATTAGCTTCTATACTGAGTTACTATATTAGAGTCTTACTGTGTTGCGTCTATCTGTGTGCAACAAGTATGAATACGTTATATGCCTAAAACAATCTAATACATTTGAAGCAAGGGTTGTCTGTCTTCCAAGCGATAAAACGTGGATTGAGAGTGTGTACACAATGACGTTAGCAATGACGACCCTCCGCTAACCTCTGCAAGTGCGAGAATTATCTAAAGCAGGCTTCCTTAAAGCTCTGCCTTGCTAATCGAGAACGAGGCTGTATTTCTAATCTGTTAAGTCACATGTAATTAGGCTGATGCTGACCTTGTCTGAGCCTCATTGCACATACACTGATCGCGAGTGCGCATTGCCTTCTTATCGGTACTGTGGCAAGTGCGAGGTTGCAATGCAGCTTCTGTCATTAACGTGAACTCAAAACAAGAAACCCCCTGAGGAACTGGAAAAGAAGAAGAAGCAGTAAGGAGGTTGTCATGTCCTGCAGAGCTCGGTAGAGCTTAGAGTGCTATAGGCTTGGAAGTGGATAGTACATAACTCATTGCTACTCCTGTTGCTTGCCGAGTTAGACATGTGCATGCTGATCGATCTAAGTGCGCATAAAAGAAGATTTCGAGGCACTACAACGAGATGTGTGACGATAGTCCACTGGGTCTTCTCGAACTTCTCTTGAAGCGGTAATATGTCGGGTTTGATCATGATTAACGTGGATTTGACTATAGTCACGTGGTTCACTTGATACCTAGCGTCATAAAACTGACCCTCTTACCCATGAGACGTAACTGAGTGAAGCCACCTCAGAAGTCGAAGTGGCAAGTACCTGCCCAATCCGGGCTGTCGATCGAGAAGGCTCTGCGGTGCGCACATATATGGACGGACTGGCCCTCGGGCGGCATATCATAGACAGACATTACTTTCACGCGACGTCTTGATGCAGGTGTAGGTGGAGAGTTCACACCCGCTGCATGGCTGGAAAAAGGAAGTGGAGTTGTCGTCACTAGCTTCGACGCGCGACGCGTCCCTAGCTCTCAGCCCTACGACAACCTAGCACCAAAAATTCCTGAACCCCACCACGGCACAGCACACCCCCACCATATCCTTCCCTTTGTACACCATCCTCCAAGCAAAGAATACACTACGATTCACCAAAATGTCCGTCTGCATAATCTGCACCACGCCGCTCTTCGTAGAAGTCTCGCATGACTCGGACTCCGAGCATGAATCCAGCGGGCCCTCATCTGGCAAAGCGCGGGCCGCAAGCCCAGAAACCGTGCCCGACGATGTGCAGTTAAACTGCGGGTGTCACTTCCACTGGTAGCCTACTCCACACCCCGCCATTGAAATCGACCATACTAATACCAAGCCAAGGGACTGTCTCCTCTCCGCCTACGAAGTAACACAATGCCCCTCATGCGGCCAGAACATCGCCTCAAACGACAACACGCAGATCCTCGTGAACCTGAACAACGAGGGCGGTCTGCAGCGTGATCTCGACATCCTCCCCCTACTCGTCGAGGAAAGCTACCTAAAAGCCTACCCCGAGGACAGAAAGTGCCGCGCATTCCTCGAGTTCTGCCGCGAAGGCGACTACAAAGCCGTTGTCGCGATGCTGCAAGACGACGACTCGGACGACTCAGATGAAGATGGAGATGAGGATATGCCCGACCACACCGACGAGCAAACGGATATGGATAAACTGCTGCGCTACCAGGATCCCATCGGCGATATGCAGTCTGGACTCCATGCGGCGGTGCATGCGCAGAGCAGGGAGGTCGCGTGGTTGCTGCTGCTGCTGGCGAGTAATTTGGATTTGATGGAGTTTCCGCCGCTGGTGTTTCAGGAGGCGGGTGCGATGGGGATTATGCGCGGGTTGACGGAGGATAAGGTTGATATTAGGAGTTTGCGGGATGCGCAGGGGAGGACGGCGGAGGATGTTGCGAATGAAGTTGGGGGTGTGTGGGTGGGGTGGACGGGGAATGAGAGGTTGGCGATTTGAGGGATGAAGAAATAACTAGGAAGAGACGTGGGGGTGGGGAGGAATTTGTGGAAAAAGACGCCTTCTTCGTGATAGGGATTCTGCGAAGGAGCTCTTTGGCCCTGTTGACTTGCTACGAACAAAACATCTGAATAGAATGGAACAGAACCACCACGGGTGGGATATCATTCTTGCCTTCACACCGCAACACATCACCAAACCCAAACAATCTGTCACGCAACTAATAACCCCCTTCCTGACCTAGCCCTTTCATGTACCGACTGGCCATGTCTCGTATCCCGTTGTTCGTGACCCGCTCAAACGCCGGCGCTGGAAAGAAGTACAGAAAGTGTGGTGGCGGGATTATAGTTCTTCATGATGTTTGATATGTGTGGGTGTTGTTGAAATTACATAGAAGTGAGAAAGACGGGTATATGGGGCAATTTTTCGAATAACGTGCGAACATGACTGGTGAGATTTGAATTCGAATCCAGGACGGCGTGACTTTCAATGATACTTGATCACCTGCTCGTATTCGCGTCAGCACCATGCATGCAACACGCGCGTGACAGCTAAGTTGAAGACTCACCGGTACCCGCCCTTTCGACCTCCTCTCCTCGCGCGAAAATCGTCGTGCTCCTCAATGACCTCCACGACGTCGTCGCCGGGCACGCGATGTCTGTCCTCGACGACGATGCTCCGTTGTCTTGTGACGCTCCTCTGTCTCTGCTGCGGTGGCGGCGCCCTCCTCTCCTCGACAACGACTTGCGAGCGCGAGGACGACATCCTCGGGCTGCTGCGACTGTGTTCGCGCATCTGCGTGTGGGAGCTGCGACGCGAGCGGGCCTGGGAATTGCGGCGCGCCCGTCGCACGACAATCTCCTCTTCGCCGGCCATGGCTGTCGTCGTCCCTCTGCGGCGATTCCCCTGCGTGAGCGAGTACAGCAGCCATACTATCAGCAGGAAGCCGGCTACGCTGCCCAGCACGATGCCGACGACGGTGCCGGGTTCTGGGCCGTCGAGGTTGTAGTACGTGGGTATTATCCCTTGCTGGACGAGCTGTTGCTGACGCTTGGCGAGGGGTGGTGCGGCGACAGCAGGGAAGTCAATTGCCTGCCGTGGTGTGAGGCTGGGGTTGTTGAGGTCGCGCGGCGCAAGAACGTCGATTTGGCGTGCTGTCGCATCGTAGGGCTCGCCGACAGCTGGCATGTTGGTGACTGACAGGCAACAGGGGCGTCGTCGTGGGGCGTGCTGAGCGGGCGCAAAGTCGTCGTGGGGCGTGTTTGGGGTGAGGGAACGGCCGTCGTCTGGGGGAACAAGGTTGCTTTGCGACGGAGTTCAGGCCGAGACTAGCAGGAGAAGCCGGTTTGCAGCGCTGCACATGCAATTGCGGAGCGACAACAGATGAGGATGATTTTATCTGATGCGACGGCCATGGACTGGGAAGTGGGAAGAAGGGAGGAACGTGGTGGTGAGAATTGTTGTGATGCTGACGCGGGCCACGACGACGCCATGATGCAATGTGTTTCTGCTGCCAGCCGCTGGACCCTCGCACCATCGGTTGGTACGTCCAGGCACCAGATCTCCAACACCACGCTTTTGTCCATGGCGAACACGTCGTGGTGTAACGCTGGGTTGCGACGTTTGCTACATTCAGTTCAAGAGGGAAGATCTGCGCTGCAATGCCTTTGAGAGGTTGTTGCCAGCCTCCAGCCACCACTCCACACATTGTGCGCACGCCGTCATCAGTCACGTCAGATCCTGTCACATTCTATTTCTCTCTTTCCAGTCAGCTTTTCTATTCATGTCAATCGACTGTGAAGGTTACTTCCAGGACTTCCTCTGTTTCACCCAGTTTTCTAGCTATATGACACTCTCATCGCGTATCCACGTGAGCGCTACTGCCTTGTTCGTCTGCTGGTCACCATAACAACGCGACAAGGCCCCGCGGAGCCGGACGCTGGCGGAACTCTTTCACCGTTGACGCTTCTGCGACGCATTGCTAGCCTCTACAAAATTCTCGACGGGTTTCCAACGCACAGCATCTTTCAGCCCGAAAGATTGATGTAAAAGTCGATTGCTGTTGAGCAATGCTACTGAACTTGACCATCTCAGGTCTAGCGGACATTCGCAGTCTATCTTTGATTCTCTACTGAACTTCCACTGATATATGGTCTCAGGCCGTTTTCATACTCTTCACTTTTCATACTCTTCACTTTTCTAGTCCTTTCAAGCGAGTTGACTCAGCGGAGATGGCACCTGAACAATGCTATGTTTGTAATCTCTCAGAAATGAGTGATTGTTCGTTCGCTTGCTGTCCCATCGGTGAAAGCCAGACGCAAACGCAAAGCATCCACACTTTTTAAATTGCATCATGCCCTCAACTTCTTTGGCTGCATCTCCAACACTTCCAGAATTTCTTGTCCGTGATACGATCGCGCGCTGTCTTGGCTTGACAGGTCTCGCGCTCCATGTCTTCGGTCATAATCCCCAAGAACTGCCTTCGCCTGGGTTGTGGGTTTGCAGTTTTGAATAATAATTCCCCAGGTAAGCTTCAGTCGCTTGACACTTAGACTCTCCGCCCTTCCTGGTCATACTTTAGCATCTAAAAAATCGTAGATGATCCATCGCAACAGCTATCTCTTCGAACACTGCGCGCTTTCGCTCCCAGGTTCGAGGTGAATCATGGTAATGATTTGGAAAGCGAGCTCGCACAATACGGCCCAATCCATCAAGTCCCGGCATTTGCTTCTTGGCTTGAGCAGCGAGATCGAGACTTTACCTCACAACCCCAGCAGTCTCGTCTATGGATCACTGGATCTCCCAACACTGACCGGGTTGCTTTCGTCTCTGTAGCGCTCCAGACTCTTCGACGTCGAACTTCCCGGAATGAGGTCAAGACTCAAGTTCTCTACTTCCTCTGCAACCGACAAGACGTGGCTTGCAACAACGCCGCAGCGATTCTCAAAGGATGGATGTACCAGCTTCTCGTCCAGCGCCCAGACATCTGCCAAGAACTCTGCAAATGGTTTGAGGATCCAGATAATCGTCACTTCCATTTGGACAACGTTGGCATGCTATGGCATGAGTTTCGACACGCACTTGTCGATGGCGACGCGGGAACCACTTACTGCATCATCAGCGATCTACACGAATGCGACGAGAAGAGCGTCCAGGTGATCACCAAGCTCCTATCCGAACCGTTTACTTCGGAGCATTGTCTTGGAAACGATGTTCGGATCAAAGTACTTATCACGAGCCGCGTCATTCCTTTGTCAGACCAATTTGAGAAACTTGACCTGGACGTACTGACAGCGAGTAACGCGGGCTTCAACTTGACGTTCAGCAACTCTCCAACACCTGGCAAATTGTTCCAGAGCATCAACAGCGATGTCAGGAGTTACTGCCTGGTCGGTCTCGAGATATTAGCGGCACTGAAATCCCGCCCGACCATAGAAACGCTGCGAAATCTCATAGGCTTGTCTGATTCCGATGACGCCTTCAACGAGATACTCGACCATTGCCGGCTCTTGATTGAGATTCAAGACGATCGAGTTCAATTTGTTTCCTCGACTGTACGCGACTTCTTTGCATACCCCAAAAACGCCTCGTCGATCCACGCAAGCCTCGCGCAAGATTGTCTGAAAATCTTGAAGCAGGAACTTTGCGATCAAGACATAGCTAATCTTGACAGGATGAGCAGGCAGTGTGACTATGACATCAACACCTTACAATATGCAGTGCTGCACTGGGCTGACCACATTAGACTCGCACCTGACAATACTATCGACCTGCTGCCTGATATCTTGGACGTATTTGCTCAGAGCCAAGGCCTAGCACAGAAGTGGTGGACCGTTCATCTGCGAATGTTTCATCACATCTCCCAAATCGACGTTGTGAGATTCCACACCAACACAGCCATACATCCAACGACGGTGCTGCACGCCTTGGCTCGTTTCAATCTACATCGAGTACTCTACGAGGTTCGCAACAGCTCCCACTGGGTTGGACTTCAATATTGCATGCGCTCCACGGACAGCTTTGGCATGGACCCTCTGGCAGTAGCGCTGTCTATGCACCACACCAAAAGCGCCAAATTCTTTATTCAACAGGGCGTGACCATCAACGCGATGCATGTGCGTTTCGCTGCTGACTCGAGTGTAGAGCTTGCTGGCATAGTCTTCGAAGACTTCCTCCAGCGGTGCCCTTCTACGCTGTTGAGTGAGAACGACGTCGATCTGATCCTGCACAAAGTTGTGACAACCGGAGACGAGGCACGTGTCGCGCAAGCAATCGAGTTCCTGAAGACCAACAACCCAAGCCGCTTTCCATGGACCAGAGTTAATTCGCTAGGACGAGCATTCAGTTGCGGTCACGACCACGTCGTCAAGATGCTTCTCGACATCACTGATCTAGACAGCGACGACGCCATTCCAGAGATCATCGCACATACAGTAGACGGTCACGAAGACGCAATCACAAAGCATCTACTCAAGCTTCCAAGATTCGCATCCTTCGTCACCAGTGATAAGCTCATCGATTCGCTCACCCTTGCTATCCGCCTCAAATGCTTCACGATTGTCAACCTTCTTGTCAACGCTGCTAATATGAACCGCAAAGACCGCTGGGGCTGGACCCCCCTGGAAGTTGGCGCCATGTACGGTAACCCCCACGCCATCTACAGACTCTTGCTTCTGGGGTGCGGGGTCCAGGGTACATCACGCGAGGCTGGCGTTGCATTGCATCTCCTCATTCACGAAGCCGGCGTCAGCGTTGGTATGCCCGTGCTTGAAGAGCTACTGCTGCGAGGCGCGCGCATGCAATACGTACACTTTGGCATTACGGCGCTGCATGTTGCCGCGGAACAGGGCCGGGCGGAAATCATGGCCATGGTGTTGGAGAGTATGTCAGACGCGGAGATTGAGGAGGATATCGATCGGCTGCCGAGTAGTCTGCATGGGGAGTGGCGGGATAAAACTGCTCTTGCGATCGCGGCGGTGAAGGGGTATGGGGAGATCATTAGGCTACTACTTGAGGCGGGGGCGGATGAGGCGATCACGGACAAAGATGGCAAGACGGCGCTGGAGTTGGCAAGCGAGGCTGGATGGGTGGACGTTGTGGAAGTGTTTGAGCATGTGCATACGCGCCGCGAGAAGCAGAAAGAGAAGAAGAGGAAGAAGAAGCAGGATAGGAAGAAGAGGGGTAAGAAGTAGATGGGCCTTTGTGGTTGGGTTGACATTGATGTGGTAGGCATTGATGTGGGTTGGCATCACATTGAGGTTTGGTCTATGTCTCAGGATGCATGACGAGAACTATATCCATTTGATGCGATAGGTCACGAAAGGAATGCTAGGACATTATTATCGGTTTACTTCTGTTGCTGTTGCCTTCTGGTACTGATTTTGTCATGTCCTAAGCAATGGCTGACACGACCAGGAGTTATGGCTTTGAGCTTGCACCAAGCCGCCTCAGGTCACTCGCGTGCAAATCTGAAATGCAAAAGTCCCTGATAGAAACGGGGATCATACCTTATCAATCTTGTCCAGACAAGGCATCAGAATGTCGAGATTTGCCATGCACGATCGTTGATTTCCAGCTGCTCCTATTGGTCAAAACTCATGCTTGGCGTGACGTCGGACCTCCGCGATATTTTGAGCTCGTGCCTACGAATGCGCGTCCCACCATTGAGCCGCAGGCACCAGTAACTCGACATCGCATCCAAGCAGCCAGTCATTTTTCTGTACAACAACTACCCCGCACTGTACACCCTCACATCCTCAACATAGGTCGGAAACATAAGGCGCACCGCCAGCAGGCCGAACAGAACAAGCCCTGGCGCGACTCTGAGAAAGGTCGCAAAAGCAAAAGCAAGAAGGGTAAAGGAAGAGATCGACAATTCAAGATGGGGAACGAGGAATCTACAATGGTGGGGAGTGATTCGCCGACACAAACCCTCGAGGCGCGTACTTTGGAGGCTCTCGCACAGTACATCACCGAGGGGCGGGCGCGCAAGATCGTTGTCATGGTATAATTCACACCGCGCGAGACTTGAGCGCATGCTGACTCTGGAAAGGTAGGGGCAGGTATCAGCACCTCTGCGGGCATACCAGACTTCCGGTCGCCAGAGACAGGCTTGTATGCGAATCTAGAGCGCCTCAATCTACCCCACGCTGAAGCAGTCTTTGAGATATCCTACTTTCGCGAGAACCCTCTGCCGTTTTATACCCTGGCACAAGAGTTATATCCAGGGAAATTTCGACCGACAATCACGCACTCTTTTGTCACGCTGCTGCATAAGAAGGGCCTGTTGCTCAAGCTTTTTAGCCAGAATATCGATTGTCTGGAGCGCGAGGCTGGGTTGCCGGATGAGATGATCATTGAGGCGCATGGCAGCTTCGCCAAGTAAGATTATCTGGTTCTAGGTCTTGCACGGCGGATACTGACATCTCACTAGGCAAAGCTGCATAGACTGCAAGAAACCTTACCCAAAAGACCTAATGCAAACCGCAATCCAGAAGAAAAGTGTGCCACGCTGTCTCGACCTCGCCTGCAACGGTCTCGTCAAGCCCGAGATTGTCTTCTTTGGCGAACAACTCCCTGCCGAATTCTTCGCAAACCGAGACCTCCCCTCAGAAGCCGATCTCTGCATAGTAATGGGCACGTCATTGTCGGTCCAACCCTTCGCCTCGCTGCCAAGCTGCTGCGAAGGACCCACCCCGCGACTCCTCATAAATCAAGAACGAGTGGGTGACCTAGGGCACCGCGCAGACGACGTGCTGCTCCTGGAGGACTGCGATAGTGGCGTGAGGAAACTCGCTGAGGCGTGCGGGTGGTTGGAAGAGCTTGAAGCACTGTGGGCGGAGACGGCGCGGGAGGGCGATATTACACCCACGCCCGAGACGGTCAAGAAGAGTAGAGATGAGAAGCTGCAGGATAAGGTCGATAAGCTTACGAGCGAAGTCGAACGAAATCTGAAGTTGAGCCAAGAACAGCATTCTTGGCTGGATAAGCATCTTGATAAAAAGATTGCGCGGAAAGAGGAGGAAGATGAGAAGGAGGTTGAATCTTCGAATACGCAACCAACGGATGATGCTAAGACGCTGAAATTGGCGCCTGTGGCGAGTGCGGACGCGGATGCGACGGAGAAGAAATCAGTTGGAGAACTCGGGCATGTCTTTCCTCACTTGACGAAGGAGCCTGCGAAGAAGGTGGACTCTGAGCTGTGATGACTCTCTATCGTGCAGTTGTTGAGGTTCTAGGTTTCGTGAGTTCAGAAAAAGATAGATACCAGATCACGGCGTGACGAATACGAGTTCTTGCTACTGTACGTTCCCTGCAGTGTTTGCTCTCCATGGCTTGAAATTTCTAGAGTCTGATGAACCGGTTGGTGAGTTGCAACGTGGTCAGGTTCTCCTCCTAGGACGTGAGTTTGTCGGTTTTCGTAGATATCCATTGCGGCTGACAGTATCGACGACTTTACATTTACGATGGATTGGTATATCCTTCCATGTACAATCCAGAGTCAACTCCACCTGGTCGCGCTTGGTATCCACTCACGTCATTCTGGAACCTGCTTATTAGTTGTCGTCACTGGTCAAACTCGCTTTCACCTATCCGATCACACACCGCTCGCTTAGTATATCTCCCCCAACATATATGCCCCGCCACGACCTCTCTCTCGCTCCCACAACGACACCACTCGTAAGCTCACAACGTCGACACCTGATCTGATCGCTAACCACAATCACAGACTGCAGCGCTACAGTGTAGGCCCATCCCAATACACTATCCACCCTCTGTGGCCACTTCGAGCAGCATGGGCACTTTGGCGGCCGAGAGTCACGAAGTGGCACCGCCCTCGCCTATCCACACAGCTCCGGCACCTGCACGACACCTCGACCATGCAGCAGCTTCCTCCATTGACACGGTGAGCACGACGATGCAAGATCTAGCACTGGCAGTCCGCACACCGACTACTGGTTTCACTGATCTGCCGACCGAGCTACTCTGCCAGATCTTTCTCGACATCCCTTCCAACTTCACCAAAACGCTCTGGAGTCTGTCTCTCACCTGCAAGCGCTTCCACGATGTCATCGAGGAAAGACTGGAGCCGGAGCATAACCTTCGCAGATGTGTAGTGGACGACCCCTACAGCCTAATTCGTCGACTGACAGACCGACCGGCTCTTAGAACTGTTATTCGGTCGGTCAAACTTGCTAGCAACATATCGTCACGACCACCCCTCAGCGAAGCCGAGGCCAACGAACTCGTCGGTAGCGCTAACCTCAATACCTATGCAGAGCTTTGTTCGCTCAGACTGGGTCTCCAGAGAAATGATCCGGATTGGCTCGAGTTTCTCCTGTTAATGTATCTACCACGACTAGACACCATCGATATGCGTTTACTACACACCCAAGTTCCAGATCTTATCTCGCAATTTGAACCGTACAAGTGTTCTTCCAAAACTCACTGGCTTTCAAACTTGACCCATCTTCGCCTTGTCCACTTACGCCCCGAATATGATGATTGTCTCAACGGGGACTTCCTCGCTCTACCAGGGCTACAGCGAGTCTACCTTAACAACGTCATAATCGATACAGAATGGGTTTATAGATCGCTCGCTGACGCGAGATTTCAGAGCGGGGAGGAAATATCTATACCTCCCTCAACAGTCACGGACTATGAAGTGCGCAATACTCATCTCCATGCAGGAGCTCTACACAGGCTTTGCATGTTCACTCATCTATCTCGTTTATCAATACGTTTGAAGCAGCAAGAACTAGGCCTAAACGTGCGAATCAAAACCTTGTTCGAGGCTATCAAACGTCACAAGCATTCTCTACGGGCGCTTGAGGTCTGGACTAATGAGATGTTCACGGATAAAGTGGGCAAACCCTACGGGATCAACGATTTCATGCCTTACTTTCTCCCATTGGAGCGGGCGTGGGAAACCTCCGCTTGCTTCGGGTATTTTCGGCCTATCCAATCTTTGAGACCGTTCACCTGCTTAAAGTCACTTGCTCTAACTGATATCGCATTGGTCGGCCAGTCGAGACGTGGACTTCCATACTGGCGCAAACCCGTTAGTAGTACCGCCGCATACCTTAGCGGAATGCTTCCTACGTCTCTCGAAATCTTCACTCACATTCTTTGGGACGGTCCGGACGGCTACGACGCGCTGTTGGCGGACGACGAAAAGCATCTCCGATCGTGGGACCGGATCTGGAAGGTCATCACACCGGAGCAGTTCCCTAATCTGAAGAGGGTGGAGACGGTGGGCTATAACCGGGAGGGTATATCGAAAGAGCGAAAGGTGATCTGGGAGAGGAAGAACTGATGGGTTGCGCATGACGATGATGCATGCTGAACTCGCAGTATTTATGCGAAACCGCCCGGTGTGCACAGGTCCCCGAAGAGTATTGTACGTATACAGGAGCTCCCAGACAAAGACAGTACAATGAAAGGCTAATTGGTGGCAGGAAGCGTTGAAAGAGTCGTCCCAGACGATAATCGCTCAGTGACAGCGGGCGTGTGGACATGCGCGAGAACATGAAGCAGTGCCGTTACACAACCGTCTTCAGTCTTCAACAGCGTTTACTAACTTTGGTAAGTCCTTCTCAAGTGAATGTTTGTCCTTGCTTACCGCTTCCAGCTCACTTGAGTATCCACATCACTCCCCACACTTTGCAACAAGTATAACGCGGTTGTACTACCCCATTCGAGCGATCTGATTACCTGCCCACATCTTCCTTCAACTCCTGTTTGTCAACGTTCATGATGCGAGCTATATGACAATCAGGAAGAGCTCAATGAGATGATCAATTTGAGGCTTGCATTCTGCGGAAAACTGCAAGAAACCTTGCAAACGATGGACCTCCATACTCTAGCAATCAAAAGCCATTTTGATCTCTCCTTTTCTTTTTCGTCTCTTGCGATATGCTTGTATGCATGACCTGCTTGACGAGAAACGGAGATGGTGTTGTGGAGGTGCAGAAAAGACTAACGTTGACAGCTGGGATGAGCTCGCGCCGCACCCTTTCTCCAACCAATCATGTTGATCTGCACTGCCACTCCCTTCCGCTATCCGCTAACCCCGCGATGCATCCCACCTCCAAGACCTCGTACCTTCAGACCCCAGGCATCCAGCCTCGACATCAATCTCCTCCACCACAACTTCGACATCTCTTCTATCTTGAATCTTCCCCTGAAAACACGAAAACAGAGGAGAAAACACAATCAAACCATCCAAAATGGCGCCCGCCGCTTCGCTCGTGAACAAGCTCAAGGTGCAGCTGAAGCTGTCGATATCCAGGCTACGCATGACACAACAAAAGGATAGCGCGAAAGTGAAACTGCAGAGAAGGGAAATGGCGCAATTGCTCGAGGTCAGTATGATCTTGTTTTGTTTTATCAGACATGCGAAAGGCAACACCACGCTCGCGCGTGGCTGTCTTTCAAGCCTTGTTCAAGACGCGCCTGAGTATAGTTTGCAGCTATGTGTCAATTTTACCGTGCAACAACAGCGACTGTCACATTAGGCGTAACCCAGGTTGTAGCATACGCACCTCATGTAACAGAAGCTATGCGACCATTTGCTGACACCTCCACAGGCAGGCAAATTACAGTCGGCACGAATACGCGTCGAGAACATCATCCGGTCCGACATCACAACCGAACTCCACGAGATCCTAGAACTCTACTGCGAACTGCTGCTTGCGCGATCGCAGCTCCTCGAGAACCACTCCACTTCCTCGCCCATCGACCCTGCGCTCGAAGAAGCCGTCCGAAGCATAATATACGCGGCGTCGCGGACAGAGATCAAAGAGCTGCATGCCGTGCGCGCATTTTTAGTTGAGAAGTTCGGCAAGGAGGTCGCGCTGGCGAGTATGGAGGGTGAGGGTGTCGCAGAACGCGTGGTGAAGAAGCTGAAGGTCGAGACGCCGAGTGAGGAGCTGGTGAATGCGTATCTCACGGAGATTGCGAGATTCTACGGGGTCCCATTTGGTGAGCCCAAGCAAGCAGAAGATGACGACGACGATGAACCGAGTGGTGGTGTAGCAGAAGAAGCAGATGAACAGGACGACGAGAGAGAGGAGTTGGTTAAAGCGACACCGCCCAGGCAACTGGGCCCGCAGAGTCCGCTGAGAGTTGTGCCGCCCAGCCCTAGTACGGACAATGTCGCGCCGCGCCTCAATTTACCAGGGAGCGCAGCGGCGAAGGTCAATGCGAGCGAGGCAAAGAAACCAGTCAAGAAAGAGGATGGACTGGGCAAGATTCCGGATGTAGATGAGCTGGCAAAGCGGTTTGCGCAGTTGAAGCGATGAGGTTTCCTGAAATGGAGGGTTGGAATGTTAGAAATTCAAGTACCCAACTTGGTGCTCAGCATGGATCTGGAAGTGGACAATCGCATTTCATCTAGGCGTTTAGCTCGATCTGCTGATGGGAATCTTTGATGAAGTTGATTGAGCTATCATGACATTTATATTGCGAGGCCAGCATCAATGTAAAACATGGAGAGGTGCCAGACAAGCCTGGTTGCAGACCTACGCAAAGGAGCACGGTAGAATTTGTTCAGCTGTTACCGTGTCCATGTCAAAGACCTCGAAATAGCACCACTTACCAGGAACCCGGATTGCTCCTGCTGAATTGCGGGGCAGTCACATGTGAGGCCTACGTCATGCCTGCGCCTCCCCCAAACGTCAGCCTCACAAATCACGTACACACATACAAGCTCGCACTCCTTTCTCCAACACCTCACCTTTCCACCTTCTCCTCCACCAAGATACTCACCACCCCCACCACAACGCAAGCATGACCTCACACAACACAAACGACAGCCAAAACCCGTGGGAAGACGAGCCCGGCCACCACGGCGGCTTCCAAAACCAAACCCACAACTCATACCACGCCTACGAAGACCAGACACGCGCCCAACCCCACACATCGCCCTACCAGCCCACGTCCCCACCTCAGCAGACCTCGCCCTACCAACCAACCACGACCCCCTCCTACCAAGAGTCCGCACACCACGAATACCAGCCCCCAAACCATCCCCCACCAAACTTCCAAGCCGCATACTCGTCCCCCACGCAAACCCAAACCCAGCCCCACCAAACGCCCTTCCAGAACACGCCCGACTACGCCCCGCCCGCGCACAACGCACCCCATCAAACTCCCACCTACGGCTCTGGCTTCGAAGACAATGAGCGTCCCCCGACCCTGCCACCGCGCCGCTCGGCAACAGACCTCGCGCTGCCCACAGGCCACGACCGCACGCACCAGATCGAAGTGATGCAGAGCTACGAGGCGTCCGGGCGACGTGACGAGCATGATTTCAATGTCGAGATTCTGCAGCGCGAGTTTCCGAAGATCGATGGCAGTTTGATAGCCGCGATTTATGGGGATAGTAAGAGTTTGAGTGCGACGAGGGAGATGTTGGGGGAGTTGGGAGGGTGAGATTCCGAGGAGGGCAGGAAAAATGTAGGTTAAGTAACGACAGTATATATGACTGGTATAGCACCGGAGATGCTGAATTATGAACAAATATTTCATTCGACTGTGCACGCTTTTTGTACAGTCTGCAACGCCTTAATCCCCTATGGTACGCCGGAAAACAGTGCGACTTCTACTCACAACGCCTGTATCCCCTTGAAAAAGCCATTCTCCTTCAACGCCTGATTCTCGCCAACCATCTCCTTCATGCGCTCCACCTGCTGTTTCTTCGTCAACCCCTTACTCTGCACCTCCTCCTTCCACTTCGCCAGCATCTCCTTGAGCAGCCTGCTCCCCTCCTCGACCTCATCCTGACTCGCATGCACAAACCCCTCCTCGTGTTTCCCCGCGAAATCCTCCAACTCATCCGCTTTCCGTTTCGCCATGTTGATGACTTTCTGCGGGAAGCGCACCAGCTCCGCGACGTGGATGCCGAAGGACTGGTCCGAGAAGCCGGGCTCGACTTTGTACAGGAGCGTGACTTCGCGCTTTGCCTGCGCCTGCGCCGCGTCGTCGCCGGAGCGGGCATCCGAGTCGGAAATATGGGCTACGACGTGCAGATTCTGGACCTGCGGGTAGGTGTCGACCAGCGCGGTGAGCTCGTGGAAGTGCGTTGCGAACAGGGCAAAGGCGCCGATTTCCTTGACGATGTACTCCGAGATAGCCCAGGCGAGGCCGAAACCATCGTATGTGCTTGTTCCGCGACCGAGTTCGTCGATGATGATGAGGGATTCTTTTGTTGCGGATTTGAGGATGTTTGCTGTTTCTAGCATTTCGGCCATGAAGGTGGATACGCCTTTGATTTGGCTGTCGCTTGCGCCGACACGCGCGAGGATGCAGTCGAAGATTGTGAGCTCGGCGGAGGCGCAGGGGACGAAGCAGCCGATTTGTGCCATCAGGGCGATGACGCCGATTTGGCGGATGTAGGTCGACTTGCCGCCCATGTTGGGGCCGGTGATGATGAGGAATTCGCTTTCGTTGCGGACCAGGCTGACGTCGTTGGTGATGAAGGATATGTCGTCTTGCATCTCCATGCACGGGTGTCGCGCTTCCACGAGGACGGTGTTGCCGGTGCCACGAGGGTGCATCGTGGGCCGGGTGTAGGATGTTGGTGCGTGGACAGATACGTGTGCGAATGCAACGATGACATCGAGGTGGGCGAGAACGGCGGCGAGCTTCTCGACAACGGGGACGTATGAAGACGCAACGGTCACGACCTCATTGACTAGCCCTGATTGAGTGCGGTTGTAGTTCTCGGAGTACTGGTCGAACTCTCTCCGCATGCCTTGCAGGGATGATGTCGTGAAGTATACGCCGTTCTTCTGTGTCGAGATTTCCTGGTACTGCTTCTTCTGTCGAATGCAGCCTGCTTCGTTGCGTGTCAATCTGAAACACCAGCCATGCACTTTGTGGTTCTCAAGAAACAGCTTCTTGTCCTGTTCTTGGTTGAGGTCATCCGAAACTTTGCGATGTTCAGACTCCATGCCTGACTTCAGCTTGTCGAGACGTTTGCGAATGATGCGCAGGGCCTCGTCGAACTCGGGCTTGATGATGAACTCGTGGTTGTCAAGGGCATCGAGATCAACTGTAGTTTCGACCATATCCTGCAGTCCCGCGAATGCGTTTGAGTACTGGCGTAGCTTGGTTGTATACTCAGCGTCCAGCGGATCTTTGTACTGCTCGTCCATGACCGACTCAAGAGCGCTCAGGAATCCGGGGAGTCGGATGATGACTTGGTATGTCCGAACAACGTCCTCCAGGTTTGCAGCTTTGCGTTGGAACTTCTTCGCCAGTCGATACAGATCGGGGATGGAGCGCAGGTGCTCCTCCTGCATCGTCTGCCTCAACTCAGTGTCGTTGACGAACGCCTCAACTAGTTGCTGCCGCCGTTCGATCTCAGCTGCGTTCATCAGCGGCTGCTTCAGCCACTGGGCGAGCAGTCGGCTTCCCGTGGGTGTTTTGCAGTGGTTGAGCAATCCATACAAGCTCATTGACTTTGCTCCGTCTCTTGGGCCAGGCATGAGGTTGAGTGCTTTCAACGCTGCCGCATCGAGCTTCATGTACTGCGACAAGTCGTGTTGGTATAGCTGGTACTGGCCAAAATTCGAAGAGTCGGTCATGACGCCCAAGTACTTGATCAAGCAAGCAGCCGCGCCCATCGCCAATTTCTGATCTGTCAGAGGCAATGTGCCAGCCGCGCGCTCTTCTTTTAGTAATCGTGGGAGATCCTGCTCAATGTCCTTGATACCAAAGTCTGCTGCTCCTCGCTCTGCTACCGCGCAGCCGCAGTTGTCTGCAATCGTCCGCAACTTGCCGAGCTCGACGTCCTTCTTTGTCGCATCCACTTGTATGAGGCACTCCTTTACGCCGAGCTGAATAAGCAGGGATTCGAAGTTCGAGTAGAGATCGTTGTCGAGGAATTCCGTGACGCCGAGTTCCCGCACGCTCGCATCAGCGAAGCAAACGCCCACATTCCGTGCCTCGGACGCCTTGGCCGAGACCTTTACAGCGAGGATAATAGGCGCATTCTCGATTTGTCCGCCGAGCTCGTCTTCCAGGTCTTGCAGATTGCCCGGTGAAGCCTAGGAAAGCTGTCAGTCGTCTTCCTCGCACGCAAACATCTGCTCCCTACCTGTTTGACCACCTTCCAGTCCATCCGCTTCCCCGTCGACTGCCATATTTCCACCCGCTTGCTCAATCGAAACAGCGCGTCTCGCAGGAAATTCCGGAACACCATCGTTGTCATCGTCACGGATTCAAGACATGGCTCCCGTCCCAGCTGCCGTATGACTGCTGTTGTCTTGTACACTGTGGTCGCAATGAACTTTGCATCGTCTCCGTGAGCGCTGTAGTAGTCGCCTCGGTCGAATATCCGCATTGTGTCCTCGTTCTTGTCTGGCAGGCCTCGGAAGAACTTGCAGAAACCCCCTTCGTCCTCCTCCCGCATTTCCGGTCTGGACGTCATGTTTGTACAATTGGTTGTTGTAGTGTGTTACGGGTTGTGATGTTTCGCAAGATCGAAAAGAATAAGGGAGGGAAGTCGGTGGGGAGTGGAAAGTTGATGGACGCTGTCGATGGCTCCTTCCGTCTGGAAAGTGACGACGCGTCGCGCGAACTTTACGCGACGCGCTAGGGACTCACTTTATCGATAACCTCAACCACTTCCCGGAACAACTATTTGCAATGCACGAGGTTTTGTCTAAGTACTTGTCTGGTTTCGTTTTGATTCTATTCGTATAAAACGTTTCTCAGTTGGTACTTTTGCAGCGTATTAGCGGGACATGCAGCACAGGAAACCCATAATGTCCCTACTCGAACACACGTAGACAGCATACAACAAACAACTGAACTCAAAAACGAAGAACAAAGCTGTCATTGAATTCGTAAAGTCATCTGCTCATACCTCGTCTAGTCTCATATCTCATCTCTCAAGACCAATGCCAATCCCGTAAAGGCTCTACTCATCATCCCCGATACTCTCTGACCTCAATCTCTTCTCTCCACCCTCCCGGTGGACTCGGCGCCCTCAACGACATGGCGGGCATACTCACCCTCCTCGCATCTACCACACTCCCCCTCCTTGCCTCCACAGCGAACTCCCTCAAATCCACCTCCCGCTCCAACTCCTCCACCTCGTGATACCCGCCCACATGCTTGACCAGCGCCTCCGCAGTCCGGCAAATCGCATCCACGTCCCGACCGCGACTGCAAATCACACACGCATACTCTCCATCAGGAGTGTGGCATTTCAATGCAAAGCGCTGTCCGAGGCGGAACTCCCGTGTCTCGGGCTCGAAGTGAGGATGCGTTTGCGGCATGCGTTTCCCGATGATCCAGAAATCGCTCGCTGTGACGTCGAGCTGCATGCCGCAAGCGGGACACTGACATGAGCCGCCGGGTGCGAAGGTTGCAGCGAGAGGCTTGTGGGGTGTGTATTGGAGGTCGAGACTGTAGCGGCAGAATAGCTGGTCTGGGGCTTCAATAGCAAGACTTCTTGGTGGGGCGATAGATCGCTGGGGTGATGGGGCGCGTGCGGAGCCTGGTGAGATGCGGAATTGGGCTTGTTTGAGGGCGTCGAGGGAGCCGTCGCGTGCGGAGTTGGAGGCTGCGATGAGCTTGGACATGTCGGCTCGAGTTAATTGGCGGTCGTTTGCGAGAGCGTCTTGCAGGACTGTTATGACGGTTTGTTGCAGGGAGATGATCTGCGCTTGGAGTTGGTTTTCTGTGATTGCTAGAGTCTGGTTAGCATCTTTTCTCTGCTTCTTCGCGATGAGATGTTCATACTGTCTCCCTGGGCAAACCGATTCCCCAGTCGGCCAAACCCATCATCGTACACTCTCTGCACCATGGCAGCGTTCCTCCCAAAGTTATCGGCGACATTTTCGTCGCGGCCCCATCCTCCTCCTCCTCCTCCTCCTCCACCTCCTCCGCCGCCGCTCTTCATTTGGTCAATTTCTTTCTGCCGCCCATCAGCATCCTTTCGCGCCGTCTCGAACGACTCCTTGAGCTTCTTAATCTCGCCATCTTGCTTCACATCCTGCGCTCGCTGCTTGCGTTGTGAACGTTTGTCTTCAACTTTGTCATAAAGGCCCATGCCAGCCGCGAACGTTCCGATAAGCGTGGAGGCTAGCGTAGCGCATATGAACGTTTTCTAGCAGTCGTTGTTAGCAAAAGACCGCCAAACCGCATGGTGAGATCTAGTACCTTGAGCTTCTCCTCCTCGATCCACGATGCATAATTCATCTTTGCAGCGAAACAGCGAGCGTCGTCGCCCACAAGACCCGCTTTCTAAAATCTGTTGTGCGGGGAGAGCGGGCAAGACGACAGATAACGCAGATTACACGACAAAAGCAAGCAGACTGTACACCCGGTTGGAAAGAGACAACTCGCACAACGTTTCACCTGTGCGACGCAGTGATACAAAGTCCAGAAAGCAGGGTGAGGAGAAGTAATCACGGGGAGACGAAGAAGCAGATGTAACGCTCACGACGCATGACGCTCATCCCACAACAACCCGAGGCGCGTGATCGTCACCGTCCCCGCGGCACGAAGGATTCACATAATTGCCGCAAATATCGCGCATTATCGTCGTGGAGAATCGTCGAGTCGTGCTGACCGCAAGTCGAGATGAGAGAGCGGCAGGGCAGAGTGTAGGCTGACGTCATAGCGTTGATCAACTGCCGTGCGGGGCGTAGTAGGTGCATGAACGCGAGACATGACTCGTTGCTAGGCCATAGACTACCCGGGAGCTTAGGTGGGCGAGACGTTCAAGCATGTCAAGCATTGTTGGTGCGCTGGATGCTTGGATGCTTGGATCCTTGAGGATCTCCCCATCGTGTTTCTTCAGATCAGAAATGTCCGTGAGAGAAAAGGGAAGGAGGGGGTGGGGTGACTTGAAGGATGGGCTGGTGAGTCGTTCGTCCACTTTCGGTTTCCACGACGTCATCAGCGTCAACAATCGGTGTCACCTCATCGTTCATCAGCAACGACGAGAATGGGTTTTGCCATGCTGGTTGTGTGTTTCTATGAGAAACGAGTCTGCATTGTTGAGGATGCGTGAAGCGGCGTGATGCTGGTTGGAATGCATGAAGGTATATGACGTGGGGTGAGCCAACAACATCAAACCAATCACTGCATGCCGGACTCGCGAAGCTCCGATGAACGATCGTAGACGTTCCTGACTTCCGTTGCATCGTATCGAAGGCGAGAACTTTGGCTCACGTTAAATCCGCGGACAAAAATGCCATGTGAGAGTATACAACAGTACTTCACAACGAACCAATCAACTTAATAGGCTTTGACTTTGACATATCAAGGTACATTGACTAAATCTAACGTTTTAGATTATCTGCCACAACAGTACCAGCACTTCAAGAAGAAGCCTCCCCAGCCCTCATGCGCTCACCCACACTCCCGCCCCTCCACGCCGCTCTTGGATCCGTCTTGCTCTCCACCGAACTACTCTCGCCCGACTTGCCCCAACCGCCACCACCCGGTGTATGGATGATAATGCGTTCACCGGGCTGCATAGCCGCTGTATTCTTTCCACCGAGATTGATGTAGCGGAACTCCACCTCTTTCTTACCATCCCCTGCATCCGCCTCATCCCCGCGTTTCTCCACCTTCCGCGCCCAGATGTTGAGTCCACACGCGGCGTCTCCACCGCCCTCCAACCCATACGGATGGTATACGCGACGCTCGCTGAGAATAGAGACTTGCACCGCGCGGCGGAACTCGATATCTCTGATGACGCCCTCGCCGCCCTTGTGTTGACCCTGGCCCGCACTGTCCTCTCGCAGGGAAAACTCGCGTAGCAAAACGGGGTATCGGCGTTCGAAGACCTCGCTGTCGGTAATGCGCGTGTTGGTCATGTGCGTGTGAACTCCGCTCGTGCCGTTCCATGTGGGCCCCGCGCCTGAGCCGCCGGAGATAGTTTCGTAGTAACCGAAACCCTTTGTTTCCTTTCGTTCGCCGCCGACACCACCCTCGCCGCTGAAGGACGTCCCGCCAAAGCCGAAGGTCAGGTTGTTTGTGTCACCTTGAGAGGCGGCGCAGGCGTTGAAAGCTTTGAGAACGACGTCGGTGACGCGCTGCGAGGTTAGGACGTTGCCGCCGACTACTGCAGCGTTGTCGCTTGGGCTGAGGAAACTCTTGGGTGGGATCTTCACGGTGATGGGCTTTAGACATCCTTGGTTCAGTGGAATGTCCTCGCCTACTAGACAGCGCAGACAGTAGATGATGGCGGAGTATGTGACGGCCTCGGGCGCGTTGTGGTTCCCGTACACCTCTCGGCCCGTACCCTCGAAATCGAAGACTGCTTCGCCCTTATCGGGGTCGATTGAGACTCGCAGACGGATGGGCGACCCGTCGTCCATGAATTCTTCAGCAGAAAGGTCTTGACCTTCGAACCGCTGATGTACTTTGCGGAGGAGCTGGCGGACCGACTGTTCGGCGTTGAGCTGGATGGACGTCATGTAGAAGTCCACTACCTTCTCGCCGTAGTCGGACATCAAGGTGCTAATCAAGGAGATACCCTTCTGGTTCGCGGCGACTTGTGCCTTGAGATCGTTGAGGTTGTCGCTCAGACATCTTGTTCCACTGCACCCAGGATGCTGTCCAGGCTCATCAAGAAGCAGTTCTGTGATGCGTTTCTCATTGAAGTGGCCTTCGGAGACCAACTTCTCCGATTTAATGGCTGCACCTTCCTGGAACAGTTCACGAGAGTGCGGGGGCATGGAGCCGGGCAGAATACCGCCAATGTCTGCGTGGTGGGCGCGAGACGCAACATAGAAGATGATGTTGTCGCCGGAGAATGCGGGGGTTATGACGGTGATATCGGGAAGGTGCGTGCCGCCGTACATGGGATGATTGGAGACGAGAACGTCGCCGCGCTTCAACTTGCCCTTCCAAATGGAGGCTTGTTTGCGCACGCAAGTCGACATGCTACCAAGGTGGACGGGCAGATGGGGTGCTATGCGAGGTCAGTATGGGATGAGTAAGGTAATCATTAACCAAAAGGTCAAACTTACCATTGGCAACCAGACCACCATCCGCGTCAAACAGCGCACAAGAATAATCCAGTCGTTCTTTGACGTTTGTACTCACGCTCGTCTTCTGTAGTGCACGACCCATCTGCTCCGCAATCGCCATGAAGCGGTGCGCGAAGATGCTGAGTAAAATGGGATCCACCTCCTTCGTGCTGACCTGTTTCTCGTCGCCAGTACTCTCGCCAATGTTGATGACAACATGTGTCTGGAGGACAAGTGCACTAGCTCCCGGTGTGACAACAATGGTTTGCGTACCATCTGCGATAATGGCCGGCCCTTTCACTCGATCACCCACGTCAAGGTCCTCAAGCTTGTAGACCGATGTTTTCTGCCGCCCGCCCTCAAAGAATACACTTCTCTCGTCAAATCTCTTCTCCTCTCCCTTGAGATCCTTGGTCGTGATGTCACGAAGCTGTTGGTCAACGCTTTTTTCCAACCCCTTAAACGACTTGCCAATCCCTCGAGCCCTAACGTCGTCAACGATGATATCCCGATCCGGAAGCGTGAACCCAAACTCCTGCTCGTGCTGCTGAACGAATGCTTTGCCGAACGCCCAATCGTCACCATCAAACGACTTGTCCGCCTCCTCCTTCGTAGGTTTGATGATCATGAGAGCAGATTCCGTGCCACGGTATCTGAGATTGAGATACTCCTCGAACTCGACATGCTCACCATCGAATCCCTGTTCATTCAATCGCGCCGAAGACTTAGCTTTGAGCTCAGACATCTTGTGCTGTAGGTATGTCCGAGTTTCTGCCTCATCAGACCAGGCACGGCTTTCGGGCTCTTGACGCTCGTCTACAACGTCGGCGAGGGCCATGCCGTATGCTGAGAGTACGGAGGAGTATCTGTGGATTAAAATCTGCGAAATGCCGAGGGCTTCGGCGATCGCAACGGCATGCTGACCTCCTGCACCTCCAAATGTTGCGAGTCGGTGCTTTGATGTGTCGTGGCCGCGAGCTTCCGTCAGACTGCGTATAGGCCGTGTCATGGTCTCATTGGCGATTTTGATGAAGCCATGTGCTATGTCGTCGAGGGACATCTCCTTCTCTTTATCATCTCCTGCGATTTCGGCGTTGATTTGAGCGGCAAGTTCCTTAAAAAGGTGTTCGCTTGCCGATGCATCAAGTGGCTCGTCTTCGTTCTTGCCGAAAATCTTAGGGAAGAAGTCTGGCAGTAGGCGCCCGAGGAAGAGATTGGCATCTGTGATAGCCAGCGGCCCGCCTTTACGGTAGCATGCTGGACCTGGGTGGGCGCTTGCAGACTCGGGGCCTACAACGAAGAGGCCGTTCTTCCAGAATAGACGTGATCCACCACCTGCTGCGACAGTGTTGATATCCAGCTGTGGAGACTGGATCGTGACACCTGCTGTTGTTGTTTCGAAGACGTGATCGTAGCGCCCAGCGCCGTAACGGCTAACGTCTGTACTTGTGCCGCCCATGTCAAAGCCTATGACGGGGATCTTGGTCTCGGGATCGTAGCTCGTCAGCGCATACCCTACCACTCCACCTGCGGGTCCTGACAAAATAGCTTTCAGGCCCGAGAAGCTGTCCACGTCTACCAGACCGCCATCAGATTGCATGAACTCGCATCGCGCACCCTTGGACCCTTCTTCACGCTTGACGCTTTTCGTGCCTAGGCCGCCCGCAAAGCCGGCGGAGAAGCCGTCGATGTACTTTCGGATGGCAGGGGTGAGATATGCGTCGGCGCAGGCTGAGGTGGTGCGGGGGACCAGCTTGATCATGGGCATGAGCTCGTGACTGAGACTGACATGCTCGAAGCCGATTTCTTTAGCGATTTTGCCGATGAGAGCCTCGTGGTTGGGGTATGTGTAGCCGTGCATCAGACATACGGCAATACTCCTCAGCCCGCTATCGTAGACGTCCTGCAACTGCCGTCTTATCGCGTCTTCCTGTGGTCTCTGCAGTATGCGCACTGTCTCGCCTGACAAGCCCTTGACGAGCTCAGCATCCCCTCCCGCTTCCTCTATCGACAGGGCGTCGGTGACGTTTCTCTCTGGGTCCTCGGCGTAGTCCTCCAGCGTGACGCGCTCGTCAATCTCTACCACGCTCTTGTACAACACCTCGGGCTTCCTGATGTCCAGCGCGAAGATGTCTGGACGGCTTTGATTCCCAATGGCCAGGCAGTCCTTGAACCCCTTGGTCACAACCATGGCAATGTCCTCGCCTTTGCGTTCCAGCAGGGCGTTGGTCGCCACCGTCGTGCCCATGCGTATGCTCTCAATCTTGCTCGTGTCGAGAGGCTCGCCGCGTGGAATCTCAGTGCCAGTGAAATGCGAGAGCAGGCGACGAATGCCTTCGAGTGGCGCATCGGCGTAGTTTGCTGGGTCGACAGAGAGCAGCTTGATGACGACGTCGTCTTCCATCTTGCCGGAGCCGGGATTGCCCACGCAATCTGTAAAGGTGCCGCCGCGCTGAGAACGTCAGTCGCCATGCTGTGCTTTTGAATGTGTGCATACATCAATCGCTATGCGGATCCCCCGTTTGCTAATCGCTGGGGCTGCCATGATGGTTGTTGTGATTGTTGGTGGTGGCCAAATTTCACAGTGATGGATTGTTCAATGGTGGAAAGACATGAATATCGCGCAAGCAAAGAGCACGAATGACAAAAGACGAGGCTCCAGACATAGCCTTGCTTTGTAATTTCATAGCTCACAAAGCTGTCGAGAATGGCGTGTAAGTGGGGTCCTCAACACTGAAATGCCCCGCCACGGACGCCTTATCGCCGACGGGGATTACATCAGCCCTGCACCCTTCGACGCGTCGTTCCTGCTCCCTTTTACTCCTGCCATCCATCTCTCAACACCTAATCGTAGGACACCAAGCATCAGAGGTGTTACGATCAACCTCTAAATCTTGGTACCACACCACCTCATGTAAAGTGGCGCGGGCTGAATACGCGGCTGCGTCAAAGAAGTAGTTTGACGCGTCGCCCCTCACCTCCCGTTATTGTAATGAATAGAGCACTACAAGAGCGAAGTGAAGAGGTAGCTGAGATGTTTGAATAAGCAAGTAAGCTGGATTATGGCCAAGTGCATGTTCCATGAGAGTTGCCATGGCTGGGACGTTACCCGACGTTCGACACATTGCACTGTATCACGCGTCCGGATGCCGGCAGTATGAACACCGTATGCTGAGACCGTGTCTAACCAATACCGCAATCACAACGCAGTTGCGGCAGAATCCGACAGGAGTGCTACAAGAAAGAGATGGATGGAGTGACTCAACGACGCGGGTACAACTTGCCCACTCAGACATCCCAGCATGTATGCAGCAAACTCTGTCTACCTGACATGGATTGCGCAGGACCCGCACTCTCATTGAGTTTTACAAACTCAGTATTGCCAGCGGAGGCTGACAGCTATATTGTCGGTACGTATTATCAAGGTATGCGCGATGTCCACGCATATCCCCATTGCATGGAAGCAAATCAACCCCTACCACATCGTTCACATGCTCCCTCGGATGTCAACAAGCACAACGCTGATCTCGCAGTTTGGTAACGCTTTGGATGGCTTAGCCCCAATATTGGTTCAACTATTTCTGGAAGACGGCGTCACGTGTACGCTGCTCCAGTCTCACGACAGCTGCCAGCAACTCTCACAAACTTTCATATGTTTGAAGCCCGTTCTTCGTCGCCCAACGTTCCAGAGGATTGTAAAGGGTACATACGGACAGAGGCAACCGACAGCGACGCTAACGTTGTCCATAAATGGCAATCGTGCCTGCCTAAACGAACGCCTTTCCCGCAAATCTGGGGTACAGGCTTCCCCGCAATCACCACACGAGAGTGTGCCTCTGCAAATTTGCTGCAAGATCCATCTAGCTGTCATTACTCACACCTCTTTGGATGAACGAGCTTTCTCCCCCACAACCGCAATCACAACCCCGCAGTCCATATTAGCAGGATATACGACAATGCGACTGTTACTCTGGGGAAGTGCAAATCGACGTGCAGGGCCTACAGAGCGTGAAGATCGGAGTCATCCCCGCTCGACATGTCTCGTTGATGTAAGACGAGAAGGCCTTGATCAGGAACAGAAGGGAGTGTGAATTGGGCACTGGACCGAGGAACATTTCTGTCCATCTCGATAGTCATTCGCTCGCGCTGGAAGGTCATCAACACAACCCAATATACAGCATCGCATGTATGACGATCACCATCACACGAGACTGTGAAGACGGACTGTGTACCGCGACCAGCCGCCTTCTGGTCAGAGTATAAGAACAGTGTCAGAGCACGCAAGATTACTCACAACTCACATCATCATCGCTATCAAACAACACAAACCAGTGACGAACAACCGCCAATTGATAGCCACCATGAAGACCTCCGCCATCCTCTCCACCCTCACCCTCTTCTTCGCCTCCTCGGTCTCTGCGCAGGCAGCCTGTGATGCCGCGGCCGCCGCCATCCCCGCATGCGGCGTACGTCTTTCCTTTTCTACTGCTCCCCCTTCTGGGTCCCCCCATCTCACCTTCAACCCCACTAACACCCCCAGGCTTCATGCATAAGCACCGCAGCCGGAGCGCAAGGCTGCCCCACCGTCGCATCCGACTACACCTGCCTCTGCGCCCACGAAGCAGCCATCGAGACCGCAGCGCGCAGTTGCGTCCTGACTGCTTGCGGATTCCTGGAAGCGCTGAATGTGCAGAGCAAGGCCAAGGCTGTGTGTGATTGCGTGAACGGCGCTTAGGATCAAAAGCAGACATGGGAGATCAGACGTGGACGGGAGAAAAGGGATAACTGCAATGATGTAATAAAAAAGGGTATCCAGTCATCAATCAAAACCTCGCACCATCCTTTGCCCTCTCCAACGCAAAGTCATCGCTCTCGTAGAACTTGACCATCTTGATCCACCCTTGCCTCCATTCCCTGTCCAGCCAATTCTCCCCCCGCGTTGCACTGTTGTCCCACCAGATCTTCTCGTGCAGAACATTCATCATGCCCTCCTCGCTCTCCTTCGTATATATTGACCCCCACTTCCTATCCAACTGCACGCCCGGAAACGCCCCATCAATACTAAACTGCCAGTTCAAGAACCCCTGTTCAGACATCATGACATTATACCGATCAGTCTTGAGATAATTCTGCAACAAGCGCTTATGCATAAGCTTAGACGGCGTAAACACCATACTCCCACAATTGAACTCCGGCTTCGCATCCCCACCAACAGTAAGCGCCGTGCCAGCAAAAATATACGGCTCGCACCACGGCGCGTCGTCGACCCAGTCGTCGAGCGTCAGCTTCGCCGCATCGCAGTCCTGCAGCGGCGCAATATCGAACATCTCGTCAATGTGCGCGACGGGAAACGCGTCCGCGTCGAGGAACAGGTAGCGCGAGAACTCTGTTTCGGCCCACATGTTGAGCTTCGCGAAGAGGTCTTTCCACCGCTTCTGCACGCCCGCGACGTGCGGGTCCCAGTCCAGCGGCGCGAGTTCCCGGACCAGTGCCCCCGCGCCAGAGAGCAGGTCGCGCTGCTCCTGCGATACGTAGTGCGCGACGAAGACGACGAAGGGATATTTTGTTGTTTTGGAGCGCTGCGCCCAGAGGACTCTGTGCACGACGTTGTGGGTGGCGAGGTAGAAGGGGTCTTTGAGGGAGGGGTTGTGGCCGGATAGGAAGGTGGCGTAGGCGTATGTTTTGGGGTCGTTGGAGATGTAGTTGTGTGGGTTGTGGGTGCTGAACTTCTTCAAGGACGAGATGGGCAGGTCGAGATCGAGGTCGTCCTGGAAGGCCCAGCCATCTTCTATAGGCGGGGTGTTGGGGGGAAGTGCTGGAGGGAATTGGTGATCGCCGGCTGGAGGGAGATCGATTTCAAGCGGGTTTGCGGGCGCGTCTTGAGGTGGGAGTACAGTGGAGTCTTTTGACGACGGGTCCTGCGAGAATGGTTCTCCTAGAGGGATGTTGGGCTCTTGCTGTGGTTTCGCAATATCATCATGCGATGCTTTGTTGCTGGTGGCCCAATGCTCTACACTTTCATAATGCTCATGGGACCCACGAGTGACTGTTGAATCAGATTCGTGGTGCGCAACAAGGTAGAAGAGTCCCAAAAGCAGGACAGACGCGATCCCGACATTCACTCTTCGTTTCATGGTCAAAGTAACGCCAGAGCACGCTCACTTTGAGTGATAATCCAAAGCAACTCTAGGATACCCATAAACGTCTCAAAGCGCACGTGCAACTGACGACGATCGAAGTGACTGGGCGAAATAAACTCTCGATAAAACTCTACACAAGCACATGAATGTAAGCTGGGCAAGCCATGTTCACAAGGTTCCGAGGATGTTTCTGGGAAGACAGCAACATCAAGCCACAAGACTGATCTTGCCAGACGTTAGGCGGGTCGAGCCCTGAAAGCTCACGCCCCATCCCCGCATCTGCATCTGCAAGAGCGCCGGGTGGCGTTCCCCATGGGGAATCCGGGGCCGGACGCAACTCCGGCGGTGCTAGACACACATGCAAAGCCCCGCAGGTTTGTACAGAGATGGTAGGTTCCCGAGGCAGGAAATCACTCATGTGAAAAGGTTAATTCCGTTGTCATGGGGTTGCCAACGTATATTTGAGTGCGGCACGCGACAGAATCAGTCAGACAAGAATGTCATTGCTACAACGGGCAGGCACGTCCGTCTTCACCCATGCCTGGTTGGGACCAATGGTAAGTGCAAATTCTGACTGATAAGGGTTCTTTATTTGTTGTATGCAGAGCAGGGATCTGTCCCGACGTGCATGCTTTGTAGGATTCACATTGCATTTAATTCAACAGGTACCGCATTGTCGGAAGGAGGGACGGCGTACTATTGCTACATTCGTCATCTCAACAAAACTTATCGCAGCGTCTGCCTCCGCGGCTGCTCTGATTGTGCGAGAGTCTTTTGGAAGAACCAATTCGAGACCTTCACGCTCGGTTCGTCGATCAGCTTCGTTACCAGCTCTGCCGCATAGAGCGTGATGGGAATCATGACGAGTTGCTGCGCGCAGTACGCCAATTCGAGTCCCATGGGGCCCGCCGTAGAGATAGGAAATGTGTTGACCCATTGAGGGATTTTGTCCTTATGCTCATCTCTCAGGAAACCTACTGTAGCGCATAACCGGTCGCCCAATGTTCTGATCAAGTAACCATGAACCAGATACAGCGCAAACGAGATGCGGGCAAGGTACTGGCAAAGGCGCGTTTCGAAGCAGCGTTTCAACCACGGCAGACGCGGTACCGATGCTACCAGAAGGAAAGCTCCCCAGAACAGGTAGAACCACTCGCCATCGTACACAGCTTGGGGTTTGAGGTACGAGAGCCATTTCCAGCCTGGTGAGTTGTTGAGACCTTGAGCGTGATCTTTGGAGCGTGCAAGTGGCACACCGCCCAGATAGAGAGCGAGGATAAAGAGATGAAAGAAGATGAGTTCCTTGAACCCTTCAAATTTACTCAAGAATGCAGGCTGCTTGTCGTCGAGAGCAAGTAGATCGAGATCGCAAAGTAGCATGCCAGACATGAAGAGAGCGCCGTACCAGCCATCCACAATGTAGATGAAGTAGATGACCAAGCCTGCTTCGCACCAAAGCCGAGCATTCCGTGTGCACCTGGACAAAGCGGAAAGCACCGTGTATACGATGATCGAGCCTTTGAACTCCATGGGAATGGACCATAGTAGAGGGTTGTAGTTGTTGCAGAATGTGTAGAAGTTACCGGTGAAGACGAAGCTGTAGTTCTTGAACTCGTAATACCAGCTTCTGAGTATCTCAGGATATGTGCTGCCTTGGTTTTTGAGACCATCAACCCAGATTCCGGAGTAGTACAGGTACGTGATCCAAATGAGAGTGATCGCAATGATGGGAAGGTATAGCCGTATCCAGCGTCGAAAGAGTGCGGAGCCAACACTGTCTGCAGCGTTCAAGATCTGGCCTTTTTGGATCAAACCCAAGCTTTTGATGGAGAGGACGTATCCAGATATGACGAAAAATATGGCAACCGCAAAATGTCCGCCTGAGAAAAAGAGGCGCACGAAAGGGAGGGCAGCGAAGTAACGTTGGCCTTCAAAGCCAAAGGAGTTCTCATAGATCAGGTCGCCTTTATCGCCATGTGCCCACAACTGGTTATGATGTAGATAGACGAGAAACGCAGCGAATCCTCTGAGACCGTCCAGCCATGCTGTAGACCGAAGAGGTTTTTTCGTAATGCTAGAACTACCGCGTCGCAGTTTGAAGAATTCTGGTCGAACAATGTCCAAGCTCCACCTTGCAGACCTCACTGGCTTCCATGTCGCGGGTCCGGGAATGGTGTTCTTCTCGCGGTCGTGGTCCAACAAGCCGTTATACATTGCTGGCATCATTTGTGTTTTCAATAGTAAAAGACGAACTTGTGATGATAACCTGAGGTGGCGACTACAATCAATGTTGAAGAGGTGATGTTGAGATTATCTTCCGGCCAGGAAGCCAGCTCAGACAGCATCCAGGCCAGCAAGCATATGATCGTTCGATTTCAGCGTACCCTCAAGGATAGTTGAAAGTTGGCATTTTGCCGAGGAACTCTATCCCACCTCGAAACTTTCGTTTGATTTGGTGTAGCTTGTTCTGCGGGGACGCATTGCTAGACGCGGGGATTGGGTTATCGACCAATCAAAATGCTGCGGATATGCACCTGGGCGGCGTGCCTGGCGGCTCGTGCAGGCATACTCGTTACGATGACGATTCGAATACAAGAAATGGATCACGGCCTGGAGTGTTTAGTGTGATGTCCGACTGCAGGTGTGGGGAAAACGGTACAAGCTTTGCGGTGGAGCTTGGCTGTCAGGACTAACCTGATTTACCCATGTCGACCGAGGCTCAGAGGGTCATCCCGCATGTTGCACACAACAGTCGCCGACGAGCCGCCGTACCAAATCATCCTATGGTTGGCCGGACTCTTGAGTGTCCAATTATCTAGCCGGGTGCACAGTCCAGCGTTCCCGACAGCGGCGTGGTGACAGTACATCTCTCCTGCAAGGGCCTCACTAATGTGATACCATGCATGCCGAGGCATAATCGATGAAGTATGGAAGCTAGCGTTGTGTACCCCAGGAAAGTATTCTTGTTCTCCAAATAGGACAGGCAAAGTCCCGGGGCTGGTGCTACAATTCTGTGATAACACCAGTATGCGCACTATGCCGTTCAGACCTCCTCCACTGAAGCTTCACCTCGACACTAGGATGCCTCCGCACTCGCCAATCGCCTCCCACTTTCGGAGCAGGTTGACTGCCCAAGTGCGAAGAGTTTTGCCAGCATATGTCGTACTCGTGGTCCTGTGCCTGTTTTTCGTTGACTCGCATATTTTTACCGCCCCCTTTCGAGCTGCACACCGACATCGAAGAGAGTTGAGGTACCAACAGCCACTTATAGCGTCGACCTCTGTGATACCCAGGAAGATCTGGCAGACTTGGAAGATCGGCCCTCTTGCCTTTGAACAGCGGGATTCCGATACAGCTAAGACTTGGCCAGCAATAAACCCACGATACAGATATGAAGTCTTGACGGACGACAATGCCAACCAGTACGTCGAGTGGCACTATGGGCCTCGAGGCTTCAATCGACCAGACATCGTCGACCTGTGGAAAGAGCTGAGAATAACAATCATCAAGGCCGATCTCCTCCGCTACCTCGTCATGTACGCCGAAGGCGGTGTGTATGCTGATATAGACGTCGAGTCGATTCGACCCATCGAAAGATTCATACCTGAACGGTACGACGAGCATGAGGTCGACATGATCATCGGTATCGAGATCGATGAGCCAGCGTGGAAGGACCATCCAATTCTGGGATCCAAATGTGCGTCATTCTGCCAGTGGACGTTCGCGGCGAAGCCACACCTCCCTGTCATGATGAGACTTATCGAAAACATCCAGGACTGGCTTCATGCATTGTCACATCAGAAGGGTGTTCCCATATCAGAGCTGAAACTGGACTTCAATGAAGTTATTAGTGGCACCGGTCCCTCGGCCTTCACAACGGCAGTTCTCGACCAAATGACGGCACAAAACAAGGGAAAGAAGGTGACCTGGGATATGTTCCACAATCTCGTCGAGTCGCGGCTCCAGAACGGCATACTAGTTCTCAACGTGGAAGCCTTCGCAGCCGGTCAAGGCCATTCAGATTCGGGCAACCATGGCTCACGAGCAGCGTTGGTTAAACACCACTACCATGCCTCGGGATGGCCGCTGCTCCACCCGCGAACCAACCACCCACTTTACGGTGAGGTCGAAAAGTGTAATTGGAAACCAGAATGTATTCATGAATGGGTGAGGCGCTCTGTTTCTCTACGATCAACTCTTCGTCGCTAACGGGAAACAGGACAAGAACGTCGCCGAGTGGGATACACTGTCGAAAGAGGAACAGGATAAGCGTATTGCCACCAAGCCGCAACTACCTATATTGCCGTTTTAGGTACATAAGCCTGATCGGTAGGTGGAGTACAGCCTACTGCATGGAGGCAACATCTGCTAGCTGGCTTGAGAACTATGTTCATGGTTATAGCAAAAGCTGTGCTGCGAAGACCATGAAGAAGTTGTCAATATACGAACAGCGGGAGTACGCTTGCCTCCAAGTTGTCACGTAGGAGTGGGTGTGACCGAAGCGATTACGGAGTTTGGCGTTTGGAATTAGTGTAGCCGTTTGGCTCACGAGAGATATCCCTTAGCCAGTGAAGGGCGGGCTGTATGGTACTGGCAATGGCCACAGTGCAGAGTCTGGTCTTGATGGCAATCCTAAATGAATGGATGAAGAATGAGAGCCTGCAAAGGGCTCAAGGAAGTAACACAAGAGAATCGAAAGCACGTTATGATAAGCTTTGCCATGCTGCGATCCTTGCACCACCTGGGTTGGCGGGGTTGTGATTTGGTGTGCTGACGACCGGTGTGCTGAATTGGGAGCTGAAGGAATGCAGGGTAGATTGCTTCCCGGTATCGCCAAGCCACTAACACGATGACGTAAGTCGCCTCTTAGTTCGTTGGAATACCGTAGGCTGCAGCGAGGTCTTGCAACAGCTTGACAACTACATATAAAAAACTGTAAGATCTTTACGCTTTACGTGTTGTTTGTATACCTCTACTAGCATGTTTGTCTTTGTAGTACTTTCAATCTTGCAGTTGAGGGTTATTGTGTTGCTGCAAAGAACGGAGCTTGATTCTGATTTTTTCGATATTCGACAAGTATTAATCGTATTGTTATGGGTGCTTGCCGAAATACCATGATACCCCGTGACTTCGTTAGTAGCTGATTGGTTGATTGATTGATTGAACATGACGTGTCTAGTAAATTAGTAGTATGATTAATAACTTGAGTAGATACTGATCTAACGCACATTGTCTCGGAGCTAGAGTAACGTATCTCCGAAAGAATTAATTATCTAAGATAGTAATAATTACGTAAATTAACCCCCTTTAAAGTAGTAATTTGTGCTTTTATTGAACAGGTGTATACAGAATTAGAAGGTTAGTTAGATATCTTTACTACGTTGAATACTTCTGCGAATCCAGAGGTCTGGAGAATCAACCGATAGGCTACTAACAAAGTCACGGGGTATTATGGTATTTCGGCAAGCACTATAAATGAGCTGGGATGTGTTCTGTCAGGCGACCCGAAGTACTGTAAACACTCGTTTTACAAGTTCAATGCCGCCGCAAAGGCAACAGCCAACACAAACGCCCCGCTCGTTGCAACTACCCCCGCAGCGCCAGTCTTTTCCGCCGTCACCGCACCAGACGTTGAGTTGTCCGAAGAGGCTCCGCCCCCGCTCGCGTTCTGCGTACCCTTTGCAACTGGCGTCTTGTTCTGATAAAGCAGTCCCTGTAAGACCTCTAATGCGGCAAATGTATCCATTATACTGCTGTTGCTCGCGGTCCCATTCCGCCATTCGCTGTCTGATGCCGCCCAGCTAGGGCTACACTCGACTTTATCGCCCTTGCTTACACAACCATCTGCCGCGGATTCAGCAGATTTGCCAAGGACAAGATCAAACCACCAATTCGCGGTGGCTTTATCAGCGATGGCACCGGCGCGGGCAAGTGATCGCGCAGCAATGCCTTTGGATGCTCTCTGAACGGTGTCGCAGTGGCCGTTGAGCTCACAAGCTACCTCAACTAGGAAGTGATGCTGGTCAGGCGTGAAATCCCATGTAGTATTGGCGAGGCCGATGAAGACCTCTGTCCAGTTTTGTGCGCCCTTCGTCTGTCGGAGTTAGTTTTGTGCATGGAGCAGAAGAAACGGGATGGCTTACTAAGTTGTGCATCACTGCCGCACCCTCAAGGTAGACGCCAAAGTCTGCGGCCCAGTGAATGTTGTTAATGTCTGAGCAGTTCCCTTCTGTCATGGCGCCATCTTTTACGATTATGTTCCCGTCTTGTCCGCTCGCTACTAGCCCGACTTCTTTGGCCCAGTTGTACGACTTGTTTGCCCACTCAGCATATGTACCGTTGCCGGTCAACCTCGCCAATCGTGCGGAAAGGAGGAAGAAATTTCCGTTCGACATGCTGTTCTTATAATTATAGCCCTCTTGAAAACTGAACATCCGCCATCTCAACCCACCATTACATGTTTCAGTATCCCAGCGCATGACTTGGGTGTCAAATACCGTGATGGCAAGGTCAACCCATTCACCTTCTTTGGGTTTCGGAAACCCGACTTCAGCGGCCGTCAAAGCTGCCAAGCCCCAGGTGCTTTGGCCGTTGTTGTCGAGAGTTACGGACTGGTTGGCAGGCATAAACGCATTGTAATCACCGATTTGATGTTGAATAGCCTCGGAAACCAGATCATCGTAAGAGGAGTCTCCAGTGAGGTATGAATACGAAATTAGAGAATTCCATATTGCGCCTGCCTCCCACCAGTTGTAATCATCGCCAAAAAGACCAGGAATCAAATCTTCTGCGAGGGTAGTATTGTAGAAAGAAACGATGCTGCCAGCGAATGTTTTTGCAATTGCCTTTATGGATTCTGTAAAAGGTCAGACCGGAGATGAAACATTTGAGAAAATCCAACATGCCTCCATTATTAATATCCACATGAACTCCTACAACACTATGGATAGCAAATGATAAAGTAAGCAACACAATGCTTGCACGGACCAACATCTTGAAAAGAGTGACTGGGATAAATAGTAGATGAGGAGACAAACAATATGTCAGAAGCGCAGTGTCTTTTTGAGGCAGTGTTGCGCTTCAGGTAGGCCCCCAGCCAAGGCTGCCATAGCTCCTGCCCGCCAATCAAACGCGGCACATGAAATGACTTGCAGGACGTTTTACGGGAAGAGGGCTTATTTCCAGGGTCAAGTTTATGCACAATCCTTCTCGGGTCATCGTTTTGTTTTCTCTACACCATGTTCTTGCCGCTCCTGCCTACTTACTCCGACTCCACCTCCGACTCCGCCTCTGCCGCCATCTCTGCCTTTGAACTGATATTCATCTTCTGCGCAAGCGCCTTTGCGATGTCAACCGCAAACCCGTCGTCATTAACAGCACGCTCATCTTCCACAACTTCTATGCCGCTTCCCGAAAGCCCTTCTTTGATGGTCTGAAAAAGCACTGTATCAGCCTCGGCATCCGCAAAAGGCCCTCCAGGATTCGCAATCTCACTTAGGCCACCTTTAGGCAACCAGACCTGTATCATGTCGGGGTACTTGGCGTGTGTCTTCAGTTTCTCGACGATAAACTCGCCAACTTGGCGCGCCTCCTCTTTGCTAGTCCGCATCAATGTTACAACTGAGTTGTGCTCATACAACTTCCTCTTCTTGAACCTCTCTGGTACTGAGTGCTTCGGGCCAAAGTTTGTCATATCCGTGGCACCCAGGCAGATGATGTTCGGGATCCCAGCTTGCGCAGCTGCTTCGAGACGATGCGGCCCCGCGCTCATTACGCCGCCTGTGAGCTCATCACAGACTTCTGTTGTGGTGAGGTCGAGGATAGAATCAAGCTGCCCTTCTCGCACAAGGCGCTCCATAGCTTTTCCACCATGGCCAGTGGCGTGGAAAACGTAGGTTTCGACATCATAGTTGGTTTCAAGATATGTTTGTATTGTCTTGACAGCCGGCGTGGTGACGCCGAACATCGTGATGCCTACACGTTCCATTCCATATGCGGTCGGCATTGTGCCATTTTTTCTGGAGAGGTATGAATGAGCCATTCCCGCGATCGCGGCTCCTGCGTTGCCCAACACGTCTCGCAGGACTTGGTTAGACCCAGCGATGTCGACGACAGAGTGCATGAGCGTTATGTCCGTTTCTTGCACAATAGGGCCAGTGTCGCCGCTTGCGACTGTCGAAACGATCATTTTAGGAAACCCAATCGGGAGAGCATTTCTCATGACCTCTGCAGCGAGCGACGTTCCTCCAGAGCCGCCTGCTGCAATGATGGCGTGAATAGACTTCTCCTCAAACAACGACTTGACTGCCTTTGTTGCGCAAGATGCCATCGTCGTGATGAACTCGCTACGAGCTAGCTTTCCGGTGTCTTTGCTGTCGCCATACTCTTCGAGGAGACGTTTCGAGGTGAATTCAATGTCATCGTGTTCGATACATTCGCGCCCGACGTCCACGAGCGTGACGTCGACATTGTTTTGTTGGATCCCGCTTCGAAGCAAGAGCAGTTCTTCAAGTTTCGTATCGCATGTGCCGAGAAGGATTACACGGGGCTTTGACGTGGACATATCTGTAGGTATAGACCAAGCTATAACAGTTTCGATAAGAGATTATTGACGGTTTTGGAGTCACGACAAGGTTGCGCGTTGATCAATCCCCGCGATGGCTACGTCATCCTGCAGAAATCCGATCTTGCATGAAGCTTATCGCTCCACCGCACATACGCGGAAAAGCTTAGCTAGACAATAGGGTGTTGCTTACATCCACTGAGAGACAAGGATCGGGTCCCACTTGTGTCCTGGCTTATGTCAGTTACTCAACCTCTGCATGTGCCTCGATGGTCGACCTCGCCTGAATTTTGGAGGACGAACGCAACAAATAGTACATAATCTCGAGTCAGCTCAAGCTCACTACCAGACACCTCGTTCAACGACTTATCCGAGCCTAGTACCGTCATGGCTCCCCCGACCGATCGCAAAGTGATCCTCGAGACGCTCCAGAAGTCTATCGACGATGGTAATATCATCGTCGGCGCAGGCGCAGGCATTGGCTTGAGTGCGAAGTTCATCGAAGCGGGCGGCGGTGACTTGATCATCATCTACAACAGCGGGCGCTACCGCATGGCGGGGCGAGGCTCACTAGCAGGCCTGATGCCGTACGGAAACGCAAATGACGTCGTGCTCGAGATGGTGAATTGAAGCCATGAACTCAGTGATATCTCCGTGATTGACAGTATGCAGGCAGGCGAAGTCATCCCAATTCTACAGAAAACGCCAGTTCTGGCAGGCGTGTGCGCCACCGACCCCTTCCGGTCCATGCCACAATTCCTCAAACAACTCAAAGATCTGGGCTTCGCAGGCATTCAAAATTTCCCCACTGTTGGGCTCATAGATGGCACGTTTCGACAAAATCTCGAGGAAACGGGGATGTCCTACGATGCGGAAGTCGAAGTCATCAAATTAGCACACGAGATGGATCTCCTAACGACGCCATACGTATTCAACGTAGAAGAAGCGCGGAAGATGGCAGGCGTAGGCGCAGACGTACTCGTTGCACACATGGGCCTCACAACTTCTGGAGCTATTGGAGCGCAGAGCGGGAAGAGTCTTGACGACTGTGTGAAGCTGATCCAGGAGATCCGAGATGCAGCGGTAGAGGTCAAGAAGGACATCATCGTGCTTTGTCACGGTGGGCCGATCGCAAAGCCCGAAGATGCGGAGTATGTGATCAGCCGGACGACAGGCGTTCATGGGTTCTATGGCGCGAGTTCTATGGAGAGGCTGCCCGTCGAGGAGGCGATCACCAATATCACTAAGACGTTCAAGGGGTTGAAATGTCGGCGCACAGAGTAGGCAGTCTGGGAGCTACATGCAAAGTTCCTGTAAAATTTAAGCACCTCAAGAAGTGTTGGTATACGCCCCGCCTGTGTTATCTTGGTGAGAGGGACGTGATCCCGAATTCCGAATAGCCATTATCAAAACGTTCACGAGCCTGAAATGTTGCAAGGAGTAGAGGACTTGACAGCTACACGAAGAACTCGTACAAAATGTGAGCGCTTCAAGTACTATTCGTATACGCCTCACCTGTATCGTTTCTTGGTGAGAAGAACATGCCCCGGTATGTCAACCAGCCGTTACCAAAGCATGTGAGCGCTTGGGATACCGCGCAAAGTAGGTAGCCTGACAACTACGTACCAAGTTCCTTCAAAGTATAAGTGCCTCAAGAACTACTGGTATACGCCTCGCCTGCTTTGGCTGCGTTGTTTTGGTGAGAGGTATTTACCCTAGGAAGTCGACAAACGGTCATCAAGATATTCAAGAGTTCTACCATGAAACACATGGAGCAGTTTAGGAGACGCTATGAAGTCGAGTCATCGGTTAAGACATTCCCACGAGCTGTTCGAAAAAGAATGCAAGTAGTAGAATTTGTATTACACCCCTCACTAATGTAACCCTATCTGTCCATTTCTCTCCAACTTCTCGGCAGGACTATACAGGCTCTGTAAATGGATTGGCAGGCAATCCAATCCATTACTGTGAGTGCTATGGGTATTTCCCATAACATCGAACCCAGCTCAGTATTCTATACCAAATACTGGCCAAGCCGACCATCCACTGCACCACAATGAAACTCTGGTAGACGCCACTTCTGCAGTCCTTTGCTCTTCTTCTCCTGCATCTGCTTCGGCTTTGCACTATCCGAAGAGAGCCTCTCAACTTCTTGCTTCAAAGACACGTTCTCCGAATGCAGTCCCTTATTATCCTCCTGCATCTGCTTCGGCTTTGCATTATCCGAAGAGAATATTTCCTTCTGATCGAAAAGGCCCGCGCACTTCCCACGTACGTCTCCTTTCCCATCTTTTCCCTCGTATCTCACCTCTACATGTCTGTACTTGAGCGCAATCCACCATTTCCATTGACCCCTTCACGTTCGAGGAGCAGCGCTTCGTACCTAAGCTTCAGGCTGGCATGCCGCAGTGCGTCGAGTCTTAACTCAGTTAGCTCGTCGAGTAGAGATGGGAACGGCGACGTCGGTTCGCCCAGCTCATCAAGCTTAGCTTGTACTGCATCGACCTCCTGCTGTTTCGCCGCTCGCACTGCATCGACTTCATGCTCTTTCTCCGCACGCACTGCATCGAGACTCCTTTGGTTCGACTGGATGAGGCTGACAATCGCCCGCTTGACAAGTGGCACAAGGTCGCTGTTATCCAGTTTGCTCCGGAGCCATATGAGAGATGGATGCTTAAAGTGTCAGTATGGAGTACATTTCGCCGAGAAAACTTACCTCGTCAAGTTCCTTCCGTCGTTGCCGCAACTTCTCCAATTTCGCCCGTGCTCTTGCAATCTTCTCCGGCATCTCAAAGTCGAACTTGGCTGCAACGACTTTCTGGTAGAATTCCTGTTCTTCCTGCGATTGATCACCCATTTTGGCGTTGGTGGGCGAGGAAGTGAGGGCAGACAAAATGCGAGTGTGTGTGTGTTGTGGCGAGGGTGAAAAAGTGGAGGCGAGAAAAAGGTGAGTGATTCGGATTCCCAAACGGGAAGGCACAACATCACAAGACCACTACAGTAGCTCACCTTGATGTTTGGGCTATGCCAGGAGACTACCATGATATCACTAAGAACTATTTGTTTGGATTCTCCATCCGCGTATTTGTCCATACATCACTACATACAATGTGATCTCAGGCACACTGCAAAGATCAGCAAAGGGAAGATAACAGAAACCGGGTTCTGATAGTCTTTTTCACTCATCCAATCTTCTGTGTCACACTCGAGTCTGCATGTCAATCGTTTTCATTCCTTGCTGCTCGAGAGTAAACAGGCTGGCTATCTACAGAGTGATGGTGAAGTGAAGTGAAAGGAAACCTCTGCCTCGCTTGTCGGGGTACGTGCACCCACAAGACTCTAATCGGATGCTGCTTCTCTGCTTTTCTACTTCACACTCAACAACTCGTTTTCTGTGCACACCATGTCTCACGGAAATCAACAAGGCAGCTTTTTAGGGGGTGAGGGACGAGGCGGACGTCAAGATGCAGGCGAAGACGAGTGGAATGGAGGTGCAGGGCGTGGTACAGGGCGTGGTACAGGGCGTGGTGCAGGGCGTGGTGCAGGGCGTGGCAACCCACCAGTAGGTGCTCGGACAGGCCTCAGTGGCTCCGGGGATGTTAGGAGGGGTGGCAGGAGGGGTGGCTTTGGACACGGTGGACGTGGTGGGTATGCAGGTGGACGTGGAGAGGGAGTCAGGTTGAGACAGGGTAAACATTTACACCGCCATCATAGTCCAGTCAACACTAACAAGAGTCTAGCACCGGGTACGACGACTTCGATGCCAATGATACAGCTGACAAACGAGGAGCGACAGTGGCTTCGGGCTGCAGAGGATGAGTTATACCGAGAGAAGATGGGTCGAATTGCGGCTGAGCAGAATGCACTTGCGGCTGAGCAGAATGCAGTGAATGCAGAGCGGGAGCATAAGCTCCTACAACGGGAGAATGAAGACCTGGACTTGCGGATCAGGGAACAAGAAGTGCAACTGGTGCAGGAAGAGCGGAATCAGAAGCGACGGCTGAAGATTATGCGCAGACGAGTGAATGCCGCACGGCAGCAGAGGCATAAGGAGTTCTTCAAGGCCCAACTCGCTAAATTTGAGGACACAATGCAGCAAGGCTTGTTGAAGCTCACAACGCAACAAAAGCGCGATGAGTTATGCCAGGTCAAAGACGCTCTGCTTGCGGAGATGGCGAGAGAAGCAGCTCTCAGCATGCAGTCTCTTGAGGCTGACCAAGGCCTCTCTAGCGACAGCGACAGCGACAAGAACGACAATGTCGAACCACATGCAACGGAGGACGATGAAGATGACGGGAGTGGCGCAATAGATGAGTCGTAGATTTGCAGGATCAAGGGACCAGACATCAGGGATGGGGTATCTCCCATCCTGATTTTCATTTGCAGGAACCTGGATCAGAGTTTGGGATTTTCTCAAATCTGAACATCCAGCGTTCAAACTGGCTTTGGGGGTTTCCCCAGGTCAGCATTTAATACTCGCACTGAGATTGGGAATTTCCTCAATCCAGGGTTGAGTTCGGGGTTGTGCCGCGTCCACAGGGTTAGATGGATTTAATGCAGTGTTTTGCTATGATATGTGAATCTTTATTCGCGTGCCAGAAATCAACGTGATGAGGAGTTTGCTCACTTGAATGGTTAAGCATCATGTCGACGAGTGATTTGTTGAATTGATACAAGTTTACAGTGGCGACTACCGTACTAACGCACCTCTCACCCACGAGTGTGATGCCGACGTAGTATCCGCCAGTGACACAATAAATGCACTCGTACAATGACGTGAAATCATGATAAAGTCATACAGACGTGAAGACTCTGAGAAATGCCACTGCATCATAGCAGAAGCTATATTGTATTCTACTAATCTAAGACACCAAGGTACATACTTCCATCTCCCCTCCTCGCCCTAAACATTTCTCCCACAGCCCCCACCATCCAATTCCGCAACCCCAACCGGCAACGCAGGACCACTCCACCTCCCCACCACAGCCTCACCGTCCAACTCCGCCTTCCCTCCAGCGTGCTCCACTCTCCCATGCCCACCACTGTACTCCGACTCCCAGCTCGCCGGCATCGAATGCTGTGACTGTGCGCGTACCTCCTTGCGGCGGCGTACGAGGAACACCGCTCCGCAAACGAGGAACGCAAGGAAGAGAGCTCCGCATGTGGCTGTGACGGCGATTTGCGCAGTGTTGAGGGGTGGTTTCGCGGGAGGTGGTAGGGGAGAGGCGGAAGGAGTGCTGGAGGAATGAGCTGAGGATGTGGGTTGTGTGTGGAAGATGGTGTGGACGACGACAGAGGAAGATTCAGTGGTTGCTAGGGCATGCGATGAAGATGTTGACGCGGGACGAGGGAACGCAAACGTCCCCATGGGCGAGGGTGACGGCGATGTAGTCTCCACGATTGAGGACGACGTGGACGTGGACGAGGACGAGGGCGAGGTTTGCGCTGTCGTCGTAATTATACTAGCCGTCGGTGAGGCAGTCAACGCAGTGCTACTCCTTGTAATATACGTCGCCCACTCTCCCGCAAGACTGGTGAGTTGGTATCCCGTCGGATGCTCAGCACACAGCCTTTGGAACAGCTCAACGAACCCTACTCTGATCAGCACCATCCAAACCACACCGACAACCGCCAACACACATACCATACCGATCCGCATCATCCGGACACTGCCGCAGCAGACACGCGCCATACTCGTTAAAGTAGGTGGCAAAGCCGTTCGAAAGTGCACAGAAACCATCCAAGTTCGTTGCGCAAGTCCCGTCTGTGACTTTGTTTTCGCCGATGAGACACTCGTCCTAGAATCGAGTTAGTGAGCGCGTCTTGAGAGGGAGAGGTGGCGTACTGTGCAGCCCGGGAGGTTGAGTTGTAAAATTGTTGGAGTGCAGAACGGCGGTTGCTGGGCAGTCGCGAGCCCGCGTATCGAAAGAAGCAGGAGCAAAACCAGCATAGCGAAGGCGGGACGTTAGTTGCGTGAATGAAGTGGGTTGATCGTGTTCGGGTGATGTACTGGATTACTTTCGAGACGGTAGTGCGTGTTTGCTCGTCCCAAATGCTAAGGGCTGCCCTTTGTAGCACTGTCGTTCAATCTCACCCTGGCCAATCACTGCCACGGTGAGGGAGTTGCTGGCATTCCACGCATGTTGGTTTGCACTTAGCAGACGGTCACCCGCATGTCGCGTTCAAGTGAAAGTGGCAAACATCGCTTGCCGTCCTATATTAATAATAAATCTAGACTTGTGTTCCAACGCGCGATCCCTGTTGAGTGCAATGTGGAAGAATGTCGCAAAGTCAAAACCGTGCTGTGCAATTGTAAAAGCCAAACATGAAAATGAAATCGCTCAAACGCAAGAAATTCAAAACTTCGCAATCTCGCCCTTCCATTAGCTGAACCAACCACCACAACGCGAAAAATCACTGAGGTCGTGAATAAACGGAAGAAGATCTCGTCTCGGAAGATGATACGTTCCCAGACAGAAGTCTGTTCCCGGTAGATGAGGCATTCTTAGACGAAGAAGCGTTCCCCACGCTCGTCGCCTCGTCCTCGCCGAGTATTTCACGGATGCGCTGCGAGAATCCTTCGGTACTGCAATGGTCCCTCAGCCTTGCATTCTCTGCCAACTTCGCTTTGGCGACCCTTCTTGACTTCCAGTACAGGTATGTCAGAATGAGAAGCACGCTGACCAAAACCACAGTCACTACGCAAATGGCCGCGATTCCGCCTGATGACAAGCCTTTGGCTGTCATGGTCGTGACTGTTTGCGTGGGTGATGGGGGCTGGGAAGCAGATGAGGAAGGGCCAGGGACTGACGTCGGAGAAGATGTTGTAGTAGTGCTGAGGCTCAGAGCCACCGACGTCACACCCAGAGCCGCAGTCGCAGACGTCGGCGCCTGCACGGCGGATCCTGATCTTGTCATGGCCGGGAACGGCAGATACGGTTGCCACTCCTCCGGGATGTCGACGAGCTGGCGGCCACTCCGCTCGCACGCAATGGTCAGGTCACGCAGGAATACTGGACAAGTTAGATCTGTTTCTCAATGCTCATGTCCTGAAGCAATCACTAACCTCCCCGATCGACCTCATCATGGCATGCCTCAAACAGGCAGTGCGCATCGAAGAGTGAGTTTTTTTCTAGCGAGTGGTCGTGCTCGCAGATGCACTCGAGATCCTCCGGCTTGCAAGGATGGATTGGCGCCCCCAAGAGACAATTCTCGCGAATCTTGTACATATTAGCAGAGAGCTCGAAAGGTCGGTGGAGGAGGGTTAGCGTACTACGCAGATCGTTGCAGATGAAGTCATTGCGTGGTGAATGTGGAGTGGTGGGGGCAATCAACCCGGAGTGTGAAGAGCGAGTTGATTGTAAAGAGCGGGTTGATTGTAAGAACAAACGAAGCGAGGTAGTAGAAGTTGAAGCTCATATATAGACGAGGGGGAGTAGCTTATCAGCAAACGGCGTGAGCGGGGAAAGCGCCCACAGGGAAAGTGAGAGAAAGTATATATTATCTCTGATAAGGGCAGTAGCCCGCCATATTATGTACTAGTGTATGCGCCGATATGAGGTGAGAGACCGTGGAAAGTAATGCAAAAATCGTGGAACATGCTACGCTAAAAGGAGTGATGCTGGATGCGCTAAAATGAGTGATGTGTCGGTAGTATAAATGCCAAAGATCCGTTGCGCCGTGAATGCATGCTCAAGTTCTATCATTAATGGGTGGATACCCTAGTAAATCGTGGTGTTGGTGGTGGTGGCGTTGGACGGAATCGGCGCAGTAAATACAACGGTCTTGTTCCCGAACTGTTCAGTCGCGCAGACGGTCTTCAAGAGATCCTTGTATTCTACATCCAGTCAGTATATCACTCCACATAAGTAGCAGGATTAGACTTACGGTAGATGGCTCCTGCAGTGCACGCCGCCTGGCCAGCCTCACCGTCCAAGCAGGACTGAACAGTCTCGACGTAGCGCGTGACTTCACTCTGCTCCAGTGTGCAGAGACAGGCCAAGTCACCGGGTGCGCATGCATCGAATACTCCGTCTGTGAGGCAGGTTTCCTTGAGATTCAATTAGTCGTGATCGAGGCAAGAGTGGTGGAGGCAAGACTTACAGCGCCGCAGGTGGGTAGGTTGAACTGCCGGGCCGTTGGGAGGCATACTGCTGGAAGGACGGCAGCGAAGAAGGCGATGGCAGTGGTGAACTTCATATTGGCGTGGATTGATGTAGATATATTGCGTTTATGCTTGCTCTTTCAGTTTGTACAAGAAAGCGTGCCGTGTGATTGTCTTTATGCGAGGGGAATTGTTGAGATAAATTCCTTTTCCAAAAGTTTGTTGAACTCCGATTTTATATATGCTCAACGCCTTTTTATTCTTCGATATTCTGTATCGTTCTGCCGGTTGCCGTCGGGGTCGCCGTAGGTCGATGCGGGTGTAGCGTAGGACAAAGAAGCCGCGTGCGGAAGATACTTTGTCTCAACAAACCACAAGTCGTGTGATATATTCGATAAATATTCGTCTGGTCGTGGGGCGTTGCGTTGCTATCGTCTGGTCGTTGATAGGATGGTGATGCTTTTGTCGTGTCGTAAAATCTCTAGTTCGTAAAGGTTCTGAACGCTGCATTAGCACGCACTACTACCCTTATAAGGCACTCAACATACATACCAAAATAGAAACAACAGGGCCTGTGTACCGTGAAGCTGGTGAGAAGGTTGGAGTCGGTGTGGAGAGAACTGCACGTCACGCAAGAGAAGGAAGTAGGAACAAGGACGGTGGCCGTGCGGCTGAGCCGAATTGTGGGGCAACGGACCCATTTTCGGTACCCACGAAAACGCATGCAGTTAAGATGGCCGCAGACGGAGGCTGGCACGCGTAGATCCGGCGCGACGATGTCATGCTGGAGGGGGATGCAGATGCAGGGTGCTGCTGGTAGGACCCTGATGTTGGGACTGCTCAGGGTCGCGGAAGATGTCATTGGTACGGCATTTGGGAGGAAAACTTGGGTTGCGTTACGCATTGCGGGACGTAGTATTTTGATAGCGCATCAGGAAGATTTTCAGATCTCGTCACTTCTTACGTATCTGTACCAGACTCTCACCAGACTCTCGCCAGGATGTGCCGGTACAACAAACTCGCACTCAGAACTCATATTTTGCATCCCTACATCACCGGCCAACCCTGAACATCTCCAGCCATCGAGTGGAGCCCAAGCAGTAATCCCCACGTCATGGCCCTGGAAAATCGCCAACCTCCTCCTCCACCTTCTCCTACCACCTACATCCTCTGTTCATCTCAACCCATCTCACCTCCCAGCCTCCTGCCCTACCCCTCACCTCCACCAACCCACATCTCCCATACCACGATTACAATCCTCTCATTTCTAGAACTGTCTGCATCTTCTTTACTTACACTGTAGAGTGATGACGATGGTAAGCTGGTGAATCGCCATCAGGTCATCACACCACAGCATACATCACCACACTTCCTTTTTCAGCTTATCGGAACACATGCAACCTCCTCTTTCGTTATGCCCGCCTATCGATCACCTGTGAAGGGGAACTGGTACTTGCCCTGCGATTACGCAAGGCTTAGTCGAATCACACCAATCGGTCTAGACATCTCATCACATCGTATCACCTGGAGAGACACACGCAAGGTAACGCGACACAAAACAGACTTGGGAGACGAAGTTTTCATTCTGAGATTAAGAAATTACCAGTCGAGACTGTGTATCGTGGTTGTGTGTGTCCACACAAGACCCTTCCCAGCCGCCCTGTCGAGGTCCGAGAAAACCATCGCCCAACAAAAGAAAAAGAAAAGGCTCAAGTATTCTCTCTCCATCTCATTCCATCTCCTCTCATCACTCCACACTCTTCCATGCCCATCCATTTATATCCCGTCCATCTTTCTCCATCTCCCCACGCGTCTAGAACAGACAGTCCAAGCAACAACAGCACGCCAGACCAGCGCACAACCCCGCGAACAGTCCTCCACCCCCATCCTTCTTCCGGTCGTCCTGGTAGTAGCCTCCCTGCGGCGGTGGCGGCCCCTGCTGGTAGTACATGCCCTGCTGCGGCTGGCCATAGCCCTGGCCTTGTGGAGGGCCGTACTGGCCTTGTGGAGGACCATACTGGCCCTGCGGTGGTCCGTACTGGCCCTGAGGATATTGGCCCTGAGGCGCTGGCGAGCCGTAGTATCCTTGGTTTGCGGGGACGACGGGGCCAGCGTCGTAGTGCACGGGGGCTGGCGCCGAGGGGTAGTTGGGCGGCGCGCCTTGGTTGTCCTGCGTGTGCGTGTTAACAAACGTCCTTTCAACCGGTTTGCGAGCCTTTGCGGCTGAGGAGTAAGGATGCTGGACAGTCGCATTGCTGTCGGTCTGTCTGGCGATGTGATGCGATGACTAACGAGGGAGACGTACGTATTGCTTATTGTGATCCATCTTCGCTTATATTTTCTTTATCCTTTCCTTCCAAAAACCTCGTCCGTTGAGTGCAGTGAGAGAGAAAGAGTCGTAGAAAGCTCCTCGTCGGAGACAAACGCGTGCGGAGCTGTTTCCGAGGTCTTCAGCTGAGCTTTGGTGTCGGTGGCTTGGGAGCTTGGGGAAGCTTGTGATCTACGGATTGCAATCTAAGCTGACTTTTCCAAATTCTCACGTTCTTTCAAAGTCCGTGAGAACACGCAATGAAGAGAACAGTTGATATATGTATGGGGGAGTAGTCACGAGAAGAAAGAGGGGAAAAAGGGATTGCAATGCGGACAAGTCGGCGCACTCAAGCATTCGATACGTACGACGTCGCGGCGGAATGTGGCTGAGCAGCAACCACAAGAAATGCGGATCGCCGAATTAGGCTTGATGCAGAGCTAGTGTTGCCTGTACAGGGAAGGTGCGCGGCACGCGCTTCCGTGTGCCAAATGGTTTGTCTGGGCTTTGGTCATCTGGTGAATAGCGATGTGGCAGTGGACAGTCAATACGACGACAGAGATGATGACATTCACAAGATAGAGGCAACATGTGGCATTGGATCTTCAAAGGCACGTAGGGTCCGCTATGTCACCGTAGATGCTACAAGAGGTAGCACAGATTGTATTGAATTCATTCGATAGATTGTTTTGTTCTTCTCAATGGTATACATGCATATCAACTTGATCAACTTCACAGTGGGCGCATTGGAATTCGAAAACGAGATGTGAAACGTACAAACCTTGTTCGACATGAGGGTGCCACCGGGGGATGGTGTATCGAGAGGGCATCGGGGACGAGATCGAGCGAGGGACGGCGAGGAAGTGGAAGATAGAAGGGTTCGACGTGCTACGTATCGACCGTGTAGTGTACAGGATGGCATTCGCCAGACCGAATCGAGACCGACCGACCGACCGTGAACCGAAAGGGATATCGCCGTTAACCGTCGCAAAGAAAGCATCCGATTCGAACCGTACTTTTCGACTGCTGACTGATTAGAGCAGTGCATGGCCGAGAGATAACTCGAGCCACCACCAAATGAAAGAAAGAGACCCATGACCGATTTCGCTAATCGAAGACCCACGCGTGTACCAATTTGGATGGAATCGCAGATGTGTGCAGCTCAGCACTACTCAGCAACGTCCAGATCCTCGTGCACAGCGGGAGGGGGAGGGGAGTCGTCTGTGGTGGTGATCAGAGAAGGTCGTCGTCAGGGGGAGCGGGCGTCTCACTCTTACGCTCCTCGACAGCAGCGCCCGCGTCGCGCTCACGCCTGTCGTCGCGCTCACGGTCGCCACGGTCTTCGTCGCGGTCTCGCACGTCCTTCATCTCACGGTCGCCATCGGGGCTCCTGGACCTGTCACGGTCGCGGCGGTCGTAGTCGCGCTCACGGCGATCGTCCTTGCGGGGGGAGAAGGCACCACCTCGCTCACGGCGCGGAGAAGTGCTGCGGCGACGGGGGGAACGGTCGCTACGGACACCGCGGTCGGAACGGTCGCCACGGTCGCCTCGGTCACCGCGGTCACCACGCTCGCCACGGGGGCGGTCGCGGCCAGAGTCGAATCGCCACGACGCGGACGGAGGCGTGCGTGCCCACTGCACCTGTTTAGTTAGACATGTGCTGAAGCTAGACGTGCAGGCAAGTAGACACATACCTCGATCTTCAGCATGTCGTCACGGCCAATGCGCTTGTTGTGCATCTCGTGATACGCGTCATCGGCATCGCGACGGCTCTCGTACTCGACAAAGGCGAACCTGTACAGTCAGCGCGTGGCGCCGGATGCGGAAAGCGTCCAAACTTACAGTCTGCTCGAGGCCGAGCGCGGGGCGGGGATGTCGCAGCGGACGAGACGACCGTACCTTGGCGGGAGTTAGAGACGGCTGTCTGCGAGGGCGTGCCAAGAGGGAGGCAAGCGGAGTGCCTCCAGGCGCACGGGCGCCTGAAAGGGAGCGAGCAGGCGTCGCGCGACGGGGCATCGCGGGGGGAGGACGGCGGGTGTGGAGGTACAGAGGCTGGGCGACGACGACGATGGGGAGGGACGACGGTCGCGCGGGAGGCGAGGCGTTAGGAGACATACCGTTCGAACTCGTAGGCAAGGTCGCGAGCGCGGGTGCCGTGGCCGAAGCCCGTGACGTAAAGCGTGGTTCCTCCGCCGCGAGACATGGTGTCGTCAGTGGCAGTGTTCGGGGTCGGGTGTAGTGCAGCGATGGCGAGACGTTGATCGAGACGAGTAGCTGATGTTGACGCTCCAGGTGGAGGTTGATGGGGATGAAAGAAGGCCTAGTCGGAAAACTGAATGAGCAAACGCGCTAACGGGATTCTTGGCGCTATCAATGCATCTTCAAAGCGCTGCCCAAGCTCAAACGGTGACATGCAGAGGCTTTGTTTGGACGTTTCAAGATGGCTGCCTGGATGCATACACGTGATAGTCATGAGATGTATGTGTCTTTGGCGATGGTAAATGGCCTGTTAGACGTGCGTTGGGACGGGTTAGCAGCGAGCTCACCTCCACCGCTCCTTCCTCAACATCTGGTCAACAGCCAAGCACACGGCGCAATACCAAACAAAAGACAGACGCGAGAGCTTTATAGGGAGGTTGAGGTTTGGTTTTCTCTCGCGCATTGCCCTTGGACCCCCCGAAATCACGGCTCGTTGATCAATGTGAAAGGACTACGTTGCTGGTTATTAGCTACATAATCATCATGTAACACCACAGTCTAAACACGAGCTGTCAAATACATGCTGGTCTACACACCAATCCAAGCCTACCCAGAATATGGACCAAACGGCGCCCCCTCGAGCTTGAAGTACCCCGGCTGCAATTTCTGGAAAACGGCGGTAGGATCGTACTTGGCTGCGATCGTCTTCAGCTTCTGCTTCGACGCCGACCCGTAACTCGCCACGACATCTTGGTGGAAAGATGCATAGTTCATGTAGATGAAGTCGTTGTCCAATCCCTTAGCCTTGGCCTCCGCAGTAAGACGCTGCTCCAGCTCATTTGTGAAGGACGCAACACGAGCAGCATCGGCACTGTCTGTCCACATCATCGCAAGGTTAGAGATGAAGATTGGGCCATTCTTAGAGTCGAGACCAAGCGCGTTACCCCCATTCTGCTGCATCTTCTCCATCGCGGGCACCGTGATCGCCTGGAACGACAGCACTGGGAACAAATTGGCGACGTCCTGCATCGTGTCAACCATCTCGAAAAACGTGTCGATGCTGAACTTGAAGAGGTCGCGGTCCAACTTGAACGTCTTGTCCCAGTAGAGTTCTTGGATCCCTTCGGGGATTCCTGCACCCATGTTGATGGTCAGCTGAGAGAGGTTGTTGATGCCAGTCGTGTCGGAAATGGCAGGGATCCCCTTCCACTCGTCAAAAATAGAAGGCCAGGGCGTAGGATCCGAGTATTCCAGGTCGACCATGGCCATTTTTGTTCCATCGCGGAGCATGAAGGAGACGATCTGCGCCTGCTTTGTGTCGTTGGCTGCATCCCTGGCAAGGTTGTAGTAAGCTTGATAGACGGCATCCCACTCCGACTCGAGGTGGACACGAGGCCCACCCCACATCTCGCCGTGAGGGAACGTCCTCATGTTGAACTTTGTCACGATTCCCACGTTGTTCCCACCGCCGCGCAGGGCCCAGTACAGGTCGGGGAACGATGTTGCACTAGCAGTGACGATGGTTCCAGAGGCGGTGACGACCTCAAAAGAGTCAACGTTATCGCAAGCCCAGCCGTGTGCGTTGGCAAAATGTGAAATACCGCCACCAAGGGTGAGTCCGGCGACGCCAACGGTGGCCACCTATCAAGGTCAGAATAATCCAAGCACAACGGTGGAAGTGAACCAATTCGGAAATGGGATGGTCAAGGTGAATAGTGTGCAGAAGACTTACACGACCGCCCATGACTACGAGGCCATGCTGTTCCAGTGTCTTGTAGACGTTCAGCCAGAGATTGCCAGGTCCGACAGACGCAATACTCTTGTCGGAAGACAACGACACCTCATTCATCTTCTCCATGGCTACCGTGATGCCGCCCTCGATACTGGAAGCTCCGGGAAAAGCAGCGTGGCCTCCGCCCTTGACAGCGAACGGGCATTGTGTGAGGCGAGACAACAGGACGAGCGTTGAGACTTGCAGGGCCTTGGTCGGTTTGAAGACACAATAAGGACTGACAGTGCTCTGTTGAGCCGACCAGTACGCGCTTGTGAAGTTTTTGTACGCCGACGATCCTTCAGACAGTACACTGCTGTTACCGAATGTGACTTCGAGGGTTTTGCACTTGAGTTTGGTTAGTACCTCGAGCGGAATGTCGGAAAATAACGTGCTGAACTTACAGCTATTGAACAGGCACTGGGTGAAGAGCGTTCAACCAGTCCCTCAAGCTCTGGGATGGCGGAAACGTTGACTCCATTTGCGATGAGTGCTTCTGTGACGTTGAAATCCGTTGGCTCGAATGTGCCTGCCAATCCGCCTGCTGCGATAGCGCTAAGTGAAACGACAGTGATAAACTTCATCTTTATCAAGTATATCTCCACCCAGCTTAATATCGATTTGGACCTGATATATCAAAAAGCAACTAAGGGTGTCCCCTCCTTTTAGATAAACCCCTTGCGATGGTTTGACCGCGGAGCCAGATACCATGGCCATGGCACCGCGAGCCGCTCTGCGTAGCTATACAGCTGGGAAATAAGCTTTGGAATGGCATTGTCAGGGATCATGATCGTAGTCTGCGGCGCAGTTACCTCCTAGACTGTGCAGGATGGACGGTTCGAGATTCCAGGTGTTTAGCGAAATGACCAGCCCGTTTGAACGAAGCAGGTTGCGATTGGCTCGTCAAGTGTGTAGAGACATGTTGCAGCTCTGATCAGTGTATCGCCAAGCTGAGGTTTGGTCATTGATGAGGCCGTCAGCATTTTTGAACTAAGAGACATATAACTAACTGCGTCCTAGATCAACAAAGAACAAGCCTTTGGACGGCGAACACCGATGGCGGAGTGATGTCGAGAGAGGATTTAGTGCGTCACGCTAAAGCGGTGCGTGCCGGCTTACCGTAGCCATTTTGAGCCCCCTCCGACTTCATATACAACCCACGTTCCTGCATATGCCGGTTTAGCAAACGTCTGCTGCAAGCGACATGGAAGAAATTGATCCACTCTGCAAGCTTAGAGTCTCGAACGCGACTGGAGCTGGCATACAAGACGCAATTAATCCATTACATAATGTTGCCAACACTATCTGTCTAGACGAAGAACCTGCCAACCTTTTATAAGCTCGATGACATTCGCCAGTCACAGAAGGGATGCTCTCTCCATTGAGTTAATACGGGACCAAGAAAAGGAACGGAACGCCCGTTGTCGGTATCCGCGGACCGCACCTCGCCCCCTGCATATTCGCGTTGGCAACCACGCAGAGCTTTGTAAGGGATTACAAGATACCTCACACAGAACTTGAGACAAACGGGACAGGGATAACCGGCAAGATGATTCCTTCCGTCACGGGGTACATCTTGATGGAGCCTGACGATGTTTATCTATCGCTTTTCTGCAGGTTACAAAAGGAGCCCAACGGTAGCCACTAGACTATTTAGGAAAGTCGTTATATCTTGTCGCGACGTTCGTCATGCCTCTCGGAGATTCAAAATACTCACGGCAGAGCTTCTTACTATATTCTACGAGCGGAGACTAATCCTGAACTGAACATTCGGCAGTAGTGAGAGGCTCTTGGTCGAATAAACATGAATATGTGCGCCACGCCGTAAAACCGCCGCCTGCAGCCATACATCGTACCATACAGTTTGTTCCTTCTCTTTTTATCCGCGGCCAATCGACATGTTCTCGGACCATGGTTGGATTTCGCAAGATGCACTGCTCCGGACGGACTATGCTATGGTCAGTCTGACTTCAACCATCTTCGTGGCCCGGACCGGCATCCAGGTATGGAGACGCAGAAGGATCGAGTGGCAGGATGCATGGCTTTACGTTGCATACGTCGCTTACATCGTCTTCTCTGTCCTTTACATTGTCATTACGCCGACGATCTTCAAATTAGAGCACCACAGGAAGGGCGAACCCGTCCGCTGGGAGGGTATGGAGAAGGACATCAAGTTCATGTCCCGAGTTTTGTGGTCTAGTGGAATGGAGTTCTGGACTTGTCTCTGGTTCATCAAGTTTGCTTTGCTGGCGCTGTACAAAAAGCTGCTTCTGGGACTGCCGATGATCTATCTATGGGTCTGGCGAGGGACAGTTGTGTTCTGTATATTGGTGAGCAGGTATTCTCAGACAATAATGGTGAGAGGGCGACTGATTGTTGGTAGACATACATCACCTGCATTATCACAGGGCCCGTGATCGGATGCGAAAGCCTCAAGAAGTACTTCGAGAGGAACGAATGCTTTACTCCCACAGACGTTCGGCATCAAACAGCCAGTCTTTACTACGCATACGCTATTGACACTGTGACGAACTTCATGGGTCAGTACAGACATGCTTGCTCTCCAGATATATGACAGTACTGACGCACCAGTCAGTCATGTTCCTTCCGATTCGATTGATCTGGAACCTTCAGATGGCGCGAGTCCAAAAGGTTTGCATCGGATTGCTATTCGCCTCTGGTCTCATCTGCATCCTGTTTGCAACCATTCGCGTTGTGCAGATTGGCATCCGGGACGGCAAGCCCATGACGCCAGAGCCAAAGTGGTTAACGCTCTGGACAATCATCGAGTGCTCGACAGGTACAGCAACCCCTCCCATACTCCGTTGTTTTTGCTCCATTGCAAGTCTCGTCACTAACGTCTCGAAAGCTGTCATAATCGGCTGTTGTCCTCAATTTGCAACCCTCACACGGAAGAAGAAGAATGATACCTCAGACGCCTACAACGTACAAGGCTACATTCGGCAGTCTACGAGTCGACCCACTACGCAGGGGCGCGACGATGTTGGGTTGAAGAGCATGATTACGTCGGGCGTCCATGGCAAAGCTGCTGATGAAGCGTACTGGGAAGACGCACACAGCAGCCAGGAGGAACTCGCGAGGAGCCAGGAGATTAGAGTGACGACAACTTTTCAGCTGGACAACGAGCGGCGGTCAGGAAAGTTTCGTGTCTGATGCACTCGACTCCAATCTCAATCCAAATTTTATTCTCCGTCTGCATGTGCTTTGTCGTGAGGTCGAAGTGTGAAGAGCGATGACGTTGGACAAAGATGAGTAATGCCTGAGGCAGATGGCTGGTCGAGCACGTGCGCGCGGCGATTGCCGCCAAGCTCAAACTGAGAACTGGTCCCAAACATTTCCTCATCCTCTCCACGCCCGCGCCAACCGCCACCCTCCCACACGTGCATACCGCTTCTCACGACCAACGACTTGATTTGTCACGGCCCACACATAAAGAAACGCCAAAGAAAACGCGATCAGAGGCGCGACAGCCACTCCCTTTGTCCCCAACACTTTCCTCACGTCCGAATCTGCTCGACCGCTCTCTCCACCCACGCACACCCTCACAATGTCTGTCGACTTCTCCAACGAGTCGCCACTGGCCATACAGCTGCAGCATGTCGTGCAGCCCAAGCTGGCCGAGTTTGGGTGGACGACGGGCGGCGACGACACGACGCTGTTCGAGTACATTCTGCTGATGCTGGCCAACGATAAGAACGAGTCACAAGTCGCGTCAGAACTTTCGAACGATCTGCTCGACTTGGGGCCGGAGAACACAGAGACACAGCAATTCGCGCAGTGGCTGTTCGAGACGATTGAGCAGCTGAAGAGACAACTTGCTGGAGGCGACGCGCAAACCGTGTCCGCAAACGACAACCAAATGGATGGCGGTTTCAATGATGCATCTGCGCAAGACACCGAGATGGAGGGCATAGATTCAGCACAGGGCACAATGTAAGTCAAATTCCCCTTCACTTCCCCTCTTGCGTCGCGCGTCACGCATCGTGGTGCTTCTGTTGGAATACAGAAGCAGCGCTTGCAGGCGATTGGCGTAATCGACAAAGAGCGCAGGACCACGGTTTGGCAATCAGCAGATTCTGACAGCAAGCAGTCCCACGGGTCCCAAGGCCATGCGCAATGGCAGCGGCCCCCAGCCAACACGTCCAGCACGTGGCGGCGGACGCATGCTTAACCAACTGAACAAGTCAATGAACCGCAACGACGACTCGGCCCTGCATCGCGTTAGAGGCGCAGGCCAGGGTGCTGGGCGGATAAATTCACACGCTCGTGAGGCGCCAAAAGGCCCGCGGGGTCAGAACATTGGTCGCGGCATCGAAGCCATGGCGAACGGACGTGGCATGGGCAACGTCGGCAACATCAACATGGGTCCTGGCAACATGAACGGGATGCCGGGCATGAACATGGGCGGAATGCCTGGCATGTCAATGCCACCAATGGGCCAACAGAGCATGCCCGGCATGCTAAACCCACAACAGCAGATGGCGCTCATGCAAATGTACGAGCAGCAGGCACAGATGATGCAGCAGATCTTCTCCGGCGGCGCCCCAACAGCATTCGTCAACCCCAACTTCAACAACGGCAACCGCAACGGGAATAAGAAGCCCCTACACCAGCGTATGGACCGGCCACAGCACGGCAACAAGGGCATGCACCCGTCTGCGAAGTTCCCGAAAAAGGAAGGTCAAGACGAGGCTATGGGCGAGGGCTCAACCGAGAACGGCGACAGTATGGAAGTTGAGTCGACGCGCTCAGAGCCCTCTTCGACCATGTGCAAATTCAACCTGAGGTGTACAAACCCAGACTGCATCTTTGCCCACCAGTCGCCCGCCGCCGCACCAGGGACGCCTGTCGATATGAAAGACCAGTGCGACTTTGGCGCCGCATGCAAGAACAAGAAGTGCGTCGGCAAGCATCCATCGCCCGCACAGCGCCAGAAGTTCCAGTCGGAGCAAGAATGCGCATTCTACCCCAACTGCCGCGATCCCGCCAACTGCCCGTACAAGCACCCTCAAGCGCCACCATGCCGCAACGGTGGTGATTGCACAACGGCGGACTGCAAATTCTGGCACACGAGCGTCATGTGCAAGTTCAACCCCTGCTTGAACGTGCGCTGTGTGTACAAGCATGCGCCCGGCCAGAAGAAGAACAGTACCAATGTTTGGGTTGCGAACAAGGAGGGCGAGGAGAAGGAACATGTTAGCGAGAGAAAATTTGTGGATGAGGAGGAACAGGAGGAGCTAATCATCCCGGGACAGAATCAGAATGTGGATGTTGAGATATAGATGGGACATGGTAGGAGGGATGGGATGGGTGGCATGATACCATTAAATCGAGCCTGGAAGATGACGGAGAAGGTTTATGGAGAGCATCTGTACTATAGTCCTGGATACGGATGTGAATGCGGCGTTTCTGAATTTGGGGTGGCACGACTGGGTCTTTGAGACCTCGGTGGACAAATGCAATTGCAGAGCTTTGTTTCGCGGCCATGGGCTGCTGGATGTCCCTTACCTACTGTTCCTCTTGCCGTGACTCTTTATTCTACTTAATCTTATGTTCTTTTACCCATATGCTATTGCAAACACTCTTCTACGTATGTCATCGTGCAACACGCCCGCACCCATAGGGCTGAAAGGGACATCCATGACGGCGTTCCCGCGGCTGCGCTCGGACATTTTCCCGCAACGCTCACGTTATTGCAACCACATTTCCGCCATGCATGACCCGCACGCGTCTCCAAGCTCCCATTGAGCCACTCCTCCCCCGGCAATGCAACTGCAAAGATATGGGCCCGCGGTATTAAAACGCCGGACGACTCAATGCCTCGCTGGCCGCGCCATCGCTTCACCACCACACTCACACTCACTGCTGTCGCCGAGATGTAGTGCCCTCCTCGCCTCCCGTGGCCGGCGATTCGCATCCACGGCGGGCCCGGAGCGTGTAGCTGTTCTTGGTGGGGGCATTGCGGGGCTGGCCAGCGCGTACTTTACTGCCAAGGAGTTTCCTGAGTCGAAGGTTACGCTGTTTGAGAGCGCGGGGAATGTTGGGGGGTGGATTAAGAGTCGGAGGGTGGATGTTGGCGAGGGGAATGCGTTGTTTGAGTTGGGGCCGAGGAGTCTGCGGAATAGCACTGTTACGGCGAGCTTGGTGGGTTTCAATCTCGCAAGTCTATGATATGGTAGATACTGATTGAGTGACGCCAGATTCAAGAACTCGATCTCATCGATGAGGTGCTGTTTACGGAGAAGACGGCTCCCGGCGCAAAAAACCGCTTCATATTCTACCCTGATCGCCTCAATCGCCTCCCCTCCGAGGCACCGTCCCTGTCGTCCCTCTTCGATCTCTGGCGCACGGGCATCCTCAGCGGCGCATTTGGCCTCATCAAGGAACCCATGATGCCGAGTCGTCCGTCTCTCCTCTCGGATGAATCGGTTGGCGCCTTCCTCGCACGTCGCGTCGATAAACGGATTGCAGACAACATTGTCTCGGCGGTGTTCCACGGGATCTACGCAGGCGATGTGTGGAATTTGAGTGCGAAGACACTGCTGAGTCTTGCGTGGCAGCTGGAAGGTAAATATGGCAGTGCACTTGGAGGGTTCTTCAAATTGCAGAGCGAGGACGAGGGGAAAGGGCAGCTTACGATTGCGCATCCGCGGGATGTCGAAGTGGCGCGCAGCATGAACGAGGAGATTGATTTGGACGAGGATTTTGCATCGGAGCTGAAGGATGCGAGCATGTACACGTTCAGAAACGGACTGCAAACGTTGGTTACTGGGTTGACGGAGCGGCTGGAGGAGATGGGCGTTGAGATTAAAACCAACACGCCCGTGCAGACCTTCAAGCCGGCGTCATCAGGAGAAAAGGGCGTGGAAATCGTGGCTGGCGTACGTCCCTCTCCCTCCTACCCTTCTCCCTCGTACTGACATACTCCTCCTAGCCCCCTGATTCCACCACAACGCAAACCTTCGACCTCGCCATTTCCTCCCTCCGCAACCCCGACCTGACACCCTATGTCACCGTTCAGACGGTAAACCTCTACTTCGCCACACCACCCGCCTCGCTCCTCCCCGTCCAAGGCTTCGGCTACCTGATCCCGCAAAGCATCCCGTTCGAGCAAAACCCCGAGCGCGCCCTCGGCGTCATCTTCGACTCGAGCGCCATCGTCGGGCAAGACACAGCCCCAGGCACGAAACTCACCATCATGATGGGCGGCCACTGGTGGGACGGCTGGGCGGCGTATCCCACCGAAGAAGAGGGTCTAGCCATGGCGCGCGCAGTGCTGAAGCGCCACATCAACATTACCGAGGAGCCGGTGCATTCCATTGTCAACCTCAGCCACGAATGCATCCCACAGTACACGGTTGGGTATGAGGACCGGCTGCGGGACTTTGCGGACGGGATTGCGAGCGAGTTCAAGGGCAGGCTGAGAGTTGTGGGGAGTCAGTTCAATGGTGTGGGCGTGAATGATTGTATTACTGGGGCGTGGAATGTTGCGAGGGGTTTGAGGGGTGAGGGGTGGAAGGGTGATAGTGTTGGGCTGGAGAGGGTTAGGGATCGCAGGGAGTGGGTTAAGGTTGCGGCGAGGGAGATGGTGTGGAGTGGGAGGGGGAGTATCAAGGGGGCGGTTGGTGGGGGGAGAGGTGGTATCGGTGGTGGTGTGTAGAAAACGTGTTTGTATGGAAGAATACATCAGCTGATCAAGGTGTGTGATGTGAAGAACAAGATCTGTTCTGTTCCGTCTTATTTCTGGACAAACGACGTGAGATTCGCCTTCGTTTTCACTTTCACCTTCCGTTATGGCCCCACCTACTGGGACCGTGCGCCTTCTCTGTTTGTGCATATATTGGCTCCTTCCCACTGGTTTACTTTACCTCCCTCTTGCAACCTTCCACCCGTGCTACCAGTGCACAGATAACGGGTCAGTCTGTTTTGCTCGAGGAGGGTTAACCTGACGGATACTGACACTGGGCTGCTTAGTGTTTTGTTCGAGCGTGGAGGCTATCGTCGCCAAACTGGACGTAGAGAGTCGGTTGCCAATTGCGTTTGTGTGATTATTCTTTGATTTCGCTCAAGAGAGTGGACGCTGACACTAATCGTTAGGAAGCGCCAGTGTACTTCACATCATTTTCGTCGATCCCTACACCTACACGATCTGCATACCGGCAACTACACCACATCTTTGCATCACGATGCCATTGGAACAGGCCAATGCCGTGCGCGGTGCCCAGCGCCACTCGCTCACCACTTCGAAGTCATACCACGATACTGTCATCAGCAAGCCTGCAAGTCCAGATATTCCTCCAACCGATGGTGGATGCCATTTCTTTGGTCTGTCAGGCGAACTTCGCAACACCGTCTACGCCTACGCACTCTCCATGCCTGGCTCTGTTCGCTACAGCTGTGGTAAGGATGGTGTTGGAAGAATGCAAGAGCAGGCCAGCGTTGAGAGAGACGTGTCGCCAGGTCCGAGGCGGAAGGCAGGTACGACCCTGGAAGTCAATCAATTGAAGTACGTCAACAAGCAGCTTTACGAGGAAACACACGGCCTGGTCCTTCGATATAATGATCTGGTCTTCGCCACAGTCAGCGAGCTCGCAAAATTTCTCAACAGCTGTCCGGAGTCTTACTACCGTCGCTTTCGCCTCATTGATGTTCAACGGGGCATCTTCCGCCTCATTGATGTTCGACAGGGTATCTCCCCCCCGGGAGAGGTTCACCATTTGACGGCCGGTGCTGAGACGATTGAAGGAGTATTTCAGTTCTGTCGACAGAATCCTTATTGTCTTGTTCGTGACCATCATCCCTGCCTAGACGCTCGTGGCTACGGGTTTTGCCTCAAGGCAGGCTATCTCCAACTAATGGCCCGGAAAAACACTCAGATCCTGGACAACACTTTCGTTTCGGATTTCGTTCGTTACGCGGTGCACAGGTACAGGGATTGCGCAGAGGACGAAAACCTCGACGATGTACCTGGAAACATCCCAGAAAATTTTCGCTTTTTTCCCTCATGCAAGGAGTTTGATACGTACATTACCCGCGTGATGGACAGCCTTGAAGCTTCGGGTATAGGCAAGTCCGTCGAAGAAGTGATGGAGGTTGTCAGAGATATTTTCGAGCACGGCATCTAGGGTATCACAGAAGAAGTCATTTGGAGCAAACAGCTGATCACAAGATGATCATGGAAAGCTCTATGGAGAAGCTTGAAGATTACGAAAGGGATCGTGAAGCTTGAGAGCGGGCACATAATACAGTGAATAACCCCATGTCCCCTCATGTTCGTGTCTATGCTGAGCATTCACAAAGGACAGTCCATGACCTCAATGCCTATGATCAATGCATCATTTGTGACTGCGGTAGGAAGAAACGAAATTGAGATAGCTTGAACCAAAGATATATTCAAGCATAGCAGAATATCTTCAATGTGATATCATGTTAGTCTTTGGAATAGGCCCCACTTGAACCCATCGTGCCTCCCCTTTTCCTTGAGTATTTCTAAGTTCCTACCCCGGTATCTGCCCGCTCCACGTCTCACAACTCAATACACTTAGAAACTAATCAGCGCATCCGGAACCTGCTAGCTTTCTCATCGCCTTGACCCTTCTCTATAGCACATGTGCTTCTCTATCTTTGCTCATTCTCGACGAGCCTTGCGATCTAGGAAGCCCAAACCCACTGTGGCTCATGCAGACCCGGCCATACCCTCACCTGATGGCAAGTGCCATTTCTTCCGCCTGCCGGGTGAACTCCGAAACATGATATATGCGTACGCCCTGAGTAGTGACCATCCGGTCCGCTATATCCTCGACACGGACAACGTAGGTCACCTTTGCAGTTTTCCGATCCCTGCAAACAACTGGATCGGTAACTATTGGTTGCCCGATAGCGAACATAACGCTGTCCGTGAATGGATAATTTGGAACATGTTAAAGTTCGCCAATCGGCAGTTGTACAATGAAACACATAATCTCACCCTTCGGTACAACGAACTATTCTTCGGATGTATCACTGACCTATCAGATTTCCTCGATGTCTGCCCAGCACACTTTCACAGCAGATTTGGCATCATTTGGATCAAACTTGGCATAGCTCGGTCACCCGCCAGTGCTGTAATCGACGCAGATCCGGCTGAAGTGGAAAACGTATTTCGATTCTGCCGTGATAATCCTCATGTATCTGTGCGAGATCTGGACATGTCATTAATCGTTGATCAAGGTTCATTCGTGCTCAGAGTTGTTGACATACAGATGCTTGCCAGAAAAAGCACCGAGTTCCTACAGAAGTTCATCTCTTCAGCAAGGTATCAGCAAACTCTAATAGATTTCTTTCTGAGAGATAATCATGTAAAAAGCTTAGATGCCTTTGCCTGGGACTTTCCGTCGAACTATCGTTTTTGGGCTTCGCCAAGGAGGGAGCCTGGGGAAACGATCATGGAAACGTTCATCAGGCTCACTTCCAATATGGATTATATCCCACGGCGGGCATTTCCAGACACTCCTGGTAAACTGGAAAGATGGACCACTATGGCAAAAGACATATTCGAGAATGGTATTTGAGGTATGTCGAGCAATTGGTGGGGGCCTGACCGTATTTGGTGCAGACTACACATTGTGGCAACGGCAACTGTTCAGATACGTCTGGAAAGAGTTTGCGTGGGCCTGCAACATTAAAAAAAATTCAAATGGAAATTTCGTAGTACGTGGCTTTAACTTGCGTCTCTGCGCGTTGCTTTCTCTGGTACTTATTCTACTTCTTCTTGAGGTCATACAATATAAATGGTGTACATTGTTAACTTTTGTTACAAATTCATCATCTCTCTATCGAATACTGCGGCAAGACTTTACATGTCTTAAGACAACTACAATACTAAATCTCATTACAAAAACTCCAATTCTCACTGGGTAGTAGTCATCTTGACGGATCGCAAACTCGTAGAGTTCCTCAACGTCGGGGATGTTGTGGTCAAAATGAGCTCTTGTTGCTGTCACATGCTTTCGACACGAAGACTCATGAGGATAGGTACGTGTGGAAAAAGAAGGGAAAGCGATACTCGGTTTGGACCAAGAACTGACCAAAGTACCAGTCAGTTACTTCGGACCAGACAACTACATATACAATACAGCCCATCTTCTTCAACAACAACGCAGTCAGTAGTCCTCAAACCAAAATGTTATACAAGATATCCGCACCAAACCACCGGGCAGTCATCTATAAAATCTAAGCACTCCCTAGAGCTTCACATTGACCTCCTCATAGCTATCAGATGATCGAAGGTGAATGAATAGATGTGGCTTGTTTCCGGTGGCATTGAAGACTGCGATGATACCTGTGAAGTAATTAACGCTGGATTTGAGTACCATAATCACGCCTCAAAACTCACGGCACTGATGGACACAAACTATACTGGGAGAACCGATGCGCCGGACACGTCCAACAATTTATTGGAATTAAATTATACACTGCCATATGCCTGCTTGCTCAATAGCGTTGATCAGTCAACCGAGAGTATGTCAAAGTCACGAACTCCCTCCATCCAGTGCGCAAACTTTTGACTAAAGGCCTCCCAAATCAAGCTCACCCATAGCATCTGCCAAGAGCGTTGAATATGCCACATCCAGATAGTTCTACATGTAAAACAATAAACGATCGATGGCGCAGTTATAATAGCAACTATCTAGCAAATAGTCCGGCACGTCTGGCTTGATGTGCTACAAGCCTAGCGTTTATGAGTTGACTTGCTTCACGTAAAGCTGCGTCATCCTGAGCTAGATCATCCTGAGCTAGATCATCCTGAGCTGCATAGTTCGGAGCTGCTTGAGGTGGAGTTGCTGGAGGTGGAGCTGCTGGAGGTGGAGTTGCTGGAGGCTGAACAGCCGCGGCCTGAGCCGCTACGAGTGGTGGTATAGGCTCAACGTCCGCTCCTTGCGGCTGAACAACAACCCCTCTACCATGGTCGCCTCTAGAGCACGGTCGTGATTCTGTGCATGAACTGCCAATGTTGATATTGATGTGATTCCCGTCCATATGTACAACTTGTGATCTAGGACGGCGAGATCTAGAACTACGACCGTGAGACGATGTTTGCTCTCCAGGCGGATCGTCTACCTCGTCCGATTGAAGCCAGTCTGATATTACGGATGCAATTTGCTCCAGATAGATGTTTGCGCCTCCAGGGGTCGTTTGCGAAGATCTAGAGCTATTCCTGTTATGTCGAGGTTGGTCCGCATGCACCAGCTGCTGCAATAGAGCGAGAAGAGAACCGGAGCCGTTCTTATAGTCCAGTTGTGTATTCTGTGACCTGCGATTTGGAGTGGAGTTTTGCATTGACTGCATCGCATATATGTTCTGGGACTGAGAGCCAGGTTTCTGTGACGCAGACCTATGTAAGAAGCGCAGCAAGCGAGTATAGGGGGTCTTCGGCCGGTCGTGAGTCGGGTTACCGAGAAAGTCTTGGAGTACAAGTTCCAGAATGTCGAGCCTTTGATCATGCCCACGTTCGGTACGCTGTGAGTGACCCATGGAAGACTGAATGTTATCAGAGTCTTGATATGTAAAGACTGTCAGGAGAATACCAGACAAACCCTGAAGTGCAAGCTTCTATATATCTGATGAAAGATACTAGATCGAGGTTTGGCGGCCAAGAGACACGTTGTCGTGTCCCCTCGCTGGAGCGATCACAAAGCTCTAGCATTGCACTACATGACAAACCAAACGATGTAGGTTTCGAACGGGCTTAACTTCTGGAGGGCGCTTGCCTATCTTTTTTTTGAACATGTGGTCCTTTGGCTTGGTAATGCTCACAGTATCTCTAGATTTCAGCTCAAAAGGCACGGGATGGAACAAGAACAACCGTCCATCGAAAACGAGTTTGATTAGCCCGTGGAAGAATTTGATTCGGGCAAACAGGTTGGGTTTGCTTCACTGACACCGACGGATTCGAGCAAGGAAGGTGCCATCGGTTGGCGTCTGTGAGATAGCGTGATGTCAAACAGAGGTCCTGAACAAATACAGTCGTTTGCTGGGCGAACGCTCTTCTGTGTAGGGGTGTGGATTAGTTGATACAAGCCTCGAGTCATGTCAGTATCCGATGTTCCCATCTTCATAGATGTCTCCTTTCGTTCATTTCATTCTTCACTATCGCTCGCCCCGCATATCCGCGCCAACAATAACGCCAGAATGAGCCCAATTAGCTGCCCAACACACATGCGGGGATACGAATATAGAACTATAATCACTGTCACTGCACCACAGGGCCCGAGGCCTACGTTCATGGCGCTGCCTGTGCCGCCTCCGCTATGTGAATCGCTTGGTGAAGAGGGAAGTGGGCGCTCTGGACCTGGGATGTTCATCATTCTTCCTCTCAGTATATGCGGACTTGTGGTTCTCGCCGGCGCAATTTGCTCGTATTGGATGAAGCACGTTGAGTCGCGGAACTGGCAGAGGAAAGACAAGGAGTCGATTGCGGTGTCAACGGCGAGGAGAAGTGTGTTTGCGTCGACAACGGCGGCGGCAAGAGGAAAAAAGAGGGTTTCAGGGGAGGATGGGGCGGGAAGCATGGCATAATGCCGTCTGCTACGTAGGTACTTTACAGTGTGGTTTGTCTAGGTGGAGATGGGAAGGTGTAGGTCCATTGAGGTGTTACCTCGTCGTCTTGATACCTTCATCGCAATCTTTTGAATGCTCCTCTTAGTCAGGAATTATATTAGAAGACATCTGGTGATGATGCTCGTCTTCAGTAGTTTTACACCTTCCTGTTCTCGGTAACTTCACAAACATGGCCTGAGAATATAGAACCTCAGATCTCCTTCCCTATCCCCGTTCGTAAGCACACTCGGTTTGCGATAAACCAGTACAGCGTCACAACCGTCCTAGCAAACAGCACGACATAACAGGTCATCAATGACGCCGCCGTCGTCAATCACATCACTGCCTCTCGCCGTCTAACCTATTCCAAAGAACCCACACATATACACCTACAGCTTCATTGCACCTCCACATCCTCTTATTTCTCCAATATCCCCTTATCCGTGCCATCCAAACTCAAATCCCTCTCAATACCCTTCTCTAAATGGGTCCTGACGCGATAGCCGGGCTGTGCATAGGCATCACGTTTGTTATCGTGGTGACAGGGTATGCGGGATACAAGGTATATCGGGATCAGAATCGATTCGGGGAGTTGAGAGTGCGGGAGAGGTCGGATTTAAACGCTTGATGGGTTGAGAAATTTGGAATCATACGTAGACAACTACATGGGTATGAGTGAGTAGGGCTTCAGTCACAAGTTATTTCCACCCACATCGTTTTCCACACATGTGTGCCTTCCGCTCTTGAAATTCTGACTCCCCTCATCCTCTCACCCTTCTACCCTACACGCTATCACTCCACCGGAGGCAGCTCCCCCGGCAACTCAACAGGACTGTCCTCCAGAGGCCGCCGCGTGCACCTGTTGCCGGTCCCGACCTCAAAATGCTTCCCCAAATCTTGTCTGATATGTTGAACCTGGTTCCGGATCTTGTGAAACTCAGGGATACGGTACGGCTCCCAAGTGCCCGGACGCTGGTAGTCCGCGATAGCAACGACAGTCATTTGCGCAAAGTTCTCCTCCTCGTTGATCTGGCAGGTAGGATTGAGGACAGCGGTGTCTTTATGGTAGGCGTCGAGCCAGGATTGTGTATCTGTTGACAATAAGTACACTCTGATAGAGATAATCAGTGGAACAGGCGAGAACGTACTCCAGTATCCGTTACCCTGCTGAGCGCCGTACGTGCCGAGCGACTTGGCAATCGCAGCGATGATGTTGTGCAAGCTAGTGTTGCCCTTGAGTATAATACTGTCGAAATCGTTGTAGAAGTCTGGGCCAAGTTCCGGATCGTCCTTAGGAAGAACAACGACGTGGCGCAGGTATTGGCGCATCCCTACAGGGATGGAGGCGATGGCGTGAGCAGTGCTGTTCATGGTGTGTTGGGCGTCTTTGTGGCGACACATGACCCACGGCATGTAGCACTGATGGCAAGTAAGACGACATGCCGTAAAATTCAAGCCATGACGTACTTACATCATCGTAGGTGACATGGAACATTTCAATATCCTCGAGTTTGTAGTCCTCCGTAGTGAAGATCTTCTTGCATGCGTAGTTGATCTTGCCATTGTCCCAGGGCGTGACCTCGTAAGGAAAGGAGGGGAGCTGGAGATACTCATCAAGATTGACAGCCGGTGGCTGAACTGTCGGTTTGTCGAGAGTGGTGACTGCATCATCCCGGGCAATCTGGTGGAAAGGTGTACCGATGACGGAAGCGACGAGCATGGCGAAGGTCGCCAGAACCTGAGAGGCGATCATAATCGCAAGGCTGAACGAATTGAGAGTTTAGGTTGAGATGGATGATACGGTAGGCAAAGTTTCTGTGTGGGGCGAGGTCTAAACGGGAAAGAGCAAACACGTCGACGTGGGTGAAGGCGAGGCGAGGACCAGTAAACCGCCAATGAAGCATGTAAACAGAACATCAAGAGCAAACAAGCAACAAAACAACGTATAGAGCGAATTCATTGCATAATGAGAATAACCAGAGAATGACCAGAGGAGTCCAGGTGCGTCAAACTACAGCTCATGCGCTCACAGCATCCACCGTTGGCCGCGGCAGTGGAGGTCTCGCAATAGCAGCGTCCAACTCTGACTCCAACTCCGACAGCGAGAATCTTGGCCTACGATAGGTGTAGCCCATGAACGCGCCCTTCTTGCGAATCTCGAGAACAGTCCGTCCGACCTGTGGATCCCGCAGCAGCTTGTCGCGCGGCCTCTTCTTCTCCTTCTTGCGGTACCTCATCTTCTGTATGGTGCGACAGACCTGTTCGTAGGTTGTTGGAGCAAGGCGGATTCCCGTCGAACCCGTCTCGGCTACAGGTGTGGCCTCTGCTTCGCTAACCAGGGCTGCTGCCGCGGTCTCGGGTTGCGCCACCTCGTAGCTGGACGAATCGAGGTGGTCTGTTGCGCTCATAATCTCTGCCTCGTCGTCAAAGTACTTAGTGATGGGCTGTCCGCCGTGGACACGCGGCACGAACGGCGGTCGGGTCATGTGCAGTGTTGTCCATGGGATATGACGGAAGAACGGATGTCCCTTGATGTCTTCTGCATCATTTGGGAACACAATGTGACCCGTGTTGTTGAAGTTCCGAGTACGGCGCGCCCCGATTGCTTTGTCGCGGAAAACCCAATCGTTTTCTCGGTATCGCTTCGCGGATAATCGGTCCTGCCTGTCTTGGAGGAGTCGCACCATAAGATCCACTGCATTCCTCGTCACTGGCATGAGTGGCACACGATCGATGTTGGGACGGGCGTAACGTTGCTCTGGAGGAAAGCTGAGGTGGCGCCGATGATCCTGTAGTCATGAGTATGAAGTCAGAACATCTCGAATTAGGGGCTTACAAGAATACGCAATTTTGTTGCCTGTCGATTTTCGCAGAAGAAAGGCGTGGAGCCATACATACACTGTACCCATTAAATGACGGAGCCATGGAGCGATCGACGACGACGACTTACCTCGTACAGTATAATCCCGATGCTCCACCAGTCACAACGGCCATCGTAGTTTTCACCTCTGATGACCTCAGGTGCCATGTACTGACTCGTACCAACTACGCTCTTCGCAAACTGACGCCTTTGAGTGCGGTTCAGCATGTCAATGATAGGCCCAGTGGCTCCATCCGGCTTTGTCTCATAGCGGTTTCGAGGACTTGTCTTGCCGTTGACCTGATCAAAGGTTCTTCGAGCATTCTGCCTCTCTCTTTCTTCCCTGATATCCTGTTCATCGCCCTGGACGTCTAAATCCAAGTCACTGAGTAGACCATGTCGTTTCTGGTTGTGGTACGATTGGTCGTGGCTCCAGTGACCGTCGAAGGCGAGACCAAAGTCGGATATCTTGAGGTGACCGGAGGCGGTAATGAGGAAGTTGTCGGGCTTGATGTCTCGATGAATCCAGTTCATCCTGTGTGCTTCTTCGATGCAGAGAATCATTTCCGCAATGTACCATTTGGCGACATTCTCATCGAGTATATCCTCACGCAGGAGCAAACCGAGAAAGTCCCCACCCATCATGTATTCCATGACGAGATACAGATTGTTGTTGTCTTGAAAGGCGGCGACTAGGGGGACTACCCAGCGCGAGTTTTCCGAGGCGACCAGGAAGTCTCTTTCCGCGCGTAAATGGCCTTCCTGACTATTGCGGAGCATGTCAGATTTTCGTATGACCTTCATCGCAAAGACCTGCTTTGTCTTGCGCGCTGAAGGTGGCAATATCCCTCCCTCTTGTGTCATCGAACCATCCAGACATTCCATGCGGCCAGTATCACTGCTACCCGTACTGCCGTTGTGGTCGCTCTTCTCGCGCACGAGCCTAACAACACCAAAGCTGCCCTTGCCCAACACTCGGATGATGTCGTAGTTTGAGACGTGCACGCCTTTCATCTTCTGCCGAGCAAGTGTCTTGGATTTCATAACGCGTGTCTGGCGAAGATGGTAGCTTTCCGCAACGTACCAATCTTGTCTCTTTTGTTGTCTTTGATCACCGGCCACCACCATAGCGAAGAGTGTGCGTTCCATATTGCGCCGACGCATAGAGCGTGGTGTCACCTTAGTATGGAGAAGTTGATTGAAGTGGGACTCAAAGAAGATCTTCGCTGCGGCAGCAGTCTCAACAGTGACTACTGACGGCGCTGAGAGCCTCGGAGCGTCCTGTCGAGGAAAAACAAGCCAATCAGATTGCTCTGTCGTCTGCTCAATTGTGTAGTTGCGTGTGGTTGAGCCAGGACTTTGTGCGTTACCGAGGTGACCACGTTGTGTTGTCTCAGCAGACGTAGGCGTTCCTGAAGACACTAGGGAAGTCGGCGCAGTTGATAGGCTCAGAGGTGCGTTACCACTGCCCAAGAAGCTCGAAGGTTGGGATGGAAGGGATGGAAGGGATGGAAGGCTCGGTATAGAAACTTGCAATGAGGTCGTTACATTCTGGTTATCAGAGCGTTGTTCGAAATTGTCCGTCGGAATTGTCGGCCTTAGATTGAGCCTTGGGCGATGTATGACAGTGGCGTTGTGCAGGAGGGTATTTGAGAGTTTTGCCGTAAGCTGCCGCGACATGCCGGGTGTTGATCTACGAGCGTGTAGAGTTGTAGGGCGCTGCTCCTTGGTGCCCATGATGGGTTCAGATTCTCCGTCAAAGACCGCAGCATTGGTGAGCTGTAGTAGCGATGACTCTCTCTGATGTGAGCTATGGCTTGGTAAGGTGAGAACGATACTAGGGGCGTTAGGGTTTGATAGGGTATGTTTGTTGTAAGAACCGGCGGCCTCGGCAAGCTGTGTGCTGCCTGACGTATTCGAAACTGAGCCGTTGCTTGTGTTGTTGGCAGTTCCTATGCCTGGGATGGAGCCTGCACATAGAGTAAGCAAACGGAGCATGGTATAGATGTGGGGAGCCAGGCATACCTTTACCACCGCGAAAGATGGAGAAGATTTTGACGCTTCCTCGGCGAAAGCTGGTGAAGGTTCGACTGCCCGGAGTGGTGGAACGCGCCCGAGGAAGCTTGTCGTCGCCGTGTCCATCAGCAGATCGCTCGATGATGCGAACCGTGCTCTTCTCATGGGAGTCTAGCAAAGGCTTCTCGATACTCTTTCTCTTCCGCGTGGTAACGAGAGACATCATCTTGGTAGCTTCGGAGGGTAGCCAATGGGATCAGCAGTGCTGTCGGATTGGATAGTAATACGACCTGAATTATGCAATGCCCAAGAGATGGCGATACATGAACATGAGGAGAAAAGCGACATGTCGGCTTGGGGAAGAACACAGACGACCGAAACGAAGGTACGTAGGAAAGAACGGATGGAGGCAGTAGACGAAAGGAAGTGCGAATCTAACATCGGCAGGCTCGACTTGGTGCAAAGGGCTGGATATATTCGACATACTCTGTAACCATTGTGAGGCCGTCAAAGAGTGTGTCTGAGGTATCAACACTATCCATGGTATGGAATTCCAGCTGCACTCAATGCACTCAAGTTGGGAGGTTGGCCATCCTACCATCACAACCTCGACGTGTCAGGAGAGTTGCAATACCTTGTACTACGAGATGAGAGTGTCGATCCTGAGAGGTGCGATGGCAATGAGGAACCCTGTACAAACCCCGTTGCAGTCGTCAGCTTATGCGGTTTCCCGCAGCCTCAATGAATCGACTCTCAGAAAGGCGTGGCAACGACGCTGAGACTTACTCGCTCCAGCACATCACCTACCATTCTGGAAACACCCCCCTGCGCTCCAGTCGGACAGCATCGAGAGTGCCAACGCACCTCGTGATGTGCATCTTGTGTTTGACAACGGCGCATGATCCGGCCGGGTACCTGAATGCCGCGAATCAGACGACGGTGATGGTTGGGGTTTATCGCAGTATCTACCAAAGAGCCGTGCTGTAGCTTCTCTGTTCTCTTTTTCCGCATCAACTTTTCTATCTTATTTTGAAGCGTTCGTTAAGACTTTCATGCCGCAGCGTTGTGTAGGTGTGCATCTCATGAGGTGCAGCATCTCGCCCCGCCTTCCGCTCGTGGCGGCTTATCGTGGTGCATGACTAGCGGCTCTTATCGTCACGTCACCTGCTCCTCCATGCACACCATCTAGACACGCACCCCCCTCTCAGAGGAGGGCGATCGCTTTGCGCGTGAGCGCTGGGCTGGTTGCTTTATAACTTGAAGACGACCTTCGCGCTCCCAGCGAGTTGCCTGGATCTACACTCAGACTGTCTCAAGAGGAGCTACACAGCGGAACGTGGAGAGCTTCCTGAAGCTTGACATATCACCATCACCATCACATCCAGGCGCACTTTTTATTGATTCGAGTTGTTTAACTCACAGAAAACAAAGCAAGAACTATTTCTATTGATACCCTAATACCCACCATACCAACATCTCGACATTGCAACACCAACAAACCGCCATCTTGAAACAACCAACCACTCAACAAATTATGGCACCAACACCCCCCTTCCCGCTCTACCTTCTCCCCGCCCCCTTCCGCCGACGCCTCTCCTCAAACTCATCCCCCACAACCTCGCCCTCCTCCTCACCCCCAACCCCAACCTACTTCCTCCCCGCCCACCCAACCACGCACCTACAATGCCAAAAGTGCCTCACGGACCTAATCCCCACGACGTGCATAATCTCCAAAGGCTTCACCGGCCGCCACGGGCGCGCGTACCTCGTCTCGCCTCCCAACGCGCTCATCGGACCCACTCCCACCCCAACCCGCGGCGGCTGGAAAACAGGCGACATCCCCAACACGCAAACCCATCGAGCCGTGTCGCGCCAGCTCGTAACCGGTGCGCACACCGTCTCGGATATCAGCTGTGTGCGCTGCGGCAGCGTGCTGGGCTGGAAGTACGTCGATGCAGCTGAGGAGGCGCAGAAGTACAAGGTGGGCAAGTTTATTCTGGAGACGGGCAGGGTGATTAAGAGGACGCTTGAGGATGGGGAGGATGAGGAGGAGGGGTGTGGGGGAGGGGAGGAGGTGGAGTTTGATTCGCAGGATGAGGATGAGTGTGAGGATTTGTTTAGTGGGATTTGGACGCCGAGATTGGCGGGGGTGAGGCGCAGGAGGAAGGCGAGGGGGTTTGGGAGGGCTTGATGCGTGTGTGAGGTTTTGATTTGATGGTGTTATATACTTTGCTTTGTCGTTTGGGGTTGGGGGATACAGGCAGGCAGGCGCACTACTTTCCATCGGATGGATGCGATCACGACACGACACGACTGAATACCCGACACGACACGACACACGAACTTTTCCTACTTAGATACCCTACGTTCCTAGCCAGATAACGATTTGATTTCTTTCGTTCTCGAGTTGATATGAAATATCACATGATATAGCCGGATTCTCACAAATTCCGTGCAGCAGTGATCCAAGGCTGACTGATACACATGATTCATAAGTTCCATGTCTATGTATAGGTCGAAAGAACGGTCTATCTTCGTGATCAATGCATAACAAGATAACCCTTCCATCTCATGATCACATCGCGCCCCAAGTCCAAACGCCGAACTCCACACCCCATCTAATCCCTCAGTCAAAACACACACTCCCCATCCCTCTCTCATGCGCCGCATCTTCAACACCACACCTAACCCTCCGCAAGGCATCGTTCCACTTCTCCCCCGCAAACCCCTCATCCTCACTCTCTTCCTCTACATCCGCAACAACCCAAACAAGCCACTTCACCACTCCAACCGCTTTACTCAGATCCCTCTCCTCGCCCACAACCTTCCCAAGATACTTCACCAACGCAGCGACATCCTCCGGATACGGGCCCTCATCCGCAAACGTGCGAACCCACTCCTTCATCGCAGCGCGCAGATCTTTCTCGCGCGAGAGTTTCTGCGTCGTGAACGTCGGGCACGGGGGACGGGGCACACGCAACGTTTTCGGCGGGCGAACGACAGGGGGAGGCGGTGCTTTCTGCCTGTTAGCGGCGAGGCGGTGGGCGGAGAGTTTCTTGCGCTTGTGTTCGGCGAGGACTTCTTTGCGCAGGTCTTCGGGGAGAGCGGAGAGGAAGTTTGGGTCGAGGTCTTCGTCGGGTTCTTGGTTGCTTGGGCCTGGGTCTCGGTTCCGGGAGGGGTGTTTGAGGGAGATGAAGTTTGCTTGTGTGAGGGTCTTGCCTTCCCTCGTCACACTGGGTTTTATCGCCGCTGCGGCAAGTGAGGCGCTTTTGGGCGGTCGACCTCGTCCGCGCTTGATGGGTATGATGGCTTTCTTTGCGGGGATACCAATGATGCGGTTTTTGCGCGGAGACTGCGGGAGTAGTGTCTGGTCTGCGAATTTTGAGCGACGGGAAGGTGAGGAGCTCGCAGCGTATTGTAGCATGATTTCTGCGCGGACCTCTGCTGGGAGGGCGGCGAGTATATCAGGGTCAAGTTGAGATTGCGCAGGCAGAGCTGTGAGGGCGAACGGCATGGACTTCCGTGGAGTTGATGGGTCGAGTTTGCAAGGCGCTGGTGTAGGAGACGATTGACGCGTCTGTCGAAGGAGTCTTGAGCGGATGTCCTCAGGGAGTTCGGCGAGGACCCTGGGATCAACCTGCGTGGGCATGATGAACTGGGTGCCCATCATATTTAGCGGACGTCGAGAGGGCGTGGATTGGTTTAGCTCTCGGGCGCCAAAGGCGACGCGTTCATCATCCACTGTCCCTTTGGGTTTGCGGGGCGTCACAGGGTCGTCTTGGATGGGGTCTGCCTCAGCGATTTCGGGTGCTTTGCGAACACTACCCGGTTCGGCGTTGTTGGTTTTGAATTGAAGACGGCGCTGAGAGCTCTCGGCATTCCCATCTGTCACGCTTTTCATGGGTTCGAGCTTCGTCATCTGAAGGCCAATGCCTCGCAGATCGCCTGGTGAGATGCCAAAGCCTCGTAGCATACTCAATGCCTCCTTCGTCAGAACGTCTTTCGAGTTTGTTGCAATACCCAATGCCAGGCTCTTGTTGAACGTGTCACACTGTCCATGACCATAGTTTTTTGGCGGGTCTAAAGGAGCATCTGCCGAGCGGCGCATGACCTTGATCGTGAATTGCTTTCCTTTGACTTTTTCCTTGATAAGGCGCTTCTGCAGCTCACCACAAAGACTAGCAATGAACTCGTCGGCCTGCTCCTGGTTTTCGAAACGGACACCCCAGTTGACTTCCGCGGACACGGACTTGCGGACGACTTGCTCACCTACTTCTTGTCGATCTATACCGCGCGCATACTCCCAAAGCTTCTCGCCGGTTTTAGGGCCAAGAGTCTGGACGAGCCTCTCCTTGGTAAGTTCGCGGATGTCCTTGACGTGTTTGACGCCAATTTCCTCAAGTTTGGCACCGATTGACTTGGCGACACCTGGCAGATCTTCTACTTGAAGTTCACCAACAAAGTTCAAAATCTCGGCAGGCCTGATTTGATGCTGACCAGCAGGTTTTGCCTTCCTCAAGGCTACCTTGGCTAGGAGAATGTTGCTACCTATGCCAACTGAGACATTGCATTCCGTCCTGGCTTTGACCTCGTCTCGCAAGAGCTGCGCAATTTCGTCGGCTTTGGCTTGTTCACTCTCAATGCACTTCTCGAAGACTTGTCGGCCGTCGCTCCCACCCGCAGCAATGCACAGGTTCGACACATCGATCAAAGCCTCGTCAATGCTGACACTTTGGATGAGACCTTCCGTTGCGAGGATGGCATCGTAAAAGGCTCGACTCGCTTCTTCGTATGCAGGGAAGTCGTAGGGCAAAACCTTCAAGTCTGGACACAACTCCAGCGCCCGTTTCATCCACATACCGTTTTTGACGCCGTACTTGCGTGCCGGGTAGTTACAACTCGCAATCTCGGATCCATTGCCTTGTCCGTGAGCCACAACTGTCGGCTTGTCCCTGTACTGGGGATGCTTCTTCAAACTGACGGCAGCAAAGAAGCTGTCAAAGTCCACGTGGAGGACGTATCGTCGTGCACCTGGTGGGCGCTTCTGCTTGGCGTTCTGACTCGAGCTCCTTTCGCTCGCTAACGCCTGTAGTTGAGATTTCAGATCAGCCTTCCAGGTTGACAGATGATGCAGACGCGATTCACGATAGTACTGTTGGAGGAAGTTGGGGTCGACGACAGTAGACTTGCGGTATTGGGGATCACGTAGGAGTATTGCGTTGTGCTCCTCAGAGGTCAACGCTCGATTACGGGGTGGTGATGCTGCAGGTTTAATTGGTATTTCACCCTCGTAGACACTGTTTGACCGCGCTTGTTGACCAGCGGGAGGAGATGGGTCAGCATACAGACTGTCGTGGAGGTCGTCGTCGATGATGTCGTCTGGATACTTTTGAGGAGCAAGCGTAGGACTGGTCTTTGGAGGCGTGACTAGCTTCTCGGATTTGCGTTGATGGTGCGGCGCTGGTGCAGAGACAGGTTCAGGCTGGTGCGAGGGCGGAAGGTCTTCGATATCGTCATCATCTGGTGTGGGTAGCCTTTGTCTAGAGAATCGAGATCGCATATGTCCACTCGGCGTGGGCGTGCTGGTAGGTGGGCTGGCATCTCGAAGCTGACTGGTGTACCAGCTGTTGTCCGTCTGATCACGGTAGCCCTTCGCCTTGACATTCGCCTCGCTCAGGATTTTACCCTTGTCGAGTGCCAGCACCTTCTGCTTCTCTCCTTCGTCCAGCACTCGGTAGTCGTCCCAAGGCAGCAGCTTCCCCGCGCGTATGCTGTCGACGACCCACACCGGCTTGACGATGCGATACCTCCTGAATTCCACGGCCTTTTTAGGCGTGAGGCTACTCGCGATGAGGTGCGTCACGGTGGTCTTGCCGTCGAGGTACTGCAGGAAGCCCCCGCCATGCTGGACAATAAGCGTGTGCAGGTCGTTGAGCGATGGCTGGGTATAGCCGTTGACGTGGGCCACGACGCCTCTGAATATCTGGGGCACGGGACCAGCCTTTTCGCGTATGTCTGCGTCGAGGTTCTGCAGCTTGATCCTCTTGCGCCTGAAGTACTCTTGGTGGCCTCCAAACGCCGAGCCTCCGTACTCATCACCAGCCTCATCGGCAAACGTGTGTTTCGCAATCCGCTTGCGCACAGAGTCAGAATTCTTATCCAGACGCGAGCCCATGGTGGCTGTTACGTGATGTGTGTCTCCCGGACGGGTCTGGCGTGGTCATCGGGACCGCGGTCATGATGTGTGACAATATCCCGTCTTCACGGTGAACGTGATGTGGCGCGCGAACGCGACAAGGCGCTGCCAAGGAATAATTGGTGGGGATCTTGCCCTTGCTAGTAAAACTTTAGCGCATCTTTGCACCCGCCATCTCAACTTTTTCTGTCTGCTCTCTCGCAACTATATCTCTGCTCAACCAGCTGTCCTTACGCTGCGCAACACCTGAGCACTGAAATCTCTGCGCGCACTCTCCACATCATCCATTTACCAGCTTTTTGCATCGAAAAGAAAGCTACACCTCTCAAGATGCCCGCCTCAATTCCTGCAGGCGTCTACGGACGTCGCATCCCAGCTGGTGGTGTGCCCATTCCCGCAGCTATCGACCCGTCCGCTGCTGTAAGTATCCTGTTCTAGATAGTTTGTTTGCAGGTGACTGCGCAGTCGATTTTGCTGTGCCTCGTCATCTCAACTCGAATCTTAACACAAGTGATAGACTTTGGCTGATCACATGTAGTTCCGCATCACAATGGCTGCCATTGACCCCAGCGCGGCGCCCCAGGTTGACGAGGAGCACAAGGTTCCTCGCGCCACGCTGAAGATCATCCGTGTCCCCATGGACTTTGACGATGAGGAGGATGACGACGAGGACTACGATCCGGAGGACGTTGAGGCTATTGTTGCCAAGCTCCGCGCCAACGGTGCTCTTCCCGATGCTGACTCTGACATGTCTGAGGATGACAGCGCGGATGAGAAGAACGGTGGCCCCAGCGATCCTGCCAAGTCGAAGAAGGCCATCCGCGCAGCCATTGCCAAGAAGCTCCAGGAAGACCTCGAGGATGAGGACATGGACGTTGACAGCTCCGTTACCGGCAAGGGCAAGGCCAAGATCACCGACGACGACGTCAGCGACGATGATGATGAGGACGATTCCGACGACGAGGATGACGAGGCTGAGGAGTTCGTTCTCTGCACGCTTGACCCCGAGAAGGTATGCCGTCTCACTCCAGTTCCCTCAACTCCTCCTTCTAACGTGCGCGCAGAACTTCCAGCAGACACTCGACATCACTGTCCGAGAGGGTGAGGAGGTCTACTTCTCCGTTGACGGTACCCACGACATCTACGTCACTGGTAACTACATTGCTTTTGCTGATGACCATGACCACGATGACGAGGATGATGAGGAGGATGATGGGCTCGAGTATGACCTGTCTCCCGACGAGGACGAGCTTGAGCTTGGCGAGTCCGAGGAAGATGAGCTCGATGACCTGTCCGACCCCCGCATCACCGAGGTCGAGTCTGAGGAGGAGGCCCCCAAGCTTGTTGAGTCCAGCAAGAAGGGCAAGAAGCGCCCCGCTGAGGAGGAGGTCACTCTCGACGACCTGATCAGCAAGACCAACGGCGAGCAGAAGGTCAGCAAGAAGCAGGCCAAGAAGCTGAAGAAGAACGACGGCCAGGCTGTCGTCGGCGCCGATGAGGTCGCAAAGAAGGTCGAGAAGGCTGAGGCCCCTAGCGCCGACAAGAAGAAGGTACAGTTCGCCAAGAACCTCGAGTTGGGTCCCACTGGCTCACCAATTGGAAAGGTTGAGGCACCCAAGGCTGAAGCGCCCAAGAAGGAGGCTGCCAAGGGCCCGCGCAACGTCGGCGGCGTCACTATCGACGACAAGAAAGACGGCAAGGGCAGGGCCGCGAAGAAGGGCGACCGTGTTGAGATGCGCTACATCGGCAAGCTGAAGAACGGCAAGGTCTTTGACTGTGAGTTTCTTCATCAACACGCTGGCTATATCCGTACTGACAAACCACGCAGCCAACAAGAAGGGCAAGCCATTCTCCTTCAAGCTTGGTGTCGGTCAGGTCATCAAGGGCTGGGACGTCGGTGTCGCTGGCATGACTGCTGGCAGCGAGCGCCGCCTCACCATCCCCGCAAACCTCGCCTACGGCAAGAAGGGCGCCCCCCCTGACATCCCAGGCAACTCTGACTTGATCTTCGACATCAAGTGCATCTCCGTCGGTTAAGCGTTTTCGTCTGTAGGCATGCTGGGTCCACTTCCCTCCTGTACAACGGGATCTTGACTCCACTTGTGCGCATTAGACCCGTGCCGGCCCCCACCAGCATGCGCGTCTCTTTAGTGTATTTCCTGTTCCTGTCATCGTTTGTGTTTACTGCATAGCGCGAAGTATGAGATATCCGACTTGCATAGTCTGGCGTGCAGGGAGGACGGATTTCTCATCCCCCTATGTCAAGAATTTCCTAATCTATCTGTGATCTAGCGAGGCGATTTGCCTAGAGATGGCGAGGTTTTCGCTGAGGATGCTATTCCGAAAAGTCTTTGGAGTTTGGAGGGTTCCTTCATGTAGTGAATAGACTGAGATGATGTTCGATAAACGTGGTTTTGGTGAGCTGTGAGATTTTGACCGTGATGTGTGTGCTTGGCGAGCTCGCGTAGGGTGGGTCTGAAGTTGTTCGTGTCCAAATATGAAATGTCTACGCCAGAAGTCAAAGAGCCCTCACTCTGAATCCCGTGTTCAACGTACGTTTGCTGCTGTGCACGTGCTGGTGTTGTCATCGAAACGTGGAGGCGCTGACAAAGCCAAGAGCCAATCACCAAGCTGCTGGGACCGTTGCCATATTTTAGCGTGCGTCGACTCCTCACTTCGGCTTCCACTTCCACTTCCACCTCCTCACCTCAGTCCCCAAAGCCAACGCCCACGTTACCTCGCCCGCTACACAACAGCCCTTCCGCCGCACAGCGACCGCATCCCCAATCACCTTATTCGCCACCTCCTTCTCGAAGACCGCAATAGCAACCGTGGCAGAACATGGCCATCTCATCCATGAAACGCAACAGTAGTAGTAGTAGTAATCGCAGCAGCGGCTCCATCGCCTCGCAGGATTGCGTGCGTGCGAGCTGCTATGCTGTGAAGTCGTGCTCTGCGGCTCTGCAGGGCTTCCATTACTCCACTACGCTGGGGGCCGGGGTCGAGTGGTATGCCTGAGGTCGGCTCGGTATGTTTACCTGATAGACGTGAGATGTTGCGCGTGGTCTAACCAGCACACAGGGCATACCTTCACCCCCACCAAGTCCCCCCCTCGGTAAGGCGCGCCGAGGGGGGGCTGCATACACCATCACGGGAGAGTGTGAGAGACTCTTCTGCGACACGCTGCGGGCTGTTTTCCTGGGTGAGGGGATGCAGCGCGCGGATTCGCTTGTGATGGGTATGCAAAGCAAGACCGGGACCCGCGACGACCAGACGTCCAGCGGGCATCTCGATGTCGATATGGACTGCGCCATCGACGATGACGACTACGGTGTGCACTGCGAGGACCGCGGCAACGTTTCCGACTACATCGAAATGTGGGACTACGTCGGCGGCATCCAGTTCCGTGGCTTCGTCGCACAGAGTGAGCGGCAGGAGAAGGCCATGTTTGTCTTCTTTGACGAGGCCGTTATCAATGGAGATTTGAAGGCTGGGTATGTCTTCCACCCTTGTTCCTCCCTTGTCGCATTTACTAATACTCTACGCAGTCTCATGGCCCTCCTCGAACTCTGCGCCCTACCCTACTTTTCCTGCGACCGCCTCGTCGTGTGCATTGACCGCGCGGCGGACCAGCTGGCGAGGGACAACCTAGCAAAAGATCTGGGCTGGATCGGGTTTGGATTGACGACGTTGAAGGAGTTTACACGTGGAGAAGAGACGAGTGAGGAATGGCTGTTCATGGAGATGGAGACGTAGAGGTTTTGATTGATGACTGGGTTCACTTCTGCGTGTAATTGGGGTTGGGGTTTGCTTCATAATCGAGTCGTGGTGGATCGTTCTTGTGAGGGTTCTTGATATTCGCTATTCAAAATGATATTCACATCTCCCAGAGTTATTCAGCTCCTCCATCCACAGTCCACCTACAAATCCGCCATAGCAGCATCCATATCCGCGCCCCCAAACTCATCCCCCTCCTCCTCCTCAATCTCCGCCCTCCCCTCCAACGCCCTAATAGCCTTATTATCCATCCCCCCAATCCCCACCTCCTCCGTCTTCCTCTGATGCGCCTCGAGTTCCTTGAGCCCCCAACTCGAATGCCCCTCCCGTTGCGCCTGCGTCCACGGCACACTCATATCGCGCAAAAACGCCTTCGCCGCCCCCACCGCCATATCAATACTAAGCTTCTCATGCTTGGGTTCAAGACCCTGCTGTATCCACTTCGGCAGCTGCTTAACGCGCTTATTAAACCGCTTATCAGCCAGCACCATGATCCCGTAATCGTCTTTCCCGCGGATAACGCGCCCCAGACACTGCGCGGCGTGGCGCATAGCGTCGAAAGCGAGGAAATCGTTCGGTGCTATACGGTATGTGTCGAGGAGGAAATCTAGCCGAGCTTTCAGGATGCGGGATTCTGTGTATTGGTAGGGGATGCCTATGCAGAGTACCGTGCGCCCGTAGTGGTGGTCGAAGTCGATGCCCTCGCTGACTTTGCCGCGGGCGACACATAGCAAGACGGCGCCACGCCCGTTGTTACACGCTGTGCGGAACGTCTCGAGCGCGAGGGCGGTTTCCTGCGCATCTGGCGTTTCGACGAGGATGAGTTTGTATTTCCAGACCGTGTCTAGGATCTCCATGCCCTGCCAGGAGGAGATGATGCTTTCCATGTAGAGGTATGAGGGGAAGAAGACGACGATTCCGTCGGGTGTGAGTTTGCACATTTCTATCAGCAGCGAGCCGTAGTTGCGCTGCACTTGGATGTCGTGGCGGTGCGAGAATTCCGTTGTTATGGCGTTTTGGTCGTTGCCGCGGTCGATTATCATGGGGAGGAAGGATTTTCGTGTTAGCGTCATGGTGAAGGAGGATTGGACTATGGTGTTGAAGTTTAGCATGCGTGGGTACATGTCTAAGGGGGAGAGGGTGCCGGAGGTTACGATGACGGAGTAGAAGCGCTCGAAGACTGGTTTTATCGCGATGGCTGCGTCGAGACAAGTGAAGTGCAGGACGGGGTTTGGGACGGTGGCGTTTGCGGATTCGAAGGGCTCGGTGATAATCTGGAAGCCTGTTTCGTATGTGGCGACGAGCGTGGCGAAGGTTGCTACTTCCTGCAGGGGCTGCAGGTCCTCGATGTTTGTGAGTTCGAGCGTGCGGACGAGGCTGGTCAGGCGCTCGGCGCAGAAACGGAGTGGTTTGCGCTCGATGTAGGTCAGGTCCTTGCAGTGCTCGAGGAACGAGGGGGGCGTCTCGGATATCACGTTGAGCACTTTCATGCGTGTTTTCAGGTACTCGATGAAGCGCTTGAGGAAGGCGACGAAGTGCTCGGCGCGGCGGATGTTGCCTGGGACGGCTTCGGTGAGCAGGTCGTCTGGCAGCGCGGGGTTCGCCATGAAGGCGTCTTCGGTGCGGGCTTCATCTGCGGCACGCAGGCCCTCGACGAGCTTGGCGTATTCGTTTTGGAGTTTGTCTGCGTCTGAGGACTTCATGTCTGTGATTTTCTGGTCGAGCTTGTTGACGCCGTTTGTGGCCTTGCGCAGCGAGTCTTCGGTCAAGTCGATGCTGAGCGACTCGATGCAGACGTTATCGATGTTGTGCGCCTCGTCGAACACGACAATGCAGTCCTTGCTGAGCTCCTTGGAGACGCGGTCCGCGATCTTGGGGTCGAGGAGGTAGTGGTACGAGTAGATGATGACGTTGCAGAAGGGCATCATACGCCGCGCGGTGAAGTAGGGACACTGTTTCTGCTGCTCGCCGTACTTGAGCATGCCGTCGAAGGTCCAAACGCCCGGGGGGATGAGATTGTGCGGCTCCAGCAGGTCGAGGTTATCGTGATACACGCACATCTCCACATCCTCTCCCCTCTCCTTCTTCTCCTTGACAAACCCCGCGGTCAGACTGCGACACCGCGCATCGACCACACCGCCACTCTTCTCGCGCTTCACACTCGGATGCAGACACAGATTCTTCCTGCTCGTCAGCCCCAGGCCGCGGAACTCCTCCTCATACCCGAGCTCCTGGGTGCGGTACTTCATCAGGGCCTTCAGCTCGGCCAGGGCCTTTTCGATCTCGGACATTGTTCGCGAGCAGTAGATCAGCTTCCGTTTTTCGGGGAAGTGCTGCTGGTAGGCTATGATCAAGGAGAGGAGCGACACCGTCTTTCCTGTGCCTGAGGGCATCTCGAGGACGCAGTGCCCGCCGCGGTCGAGGGTCCGCTTGAGATCGCACATGTAGGCATATTGCTCGGGGTAGACGCGCGGGTAGGGGAAGAGCACGGGGAGGGCGCTGTAATTTATAAGTAAGAATGCTTGTATCAGGCTCTATGAAAGGAAGGTAAAAGAAGTCATAGTTTTGAATGTTTACAACAAGTCGCGTATAGTTATTCTTCAACATTATGTGGTTGCTATGTCCAGCTTCGAGACGCGATGGTGCGCTTGTTGTCTATAAAACGCAAGGGAACTCACTCTATGTAGAACTTCATGTTTGCGTGTCCACCGCCCGCGCGGGATTTGACGTGGCGATGGGAACTGGAAAGTTGATGGAGCACAGCGTGAGGTAGCTTTCGAATAGAGATGGACGCAGCCTAGTCTGGGACGGGCTAGTCGTCAAGTCATGGACAGGGATGGGGCGCCCCACCTTCCGCCGCACGGCGTCATCGTCGAGCACATTTCGCGTCGACCCCACAAAGTGCGTGAAGCAAATCGTCGACGCTGTGTGGAGGCTCTCGCGTACAGTCCAGGACCGTCTGACCTCTATTCAGACCTTGCGAGTCTTCCAGCCACACATCCACATTCTTTCCCGATTATGAGCAAGCGCACGGCCAAGTCGCAGGCCAGCAGTGCGCGGGCGGCCTCGACGGCATTCGGGGGCTTCGGTGCCTCCACAGCTTTCGGGGCCAGCTCGTCACAGCTGTCATATGTATCAGAGCCGCCAGACCTCTCAGCCATCTCCGACTCGAATGTCGTCGTCTATTTCCGCAACCTCTCCAAGAAGGACAGCACCACAAAGGCAAAGGCGCTGGAGGATCTGCAGGCGTACCTTGCAGCACTGCAGGCGCCCGTCGAGGAGGGCTTGCTGGAGGCCTGGGTGCGTTCACACCCACCATGTACATACCGAGCTCGTAGTAATGCCATGTCCTCCAGATCAAGATATATCCCCGCACCTCCATAGACAACGCAAAGTCGGTGCGCCAGAATGCACACACCGTACACGGCCAGATGGCTGCCTCGGCCGGCAAGCGCATCGCCAAACACATGCCCAAGAGCGTCGCTGCGTGGCTGGGCGGCCTCTACGACACCGACCGCTCCGTGGTGGAGGCGACACAGGGCTCCCTCCGCCAAGTCTTCACCACGCCCGAGAAGGTCCAGGGCATACGGAAGGCGTACCAGCAGCCCATACTCGAGTACTGCAGGCAGGCCATAGACAAGGAGAGCACCACCACGCTGAGTGACGAGCGCACAGTCAGCCCCGACGATGCAGAGGCCAAGTACAGCCGCGTCATATCGGCGTGCATTGCCCTGCTTGGGAGTTTATTGGCCAACCTCCAGCCAGAGGAGTTGGCGAAACACCAGGCCGAGTATGAGAGCTTGCTCGGGGACAAGACGCTGTGGGACTTTGCTGCGTACAATGACGCGTCGATACGACGCTCGCTGCACCGCTTCCTGAAGACATGTCTGTCCAAGCAGCCAGACGCTGTCGCCGCGAACCTCGAGTCGATTAGCAAGGCCTATCTCGCCACAGCCCTCAACTCGGACCAGATGGGCTCTATCCACGACTACCTCGACGCATTGACGCTGCTGACGTCGGCGCATCCAACCGTCTGGACAGAACACTACAAGAGCAAGACCTCGGTCGACAGGCGGTTGCGACAGTTCCTCAAGAAGGGTTCACAATTGGGTCCACGCGACTTCTGGGACCGTTTGGTGCAGTTGTTCAACGCACTGCCCAAGGAAGTCCTACCCAGCAATGCTGCCGATGCTGCCGAGCTCCTCGCTGCCCTGCAGGGTGGCATTGTACGGAACGACGAATCCAAGTTCAACCACCAGGCTGCTTTGAAGGCATATCTGGAGATCGTCGCATTGGTCAATGAGCGCCTATCCGACGAAGACAAGAACAAGCTTCTGGTAGAGATGGTGCTCCCAATAATTGCGCAGCACTTGCATCCCACAATCGAAACATCACAATGGTCCAAACTTTCGAACGCAGCAGGACTGCTTCCAAGGGCGGTAGGTGTGCCAGGCATGGCAGCTATCTTGCGAGAACAATGGCCAGATTTCACTACAGCGCTTGTCGACGATATCAAGACATCAGCTCCAGAGCAGTCCAAAGACTATGAAAAGTCTCAGACATCGGTCCTTCAACACGCCAACCGTTTTGCGAATCTACAAGCGGAAGTCATCAAGGCCGATACATCCTCGCAATCAACATACCAACAGGCATGCTCCTCGGTCGTGGCCGAGGCACTGGGCGTGGTGAAGAACAGGAACGGAAAACCATATGGTGCAGCTGGTACTATCGCGGCGATGCTACATTCCAACAAATCCCTCGTATCAGCTAGCGAGTCGGAGCAAGAAATCGAGCGATTCGTGCAAGAAGAGCTGCCCACGCTCATTCTCTCACCATCTTCCTCGTATCTTGTGGATATCCTCTATTCTTTCTCAGACTCCTCCTTCTTTAAGAGTGCGTGGAGCGCTGCACTCAAAGCCGTGTTGAAAGAGGCCGACTCACCAACGAAGACCAAGGCGCTAGAAGCACTTCTCACGTCGTCAAAAATCCCATCGTCTTTTGATCTGGCGACATCCGACCCAGAACTACAAGACTACGTCAAGACGAGCGTGCGCGAAGCGGTCGAGGGTTCGCTTGAATGGGACTCTTTCAACCGCATACTCCAGTCACAGGCGAAGATCCTGTCTCCAGAGACCACAGACGACATCTTATCTTTTATGACCCAGTCTTTGTCAATCTCGCAAAATGCGCCGCACTCGCTACAAGGTCTGCGTCAGATCGTCAAGTCGAACCCATCCATGCTACGAGAGTTTCTTGCCGCCCCACAAGGCTCTAAGCTCCTCCAGAGCCTGCTTGTCGCCTCCGAGTCACCAAACGATGAGGTTGCACAGGGAGCGTCTGCTGTCAATGCTTCCATTCAGACCATCCTATCAGCTGGATCGGACACGAAACAATCAATGTTTGATCTCATCCGGCAAGGGCTGCGAGAGGCGACCAAGACATCAGTCTCTGTTGAGACTCTCGTTGATCTCGCAAAGCAATCCGTCAAACCAGGAACTAGCTATGACGAGATAGCCAGCATATTCCCAAGCATCGACGACTGGGACGCCGCTCTAGCGCCCTTCCTCAATGCTGCGCCCAAGCCGTCGCTTGCCATCACCAATCCCCTCGGGAGTGGCGTGTATCTCGTCAAACAACAGCAGTCTCCCTCAGAGATACGCAATCTATCCCGCGACTCAGACGGTTACTCTGCCGCATACCGCACTGCCCAATACGCAACGAGACTTCTCACACATCTTGGCTCGTTTGCCCGCCAGAACGTGCCCAAAGACCTTCAGGATGCATACCTCCGCAACATCGCGCTCACCGTTCAGCTCGCAGACGACAACCTCGGACTTGCGGGGGCGAACGGTCTTTGGGCGGAGTATAGTTCCGACGTAGAGGCCGACGCTATGACTTTCATGACTGATGCGCAGACGTTTATCAGGAAGGGATTGAAGCATTCGGCCGCGAAATGGTCAGAAGGGCAGGATGACTCGTCGCTATTGACATGGGCGGTTGAGCTGCTGGCAAAGGTCGATGCGGATACTTCGCCTCGTGCGTACTATGATGCGCGCGCTCATAGCGTCCTTGTCGCTCAGGCGATCGAAATCTGTGGGTGGAAGAATTCGCAGAACACACAGTTGCAGGACAACTTGAAAAGTGTGCGCAAGAACAAAGGTATGTCCTCATCTTGTTCGTTAGATGGCGGATTCAGATATCGCCATTTAGTCATTGTCTAGCGATGGTGGAAAGCTATACATTAGACCTGTGATTCGTACTAACGTACTGCACAGAAATACTCCCACTGATTGGCTTCCTCAATGCTTTCAAGGAGCCTCTTGCTGCATCCAAATCTTGCGAGAGGATGTGCAATGAACTCGTTGCCGACCTCACTGGGCTCAATATCGAACAAAAGCCCGAGGAAGGTTAGTCCCCCTGAAATCTCTGCTCGCCATTCACCACTCACCATTCCCAGGTCTCCGCCAACTCGTGCTTCTCAACACCCTTTTCTACGGGCAAGAAGATATTGCGAACAGTATCGCCAAGCAACGCCTGATATTCTTTGTCAAGCATGTCATTCCGTGGTTGCAAGACGGGAGCGTTACTGGTAGTGTCAAAGGAGAAGTGTGCCGCGCCCTGACGGTTCTGCTTCCGCTGATGAGCGACTTGTATGGAGAGCATTGGGGCGAGATCCTCAATGCTCTGGCGGCAGCGTGGGAGAGCAACAAGAGCATCGATGAGGGACAGGAGGCGGGAATAGACAGGTACATCCAGCCGACCTCGTCAGTGATAAAACCCGCGCTTACACAGCTACAGTCCAATTCCGTTCGTACACGCTTCCCTCAAGCTGTATGCCCAGCTTCGGACCCTCACGCAAGCCGATGAGCCCAACGACGATCTTCTAGAGGTCTGGAAAGAAACTGAGCAGCCCATCGCGAACGGTCTCATCAACCTACTCAAGCACTCGCAACACTTCCCCGACGAATTCCATCAACCCTTGAAGATGGTCAACGACGTTCTTGCACGCCAGATTTCCAAGGTTTCGCTCAAGCATCTCGAGTCCACGGAAGAGTTGTTCCCGCTTCTGTACGTCGAGTCTCAACCAGTGCAGCAGACCGCGTTCGACATTCTGCACAAGCAAATCCCGGCTGCGCAGGAGCAGATCTCAATCGATGCAGCGCTGGAGAAGGCGACTGCGAGGCTGCCGGAAGAACTGTTGTCCTTGATCATTGATGCGCCTACTGTCGCTGCGTTGGCAGAAGTCAACTTCGACAGGAGTATACCGCTTCAGCTGAGGGGATATCTGCTAAGTTGGTTGTTAGTGTTTGACCATTTGGAACATGCTGTAAGTCATTCTGCGAATCTTTTCCTTCACTATGGATTGCGCAAGTCGATGAATTCTGCAGTCCTAGTCAATCACAACCCCTTTCCACGTCCCTTCCCTCCTCACCCTTACGAACTCACCCACATGCCTACAATGCGCTAACATCTCGGCAGTCCTTCAAAGTCAAGAACGACTATGTCGAGCACATCAAAGAAGGCGACTATCTCCCCGGCTTACTGAACTTCACTTTCGACTTTCTGGGCCATGCGCATAACAAGCCCGTCGACGTCTCGAAACTGGACATCACCACCTACGAGCCAGACGTCGAGCCACCGAAGCGAGACGTTCAATGGCTGCTCACACACCTATACTTCCTGTGTCTACGGCACGTGCCAAGCCTGACAAAGGCGTGGTTCATCGACTGCAAGAGCCGAGCCACAGTCGTCACGCTCGAGCCCTGGACAGAGAAATTCGTACGTCAACCCCAGACCAGAAACAGCACTCCATACTGACCCCCACAGATCTCCCCGCCCGTAATCGCCGCCGCCCTCCACTCCGTAACCACATGGTCCGACGCCCAATCCGCCACCGACACCGACTCCCCCTTCGCCGTCAAAGTCGCCCCCCGCGCCCGCGAAATAACAGCCCTCTACACCGTCGACGAGCAAACAATGAGCATGCGCATCAGCCTTCCCCCCGCCTTCCCGCTCCAAAACGCCCACGTCGAAAGCCTGAACCGCGTCGCCGTCAACGAGCAGAAATGGCAGTCCTGGCTCCGCACTAGTCTGGGCGCTATTACCATCTTCAACGGCAGCTTGATCGATGCGTTGACGACGTTTAAACGGAATGTTGATGGGGCTATGAGGGGGCAGACCGAGTGCGCGATTTGTTACTCGATTGTGGGGAGTGATAGAAAACTGCCGGATAAGAGGTGTCAGACTTGTAGGAATTTGTTTCATGGGGGGTGTCTTTTTAAGTGGTTCAGGAGTAGTGGGGCGAGTAGTTGTCCGCTTTGTAGGAATCCTTTTAATTATGGGTAGGTGGGTGGGTTCGTGCTGTGGGTGATGGTGGGGAAGGGGGGGAGTTGAGGGAGGGATTGGAGTATATGGGATGGTATTTTTGAAGCTGAGAGATATGGAATTATTGAACCTCCTCCCTGTTGATCTATCGCTTGCTTGCTTTCACGGTGAAAATGTCATCTCGAATCGGGTTTCTACGGGCTGTGATTTCTATGTAAAAACAAACGGCTATTTTTCTTGTTCCACGCCGAGACTGATACGGTTATGAGATCGTAACACTTTGAAGTCTGTGTTCGAAGGCGTGTGGATCATGTGTGTGAGCTGGGGTAGCGGTGGATGGGCGTGGGACTAGGAGGGAGGGCTTGGGGGCTGTTGGGCTTTGGATGTGAGTATGTGTGTGCCTTGGGCGAGGAGCTGGAATAACTTGAACTATATTGGAACTTGGGGGTTCGCATACGGGAATTGTCTACGCAGACGTCATGTTGGAGTACGATTCTGGCTTGTCTTGTAGCAATCTTGCCCAAACATGCACTTATAGCAGTATATAGGTAGTACGCTATGCCTTCGTCTGGATACTAGTGAGTGACAGGTTTGGGGGAAAGACCTGGGACCGACGTGGTAACGGTCACGGTGCTGACTTTATCTACTTCCTTACTTTCACTCCTGCACTTTATCCTCAATGGCGTGTTGCCCCACATCGCGTATACAGAGACCTCTCCTCGTCTATATATGAGACTCCTTCCATCGTCAGCTGCTGGAACTCATCCACTCAACTTTGAGCTCCTCAACCTCGACTACCCAACTCCCTTTCTTACTCATCTCCACCGTCAACAATGTCATCATGAAGTCGTTCTTCAACATGTTCCTCGCCATCCTTCTTGGTCTCATTGCTGTCATCAACGCTGCTGCCGTTCCTGACACCACGGTCAACGATCTCGCTTCCAACGCCAATGGTGAGAACTCTCCACCCATGCTTCCACATAACAACTGCTCACACATCCACAGAAACCAATGTTACTATTCAGGAGCTTGCTGGCCCTGAGTACAGCTACCATGGCCGCGCGACCGCTGAAGTCTGGCTGGGTCAGACAATGACCAACGTCGGCGACCTCGTGGGCTCGAATCTGTATGGCACGATCTGGAATCTCATCAACGATCACTGTATTGAGCCTTTCTGGTACCACGACCGCTGCGGTTACAATGATGCCTACGCTATCAAAGTAAACTACCTGCGCGACAACGGCCAAATCGGCCAAGGCAAGTAGCATCGAGATCATCTCCACAACAACAACTGACACAACGAACAGGCTACACCGGCCTGGACGTCATAATGCGGTTCAAAAACCGTCAAGTCCGCCAACTACTCATCGGTGCCGTCGCTGGTATCGCCGAAGCGCTGTCCAACCAGGACAGCTACAACTGCTTCGACGCGCCGACCAAGCTAAACCACAACCGCATGTGCAACATCGGCGACAGGATCAACGTAAGTGTGCTGCTTGTTTCAGTTTTGAGATACCCCAGCTGACGCACTCCATCTAGGTGAACCTGCCTGAAGGCTCGATTTTTGTGCGGGTCAGAGGCTGGACTAACGACGGCGCTTTTAGGTGCTGTAAGTCCCAGGATGCAGTGGGCATGGTCATGGCTAAGATGTCGCCTGAGATGCTTGATGTGTGGCCGCAGTGGAGGAACCCTGGCTTCCGTAGTGAGATTAACTGCCTTGGGGGGTGCTAGACAGTTGTGATTTTGTTCGTGGTTTGTGATATGATATAATGCAAATGTGGACGCTTGAGCTCTGTGATGCTCGCGATGAGATGCGATAGATGAGATGCAATAGATGATATATGATCGGCCTTTCTTCTCAACACTACCTTCCTTTCACATATATGATGCTTGAGACATAACAACTCCATGGACATGCGAGATCAGCGTCTAGGCACTCACTCCCAAAGAAAGACTTCGACACTCATGACCAAGATGATACTTCTAACCAATCCACGCATAGTCTATGCGTATTGCATGATATTCATGATAAGAAAAGCTAGCATGGGGGCTCATTCCTCATGCGCATCATGCTCAGGATTCTTGACAGTACTTCTGACTCCAACACTAACGCCATCTCACCCACATGTCAATCCATCTATTCACCTCTCCAAACAACTCGTGTCCTTACTTCCTCCCCTTGCCCTTCTTCTTGCCCCCCACCTTCGCTTTCTCCTTCTCCTTCTCCTTCTCCTTCTCCTTCTCCTTCTCCTCCTCCTTCTCCTTCTCCTTCTCCTTCTCCTTCCCAACCGGCACGCGCACCTCTTCCGTCGCATCTCCCGCCAACCCCATCTCCACATCCTCCCCACTATCCCCCCCAAACAGCCGCCGCGCAACATTCCTAACCCCCAACCCCGATCCACGCACACATGCCCCATCATTAGTAAAACCAGCCGACACACTACTCCGCCTCGTGCCCACTGGCAGAAAATTCTGAGCCGGGGGCGCGAAACTTGAAAGACTAGACCTCGCGCGGTGGCGGGGCGGGGGACAGGGCGATGGGCTTCTATCAAGGTCTGGGCTCGAGGTCAAGCTTGTGTCGAGAGCGGTTTTGGGGGCAATCGAACTCAGACTACGAGCCGATAAAGCACAAGGCTGGCTGAACTCAAATACTTCGAAATCCTCTAGTGATGTACTTCGGGATGGGAGGGTGGATGTTTGGCCGTTCTTAAATGGGTAGAGGGCGTCATTTGTTGGGGTTTGGAACGGCTGGGTGGGGCTGGTGGTGTCTAGTGTTGGGAACTCGTAGGGGGTTGCACTTTGGAGGATATGGGTATGTTCACCGTTGTTGGGCGAATGGGGAGTATTGAGTGAGGGTGGGACTCGGATCATGGGGGTGGTCTGGACTGGTGTATCTATGGATCCGAGCGTCGAAGTCTGGATGTGCTGAGTACGTGAACTATTCTCAGGAGTCTGGAAGATATTCGAATTTCGACGTTGAGGCTGTCGGCAATCCTCGCTATCCTCAGATCTTCGGCGCGCGTCTAGTTTCAGGCTCTGCGGCAGCTGAGTATGTCTGCGTTCTTCAAGTGTCTGGATGAATCTTGAACTTAAACTTGGACTTGAACTTGCACTCGCAGGTGATCGACCAGGTAGCGGAGTCGGATCAGACGGAGAGTCCGACCAAGCTCCAGGAACCCGAGGAGTTCCCGTTTCCACCGGGGTCTTCTCACCGGCTTCAGTTCCCTCATTTTCAACAGATCCTTCTCGAGCCACCCCGTTGTGAGACATCTCACTGATCCCGGAAGCCAAGCCTGATGGCAGATCAAGTGGCGAAGCAGACGTTTCGTCAGCCCAGGCATTGAAGTCGATGTCTTCTCTCGGCGGACTCCTCGGCATTTGAAAGGGTTGGAACTCGTCGCCTGCGTGAGTGATAGATGGAGTCTTTGGACTCTCATCATGAGGTATTTGGATGAGCTCACGCGTCTCGGGAGTAAAGACAATGAGGTCAGGTTCATCAGGTTGGGTTTCAGACCCTTCAAATGCGCTTGCAGCCTCAACATCGCCTTCGGGGTCAGACTCACTTGCAGATTCCCAGAATTTGGTGGATGACCACGCGTTTGCGGGATTCACTAGGTCAATGGGCTCTATCATGCTCAGGGAAGTTGGCTCGAGCTTGGAAGGCGTCTGGTAGGGTGTACTTGGACGTCGAGACGCTTTTAGCGGAACAGGTGGATTCTCGTATAACTCGTCACTATGGCCACTGAAGACTTGGTCTAGAACATGCCTCTTTTGCACCGGCGAACCGCGGAGAGACTCAACCCGAGTATTGATTGTCGCGGGAGGGGGTGTTGATATAATGTCAGAGCGCGAGGCCTCTCTGATGGCTAGTGGACTGGGAGGCCTTGGATACGTGAAGTCTGGTAGATCGGCCTCACAGATCTCGCACGCTATGAGATGATAATGGTTCAGATACGTGCAACGTAGACATTGCCTCTTCCTCTCGACTGAGTCGTAAGACAAAGGCGTTGCAATTTGAACCTGACGTGGATTTGAGAATCCTTCGGGCACCGAATCTTCCTGAACTAGTAGAGTGTTGGAAGCAATCACGTCAACTGCTTGATAGGGCAGGGGAGGACTTCGACGTATCTCGAAAGAGGTGACGTCTTCGGCGAGGTCACCCTCAAAGAAGTGAGCAATCGCCGTTTGCGCATTCCATCCGTGTCGTTTTAGTAGTGGAATTGCATCTTGCACATGTTGAGATGTGACTTCTACGAATGCCGAGAGAGCATGGTATTCGAGTCGGGTGAATGATGCCATGTCCAATGTGTTGAACCCGAAGCTCGCACGTCGACGCTGATATGAGTAGTCGTTTATTCCAAATACGGCGTTTCCCTGGCTTGGAACAGGATTTGGACGATCACCGGGTGTGTTGGGATCACTCCTTTGCAATGGGACACTGTCTCGACGAGAGTACCCCGAAGCTAGCCTCACATCCAGGGTCGGGCGAGGGAACATGATGGAGGACTGTGAATGGGCATGTTCAACGTCTTGAGGCACCGGGGTCATATAGAATTCGTTCTCTCGTGACGGAACAGCCTCAGATCGACGGTTGATAGGGACTAATCGTGGTACCCTCTTAGATGTACGACGTGATAGCGAAGGAACAAGGACCGTCTCGACACATTGGAGACCCGGATCAAGATTCCCATACGATCCGCCCTTCGTATTAGAAACATATGACCGACGAACTTCGGTTTCGCCACTCCTGCTCCTGACCAATTCCAAGTTACCGCTGTTTCCTCTCACAACATGACTCCTGCGTCGACTTTCATTGCTGTTGACGGACATGTATCCCTCTTCAGGGTGATATGAATGTCGGGTTTGACGCGCAGTTCGATCATCGTTATTCAGATGCACTGGAGCTCGAAGCGGGTCGCGGCTATGGGTTTGTTGAGAGGACATTGCATCTGTAAAAGTTGAGTAAATAGCAACTTGTTGCGATAATCAAGCCAACCTGTGGGCGAACACTTGTGCGGTTGAGTTGTGCGGTAGAAAAAGCTCGGGAGCTTGGTTAAATGCTCCGAGGAGCTGTTTGAACGTCTCGTTACACGGACGCAAGGCACTTGAACCCGTACGAGAGGAATCAAACTGTGCTGCCTTGGCGAGGTATCGGTGAATGGAGAAAGTGATATCTAACCCTTCCAAGTGCAAGCTCAGACCCGGTCATGAGGTCAGGCCAACAATGGATACGTATTAGATGATAATATACCTCCGTTCATAACCCAAAGACTGATAGAAAACGAAGTGGGTCGGTCTGTTCCCCATATGCAATGTAGTGTTGGCCATTATTAGGGTCTCACCACAGTAGAAGATTGAGTGATGATGAGATTACTAGTTCTTATAGAGATATCCATTGTGATTAAGGCTTTGAATAGGCTTGAAGGCTTCTCATAAATGTCAGCTTCGCTACGAAAGACGGATCAAACTTACATCAAATCCGAGCGGATACTATAGCAATTTCTTGCTTATAGCTTTGAACCTGCTTTCTCCTTTCCGTAGTTCACCTTCCCTGCTTCTGCCAATGCATCTGAACTTATGTCCCAACCTGCAATCAAATCTTCGACTACAGCAATCTCATCCTGGCCCCAGACTACGCCACCGACCAGCTCCCCATCACGGAGAACACGGTACGTAGGCACACCACAAAGACCCAGCTCTTTTGCCTCAGCTGTCAACTCTCTGAGTCTAGTCTTGGCTGCCGGCGCGTTTGCTCTCGTGATAAGCTCAGCGCCGTTGAAACCACCTTTATTGAGAACAGCGGCGAGTACCGCTTCATCAGAGACATTAGCGTCCTGTTCCCAGCACGCTGAGACTGTTCGTCGTTAGCTATGAGTTCGTACCACTTTCTTGCACTGTATCTTACAAAGTAGTGGTATTGTCTTTGGCTCCACAATGCTCACTCTCAGTACAGTCGGCGTCCGAATCGGGAACTGACTCGCCCAACAGAAGTCAATTTTCGCATCTTTCCCACCCTCTTGCGTATTGACAGCATTCCAGTATGCTGTCCAATCCGCATGGTCCTGTCTTGACCAAAGTGCTTTGGCCTTTGAGATAGCCAACATTGGCATGTTCGGCGCACCGATTTCTTTGAACAAGATCCCCAAAAGAAACGGCTTCAGTTCGATCTCGAGGGAGGGAAATGTGCGTTGCAAGCGTGCGAGCTGAGTGTAGCCGAGAAACGCCCACGGCGAGCTGAAATCGAACCAGAATTGGACTTTCGTTTTGCCCTTGGGTGTGTTGGTGGGTACACAACGCGGCATCAAGCTTCTCAGTCCTGATACGTTTCCCCACTCATTCTTGCCATTCGAGAGAGAGATCAATGTAGCTTCAACAAAATGCATGCGGTCCTGTCCCCAAAAGAACCGGCCTTTTTTGCTGTCGCCTCCAACGTCACTCCACAACGCGTCTGGAATCCAGAAACCAGGTACCCCGAACGCTCCTCTCTCAATAGCGTCGGCCGTAGCTTGTTGCAACTCGCTTTTTGCGTGAGCGTCGGAAAAGCACCACTCGCCCAGTTTCTCGCCGCTTGCGATTCCACTTTCTTTCACGATTTGTAGAAGAACATTGTTATCACTAACATCTCTCCCTTCGACCCAATACGCGCTGTATAACCTGGCAGTCAAAATCCTTCTTTCTACGCCATCAGGAACACAATACAGAAGTCGTAGCGCGTTAACTGTTTTCCTCGGGTGTTGGGGTGGCGGGTTATCCCTGATCTTGTACCTTTTGAACGTTCGGACTATGGATTGTTTACCAACGGCTTTCTTTGCTGGGTTATACACATCAGATGCCGAGCCTCCAGCGCCTTGGGGTGCTGCAGTCGCGCGATAGATGGCGCCTAGGAGGACAGGTCGATGAATCAATGTTGCATTTGTTCGTTCCGCAAGTGCCTGAACTCTTGTAGAAGCAATATAGGCGAAAGGACACGATATCTATAGTCTGAAGTCAGTGACATCATTGCGATGGAGCAAGGGAGATATACATCATAATGAAACTCTAGGATAGGTGACGACATGGTTGTAGTTTGAACTTTTCGCTGCGAATTATTTCTATGGTTCTCGAGATGTACTGACGCGCCGTCGGGGAACGATTGACGCGCATCCAGAGTGTGGGGTAATCGAGGCGCGCAGCCGAGGTTCATATTTCATGATGCAGGAACGATCCTGACTCTCGGTCAAGTGTGAAAACGAGAAGTAAGCTACAAAGGGTGCGGCCCAGAGCAAATTAGATATACAGTATATACAGTAGCGTCTTAGCTTAAAAATCTTGCCCTATTTTAGTAAGCATTAATTAATTCTGCTAAATCCTTATATAAATAGTTATTTGTATAGAAATTATAAAGATTTTAAGCTTAAATTTAAAGCTAGTAATAACTATAGTTATTCTAAAAAGTTATTATTACCTTTATAATTAAGTACTTTACGTGCTAAGTCTCTAAATAATCTTATCTTAAATTACTACTCTATATAATTATAAAGCTCTAGATTAAATTACTATAATAGTTATACCTAATACTTAGCCTTAAGCTTAGCCTTCTTTAACGCGCTATTTATATTATAGTAAGTTAAGAAACCTTTAAGCCTACTAAAACAGTACTTAATTAGGTATAAATTAAGTAACTAAAAAAAGTAAGGAGTAAATTATATATTAGCTTCTTTAATAAAAGTAGTAAGGTACTATTAAGTAGTATAGTATAACTTAACGTTATCTTTAATAAAGAATATAAAATACTTAAGATTTTCCTTATATACTATTCTATAGTACTTAATTAAGTACTTCTTAAAGATATTTTTAGTATACTAAATAGTATTTATTTCCTTCTACTACTTATAGGAGTAGAGCTTAGCTTTAAAGACTACCTTAAACTTCTTATAGTTATAAAAGCTAACTTTATAAACTTATTTAAGTCTCTTAGTAGTAAAAGCTGTGTTATAATTATTAATCTCTTTATTAATTACTTAAAGTTTAGAGTACTCCTAAGTACTTAGTTTAAGTATACACTATTACTAGTAGCCTATATAGAGGCCTATAGTTTAATTCTTTTTATTAACGCTTTACTTAATCTATTCTTACTTCTTTTTATTAGGTAAAGTCTAAATAACGTATAAGTAATATAGTAAGTAGTATATATATATAAAAGTAGCAGCGTAGATTATAAGCTTAAAGTATAGCTTAATAATAAGTAGAGTATACTTGTTAGTATTAATCTTATAGCTCTTAAGGTATAAAAATCTCTATTTACTACCTAAGTAATTAATACTACTAAAGGCCTTTAAGGTCTTATTATAAGAGATAAATATAACCTTATATAAGAGGTTATATATAGCCTATATCTATAATAGCTATAATGTATACTAATATTACAGCTTCTTATTACTATTATTAAGTACTATTTTCTTTAGCTAAATACGTTAAATAATCTTATAATTATACTTATTATTATAGTAATAATAGGTAACGTACTTAATAATAAAGTATAATAGTAAGCTTATATTAAGCTCTTCTAAGGCTAGAGTAGTAGCTATATAGAGCTTCTTATATAAGTAATCTAAGATAGCTGTCTTAATTTTTTTTAAAGTATTATAAGACTTAGTTACAGTAGTAACGTAGTATAGTAAAGATAGAATAATAGTATTTAATATATAATAAGATAAATTACTAAGAGACCTATATTCCTTTACAAGGTACTTTTATCTATATATATAAGCTAAGAGGCTAAAGCTAGTATAATAGTACATAAACTACCTATTACTTTATACTTACCTAATAATATTCCTCTTTTTAGATATAATTATTCTAATCTAGTAGACTATATCTTCTATTATCTATATTTAGCAATATTAAGCGTGTTATAGGTATATTAAGGTAACTGTTTAGGTAGATTACTAGATTAAGCTAATTTAGCCTAATTAAGATACTTTTAAAATATATTATAACTAAAATCTTAGTTTAGAGTAAAAGAAATAGGTACTTATTTTTACTTTTTTTACTATTTACCTACCTAGGAGGTAGCCTAAGCTTTAAGGGCCTTACTTAAGTATATAATAGAGGCTCTTTTCTAGTCTTTTACACTCTACTTTTTTTTTACTCTTAATTTTTAAAAGTTTCTAAGCTTTAGGTATATTTTTAGTAGAAAAGTAAAGAGTGTTAATTAGCTTTAATTAGTACTAATTAGTAAGATTTAAGTCTAATAGGCTTAGTAAGTATTAGATATTAGCTAATTATTTTAGTAAAACTTTTTTAATAACTACCTAACCTACTTTACTTCTAATATAATTAAGATAGTTACTTTAATAAAAGCTTAGCGCCTTAAGGACTATAAGAATACTAGTTACTATACTAAGGTCCTTTATATATACTACCTAGACCTTTTAGTTAATAGTAACTTTACTATAGATAATTTAATCTACTTCTTTAGTACTAATATTAATTTATAGAATAAGTTTTATAATAGTAACTATTAAAGTATATAGTACTATTATTATACCTAACTTAGCTAGGACTATTTTAGGGTATATTTATTAGCTCTAATTAGTATAAGTTATAGCTAATTAACTTTTTTAGCCTTTTAATACCTACTATAAGTACCTTATTAAGCTTAAGAAGTAACTTACTTACTACTTATTTAGTAAGAATATAGTTATAGAAGCTATAGAAGAAGGTAAGCCTATATAGTATAATTATATTCTATATATACCCTCTTTTTATATTATAATTAAAGTAAGAGTTATTAATACTACTAATAAGATTATTAGCTTAATTTATAAGTAAGTAGTTAGAATTAGTAGTAATTAGCTTTAATAGTATCTAATTATCTATAATAGTAAGTACTCTCTTTATTATAAGTCCTTTATAGTCTATATAGGTATAACTAAGATTAATAAGTCTACTAAGTCTAGTATCTATATTAAGAGTTATAATTAGTCTAAAGCTAGCTTTTAAAAGAAGGCTATAACTAAAAAGTAGGCTCTTAAGGCCTTTAATAATAAAGACCTAGATTTTACTCTTTATAAGAAGGTAAGTAGCTACTTATAGGCCCTATTAGTATAAATTAGTACTAACTATCTAGAATTAGTTTAGTATATATAGTTCTAGTAAGACTTTAGCTAAAGTAGTTACTAAAGAGAAGAAAAAGGCTACTATAGCTACTATTACTCTCTAGACTACTAAGGTAAATCTTACTACTACTAATAAGTACTTTATATTTACTAAAAGGGCTACTAAGACCTATAAGAAGAATAAGAATAAAGATAAGTATACTTAGGTATTAATTAGTATAGATTAGCTTAAATTAGTAGTAGTAAGGCTAAGATATAGCTATATATATATTTCTAGTATTATATACTAAGAGAGTTACTTTTTAGCCTTTTATAAGCTTTATAAATAATAATTATAGTTAACTTATACTAATTTATTTTAATTTCTTACTTATATTTTAATATTATATAGTAACTTAGAGTATTTTAATTAACTTAGTAATTTCTTATATTTACTTTTAGAGTTATTTTCTTAGACTTTTTTTTAAGAATTCTAACTACTAGGTATAGTACTATTAAACCTTATAAAAATCCTACTAAGTAGGTAAAAATAAAGAAAGGTAGCTATATAGTTATTTTTTTATAGTTTTATTCTCTTTCTTTTAGGAAGTTTATTTTAAAATTATACTTATAATAGCCTATTTTTCCTTTTAATACGTTTTAGGACTACTTTAACTTTATTTTAGAATACTATAAGTATTTTCTTACTTAGATTTATTTTAGGTTTCTAAGAGTTCTTATCTTCTAAGTAGCTATTTTACTTTACTAGATATTTTTATATACTTACGCTATTTTATCTCTTATTAACTACTTTCTTTATATTATAAATATTATCTCCTATTTTATAGAGTATATCTATAAGTAGAAGTTTATTATATAAGATTATTCTTTTTCTTATATAGAGTTTTAATAGAGACGCGTAGTATACTAAATAGGTATTATTTACTTCTAAAAGATTAACTTTAAATATAGTAGAGCTAATTTAGCCTATAAACTTCCTAAGTTTTAATATCTTCTAATTAAGCTTCTTCTTTAGTTTAGTAGACCTTATATACTAATTAGATATAAAAACTTTATCTCTTACTTTAAATTTATAGTAGAGTCTTTTTTTATTAGTATATTTCTTTTAGTATTTATTTAAAACTAGAATTTTTCTTTTATACTTTACTTATAGTACTATTACCTTTACTACTAATTTATTCTTTAGGGGGGCTTTACCTTTCTTAAAGAGTTAATTAGGCTAATTAAGAGCTCTTAGGTATACTCTGTAGTAGGCTTAGAATAAAGTAACTTTAATTATTATATATATACTATTATTATAGGTAAATTCTATAATTAAGATCTATAGTACTTAATTATTTTATTCTAGATAATAGAAGTACTAAAGGTACTACTTTAGTATTTAGTTCTACCTTTTTATTTAACTATCTATCTATAAGTAATAAGTAAAGGTTAAGATTTTCTTAAAGTTTAGGTAGTAATTAAATATATTTTATAACTTTAAATTTATTAGAGGACCTTAGTTAGAAATTATAGTCTTAGGTACTTTATAAAGTTAGATAATTTCCTTTACTTATATATAGGCTAGGTCTACTTTAGTCTAATCTACTTTTACTAGGATATAATAGGATATTTTAGTAAGTCTATATATAACTACTAGAATTAAGTTATATACTTACTCTAGATATTTACTAGTAGGTAGTTCTATAATAAAGTCTATTATTATATCTTTCTATAGTTCTAAGAGTAGTTTTAAAGGTTAAAGAAGCTTATATAGTTAGTATTTTAGTATAACTAACCTTTTATAGTAGTTATAATCTATATAGTAGTTTACTATATCTTTTAATATATTTATTTACTAGTACTTATACTAAAGCTTTTCTAGCGTCTTCTTCTAGCTAAAATAGCCTACTATTAGATTATTATAATATTCTTTTAGTACTAATAACTTTAATTCTAGTATTATAAAGATTATAAC